AAACATGCAGAGGTTTGGAGGAAACTTAGCTCTGGATTGGGCACCCAGACGAGGTCAGGTCGCTAGCAGTCGAACAAGTCAGCGGTCACGATCGGAAAAAATGTAAGAGTCGAGCGAGACTTAGCTCTGGATTGTGATCTCGAACTGTCTATGGATTCAGACACGAAGAAGTCAGTGAAGGAACAAGCACTGCAGACAGACAAAGGAAGGAGAGAGAGAGAGAGACTCAGCTTGTTGCAAAAAATGTCGAGGAAAAAATTGGCCCACCCACTAACCCGCTTGAAGCGCCTTGAGATCGAGAGGATCTGGGACAATGATGAGTTAGCCAATGGCCACATCAGACAAGGGGAGGAAAGGAGGGGGGAATGATGAAGCTCAGCTTGATATCGATCAAGTCGGAATGGCCCGCCCGCTAACCCGCTTAAAGCGCCTTGAGAGAAGAAGTGCCGACCGAGGTGGGCAAGGAAGGAGGTGTCCTGAAGAGGATGTCGATGTGACAAAGCCATTAGCCAGCTGCCACTTGACGAGTGTGTGAAGGGATGTGGAAAGGAAAGAGTGAAGTGAATGTGTTGGAGGATGAAGAAGAGGAAGAAGGAAATGAGGGGAAGCTTGAGAGTGTCAGGCCTGGGCCTGTTCAGCAAAAGACCAAGTCGAAGATGGTCAGTTGCTGTTCATGTGCGAGCCATGAAGATGATGAAGAGGAAAGAGGAAGAAAAGAGGAAGAGGTTTGGGGGGGAGCGGCGAGGTATTTATACTCTGGGGGGGGAGGAAGTGATGCCTGAGGGAACAGGCGACGACGAACGGATGCCTGAGGTGGCAGGCGACGACGAGCAGCTGTCAATGGGATGGAACGCGCACGATGGCTTCGCCGCCAACTTCCTTGGCAGGCGGGCCAATGGCTGCGTGTTGTTCGGGTGTGCAGTGATGCATAGACGAGCAAGAGTGGGGCCCCCTGGACGTCATGGGGGATGCTTCACGTCTCGGGGCAACGTGTACATGGTCCCTGGCGAGATGAGTTCAGGCCAGGGAGTACCCCTCGGGGGGGGCTGTGGACGTGTTTGCCTGTGTTTTGGCTGGGCGAGCCTATGCTCCTCCTCCCGAGGGTACCTGGGCCCAGGAGTTGCTGCGTGCCTCGTCCTGTTCCCTTTGCTCGCCTCCCCGGCCCCCTTTTCACACTAGCTTTGCTCCGTGGAAGTGTCGAGAACAGGTGCCAGCTGCAATCACAGCCCATTGCCACGAGGCATTTGCGCCAACCACCCCAACAGGTCATGAGCCCATCACGCCAGGCTCGTAGAGGGGAGGGAGGCAGCCCTCGGTGATGCCCAGCAAGCAGGCTTCGTGATGCTTGAACAAGTTGCCCAAAGGGCCATTCACTACAGTAGCCCCTTTCTTGTAGACCATCAGTAGATAGTCACCGTGCTTGACTCTGTAGAAGCTCCTCCTCGTGCAGGTGCAGCACTTGTTGCGGCAAGTTTGATTTTCCTAGGCTCAGGAGGGAGCCCACGACGAAAATAGTGGCCTCACCTTGCTGCCAGTCCACCACTGTTGCGCCTCGACGCATTTTGTAGTCACTAAAAGCTTCCCCCGGAGCTGTAGACTCGTTAATGCTCAGGGCAGCCTCCTGGAGCAGGGGGAAGAAGTACCAGAAGCTCGTAAAACTACGTGGTAACGCGTCGGTAGACTCTGGATCGCTGGCGTGGAGGTTTGCCTGGCACCCAGCAATGCATCGTGGAAAAGCCCTTGCTCAGAAGAGCCTGTCTACTATGGCCCCCTGAGCTTACTTCCTCGAGAAAAGTAGCATCATCACTAGAGTCACCGTGTTGGAGCGTGGGATCCTCGAGTGGCAGGCGCGACCGAGCGACCAGGGCTGCGAGAACGCACATCCCAGAGCCGCAAAACACCACAGGTAGGCACTCGTCAAGATGCTGGAGAGGAGATCATCGCAGCCAGGGTAGAAATCATACAGACGACGCGAGAGGCTACATATGGATTGCTTCAAACTGCGAGACTGGGGCCAAGGGGCACATCTACATCTTGGCTGGGGATATTCCCCGGTGGGCACAATCTGGGGAATCCTTGAGGATCCGCGGCAAGGTCCAGGGCTGGAGGCTGCCGGTATGAGCCTAGAGGCACTTCAGGTGCGTTACAGAGGGCTCAGGAACAGATCTACGGACGAAGGCTCAAAGAGCAGAGCATCCATCAAATGTATTGAAGCTTCGTATTTCCATCTCCAACATTCCACGGCCGGCGTGTTGTGCTGTTCATCTTCGTGAAGCCTACGAGGACGCAGTTCCACCAGCTCTGAAGTTTGTCTTGGCTCCCGGTATCCCCCTTGTTTCTCAATTTGCAGCCTCCTCTTTCCCCAGACGCGGCTGGACATTGTATTGAATCGATCGTGGGCAGGAAATCGTGCCGAAATCGAACGGCGGGAGCTCGGACTCAGCACTTTGCACTAGCAGGGCCATTGTTGGATGGCAAGGTCGAAACTTCAGTCGACAAGAAGCGAGTACCAAGGCGAGTCTTGGCCTCGTCGGTGCTGGCAAATCGCGTTTCTTTGGCGTCGACAAAATGGGGGGTAAGATGGTGCTTTCGTCTCCAAGCCCAGAGCGTTGACCAGAAAAATGAAAAGCAAAGAGAGACGCTGAATCAAGCATCAATGGCAGGCCACCAAACTGGCTGAAACACCCGTCGAGTGATTCAATGCTGCAGAATAGCGGGAGCCCTGATTGTCCGTCGCCTTGGGATGGCCGGCGGTGGCTGTACCCCAGCTCCTCCTCGACCATTCTCCTTGCTCGCTTGGGAAGCATTGTGAAGAGAAGTCTGGACAAGTACGGTTCTCTAGAGCTTGTAGATCAAATTGCATGAAGAAAATATCCCTTGTCTTAATCATGGGCGCCGTGAGCTGGCCGCGAGCAGTTTGCAAGCTGCCCGCGTGCCTGGCGTTTACCTGGCTCAGGGGCCGAGCGCTGTAATTTCCTCCCCTGCAGGTCGGGCATGGCTCTACTCAAGAGACGAAAACTGTCAGGCTGTTCCATGAAGCTTCTCACGGGCCAACTGTCAATTTGGAAGTTGCCCTCGTAGAAAAGGGGTGAGGGGATTTGTCTCGTCACAGGGCCGTCTGAAATTCCTGGTAGAAGGAGACTGGTAAGAGCTGTTGTGACCAGAGACTCTTCCTTGTCATCGCTGCACGACCCTGCTCTTCGGCTACCCACAGCAGTACTTGCTCACGTTTGTCCAAGACGGCCTTGACAAGCGGCACTGGGAGAGCACGTCACAATCTGAAAGCATCCGCCTGGCCTTGATCAGGGCCAAACACGCCTCCTTGCGCTCTGGATACCACTACGGAGTCTGGCAGGGGTGGCCTGGGAGAAGGCACTCGACCAAAGTATGTGTCGCTCCCTCCATGTCCCGATCACGTCCAGAGGCAGTTCTTGTGACTGGAAGCGACCGAAACCGCCGAAAATCGACGAACGATCCAAAGAGCAACGCCAGGTCAGTAATACTTCATGACAGCGCCTCCAAAGGCTGCTACAGAGACTAGAGAGAGATGCTCTCGCAGACAGAAATCAAAGTGCGGCGGCTTTGTTGATTTTCCAGCAGAAAAGCCGACTGGGTCGCCCCCTTCCACTTGACGGCTTCCCAACGGCCGATGGGAAGAAGCCAGAATAAGAACTTGAGAAATTAGAGGCAGCAGAGTCCGCGGCTGGGCACTTTTCGGTCGAGCCAGCCCTCTGGCCTGCTCCAGTCTGCAGGCCTACTCCAGTTTACAGGCTGGAAGCAAGGTACGCACTGAAGCCCATCTTTCCTCGCCATTACCAAGTTCGCTCTCTCCCTTTGGAGCCAGATTACCAGATGCTAACATGGCCTCTCGGTGGTCCAGGCTCGACTCTACGCTTGCTCCTCGAGAGCCACGACTTCCATGCTGTGAAAGGCTGGCCCGGAGTTTATTCAACAAGCAGGTGCCTAGGTGTTGTCTATCTAGAGCTAAGGAGGAAAAGAAGCTGAACTCGAGGCGTAGCCTCGAGTGCGAGCTTATATTGCCCTTCTCGGAATGTTCTCGCAGCTTCTGGGTCCGCGGGCCGGCCGGTGTTGCCACCGGAGCACGACCCACCGGACCCGGTACAACCGGGTCCACCAGCCGGGCACAGCCCGTGACATTACCCCTTGTCCCCTCCGACCAGGTCGGCGTCTGCGGGGTTCTTGCGTTCCTGCCAGCGTCTCGTACCTCTCCTAGGGCCATCATTGGTCTTGATTGGCCCGTACTTGTCCTCGAATGCCTTCATCGCAATTGTTCCTTGCAACCACTCAACTGGCTCCCAAGTCGGCTCTGCGTAGCCCGTCCATCGCACTAGTGCTTGCCTGAATTCCCTCGTCCGCGCTTCTTCCATCTCGCGCAGAGGATCTCGTCGACATCCACAGATCCGTGCCGGACTCATCTTGTACCGGTGGTGGCTGTGCGTCATCTACCTTTGGCCAGGAGCCGGATCTTGATGCGCCCGCCGCAAAGGTCAACATGAAATCGCGGGTAAATTGAGCCACGAACATCGAGCTCAACAACGTGCGAACTAATTACCTTCGTGACTGTGTACTTGTGATGCAGCCAGTCGAGCTTCTTGCACGGTCGTGGCGATCTGTAGTTTGCCATCGAGAGCCACACCTTGTCACCAACTTCAAATCGCTCCGCAGGCTGTCGCTTTGCGTTGGCAGCCTCTTCTTGTTGTTGCTGTGAGGAGGCCATCACTGCTTGCATGTACTCATTGACCTCCTGCAGGCGACTGAGTAGGCTATCAGCTCTGCTTTCCTCTCTATGCCTCGGTGGCTCTTCCGATTCCTCGACGCTGATGGGATCGACGTGGTAACCATGCTCAGCGAAAAAGGGGCTGATCTTGGTCGCTGCGGATTCACGATTGTTGAGTGCCAGCTGCGCGGCAGGGAGCAGTTCTCCCAGTCGTCCTGCACGTACGACACGTAGGCTCTCAGGTAGGCCTCGATCTCCTGGTTCATTCTCTCTGGCCTCCGTCCGTCTGAGGATGATAGGCCGTGCTCAATTTCTGCGTGACACCTGCAAGACGGCAGAACCTCTTCCAGAACCTACTTAGCCAGTTGCTCCCGCGGTCGCTGACGATGGACCGTGGCATTCCGTGAAATCGGTAATGACACTGGAGAAAACGGTTTGCACACGGCTCAGCTTCCATGTTGTCCATCACCTCGAGGGTCACAGCCTTTGTCAGTCTGTCCACAATCACCCACAGGTACCTTGCCTTGCTCGGTCCAGTAGGCGGCAGATCTGTGATGAAGTCCATGGACAAATGGCTTCGGGTCGATCTGGAATCGGCAGAGGCTTGAGAAATCCCTTTCGACTGGCGCCAGATGTGTGCTCTGCCGCAGGTGTCGCAATTGGCTACGTACCGGCGAACCAGCTGGGACTGCCCAGGCCAGTAGAATCGCCGAGCCACAATAGCCAGCGTACCTTCCCTGCCGGGATGACCGGTCGCAACAGAGTCATGCGACTGCTGCACAATGCGGGTTCTCAACTGGTCTTTCTCAGCTTCCTCCTGGTTACCCTCCTCTCCGGATCCACCCGGCACCCAAATACGGTCTCTGAATGTCAGCCTTTTGCCTGCGTCGATCGCACATTCTGAAATCTGGATCTTCAGGCCCAGCGAGGGCGGGAAGGCACGCTCGCGATCGCGGACTGCCTTATAGGCTGCCCGGAATATCGAGTCCTTCGCCACCGTTTCGTCCCAGAGTTGCTGCAGGTCCGCTACCTCGAAGACCTTCATCTTCGGCAGGGTGGATGCCTCTGAACAGTCAGAACTCATCGCGTTGATACATGCTCTTGTCGATGATGGAATGGCACTATCCGGTATCAACTGTATCATTCTTCCTTGTTCCCGCTCGTCGTCAATGCCCTGTGGCTTGTCTTGTTCACGGCGGGACAACGCATCAGGCACGACAGCCTCGCTTCCCGGTCGATACTCGAGCTTGAAGTCGAACTGGGACAATTCGGCAACGGCTCTGCCGTTCCGTGAGCTTCTGGCGTGTCATGAAATACTCCAGGTTGCGGTGATCGGTAAGGATTGTAAATGGGCCGCAGCTCCTAAGTTCGGCGTTCCAGTTGTCGAGACATCTCATGATGGCAAGCATCTCCTTGTCGTGAATGGGATAGTTGTACTCCGCTGGCGAAAGTCGCTTCGAGAAGAAGGCGCATGCGTGTCGACGTCCATCTGGGCCTTCCTGCGACAGGACGCCTCCCAATGCGTAGCCTGAGCAATCCGTCTCCAAAAAGGTCGGGAGGCTCGGGTCCCACTGCTTGAGCACCGGTGACTCGCAAAATCGTCGCTTCAGCTCCTGAAACGCCTCGTTCTCCGCTCGTCCCCAATGAAAGGCAGTTCCTTTCTTAAGCAGGGCATCCAGAGACTGCGTGATCTTGGCATAGTCGGGGATGAAGATCCGGTAATAGTTGGCGAAGCCCAGAAAGCTTCTGACACCCTTCACCGTGGTCGGGGCCTCCCATTCGCGGATGGCGCGCTGCTTTTCGGGGTCGCAGGCGATTCCTTTCCCTGCGTTGACGATGAACCCAAGGTATTTGACCTCTTGTACCGAAAACTCGCACTTCGCTGGGTCTAGGTGCAGCCCAGCGTCGGCGAGTGCTTGGAGAACTCGTCGCACCTTAGCCTCATGATCCGCCTTCGAACCGCTCGAGTAGATCAGTACATCATCCAGGTACGCTGTGACAAAGTCGTCCAGCCATTCGCGCAATACACTGTTCATGTATCGTTGGAATGATGCCGGGGCGCCGCTCAGGCCGAAAGGGCACACGAGCCACTCGTAGAGCCCAAACCTCGTGCGAAATGCAGTCTTTCCCTCATGTCCCGGAGCCATGCGGATCTTATGGAAAGCGGCCACCACGTCCAACTTGGTGAACCACTTAGCCTTGGCCAGATTCTGCAGGGTCTCCGCGATGAGGGGCAGTGGGTATCGGTCGCGCTTGGTGATTGCATTCAGCGCTCGGTAGTCGCAACAAAATCGCAGCCCTCCATTCGGCTTCCGCACGAACAGCACCGGCGCGGCAGCCGCTGAGCTACTCGCTCGGATGAATCCTCTGTCCAGCAGGTCTTTCAGGGTCTTTCGCAAGACCAACAGCTCTTCTCGTGACATGTTGTAGAGTGGGCCCCACGGAAGGGGTGGCTCGTTGCCGTTCTTGTCAGGCTGCAGGTTGACTTCATGATCCACACCCGGTCGATGTGGCGTAGGGGTGATAGACGAAGGTGAATTTTTTGAAGATTTTGAATGAAGGATGAATCAAATGAATTGAATTTTTTGGATCTTGATTCAAAATCTTCAAGCTCCAATTTTCGCGATTCAAGTTGGGTTTGGGCCAATTCAGGCCATTCATGAATAGTTTGAAGGAATCCCCTAAACGAAGTGAATTTGGTGTGTACCTAAGCGATTGCAAAGATACCTCGAAAACGCCAATAAGTAGTATATGGTTTTATAGCCTTCTGGGAAGTCTCTCGATAATCTCGAATATTACAAAAATTAACTTACATAAATACTGATCCGCCCGTCCTAGGCAAATGGACCGAAAATAAGCACTTTCAAAAGCTCTGCCGAATCCTCAAAATATATCGGTCCAACGCGTTCGAATCCGCGATTGTACACAGTTACACACTTGTAGAGCCTCAATCCTCCGAAGCCTCCATTGTATCTGGACAGGGGGTTGATATCGCAGACTTATCGGCTTGGGAGGCAGGAGGTTTGGGGGGTAGGAGGTTCGGCGGGAGCCTCGGTAGTAGCCTCGGTGGGAACTTCCGCCGGAGCAGGGGGTTGAGGAGGAGGATTCTCGCCTGAACGCAGATTAGCATATACACAAACAATGAGGGTATATTCACACCATCTACCAGCTTGCCCGGAAATTGGAATGTGGTCTGGTCTTCAAATAATAGAGCGTGCCGTTGTTGGCGGCGTTGTCTCCCGTAATGGCGAGAAGCTTTGGCTTGAGCCTGAGCTCCTCAAGTGTCTTCTCAACTATCTCGTGTTTGCCAGTGTGAGATTTTTGAGCTCGATAAACTCAATAACCTCCTCTCTCCTCAAACTCCGGCGTAATCCAGTGCGTAATAATGGCGAAAATAGGCACCGATTCGGTGCTGTCCAGATATCAAGGGTGAGCGAGATGGTAGCACAATTGTACTGAAGCTCGATCTTCAGCTTCTCTCTGCGTTCCACAAAGTCTGTGTAGATGTGATTGCGTAAGGTTATACGGCTCCTGTACACACAGGTTGTATTGTGAGCCAAGAACATCTCTTGGAAAGCAGGAGTCTCAAGTTCTCAACAACAGAGAAGGGTTGTCGGTGTTTTACAAACCACTGGCGGATAGACTCCTTTGCCGTGAGCCTTGCTCTTTGCCTGGGTCGACCGCTCCATGCATCTACCTCTGTATAATCTCCTCCACCAATGGCGCGGCCGTATCCATTGATTCGACCGTGGTGAGACTCCTTCGTAATACTGTGGGATTTTAAATGGTCTCCCATGCCAGAGGTAACCCCTCGGCGGTTCGATTCAAGGACCTGGAATATCTTCCGAAGAGTAGAAGGATTTTGAAGGCACTCTATACAAGTCCACCGGAACTCTTGGAAGATCTTCGGCCCATCCTTATCCTCTGAGTAAAAGCTTCTGTCTATGGCTTCCCTCTGCATGTACCAATAAACGTGGCTATTCTTGTCTCTCTTCTTGCGAACATGCTTCTGTTTGTTGTCGGCCCACTTCTTGATAAGTCTGGCTTTCTCTGCGAGCGTCATGTGACTACCGGTACTGTTCAATGGCGGCTCTGATGTATCCGCGTCAGGCATGTCATCATCTGACTCACAGTCAGGATGGCCCGGGGGCGCGCAGATAATTGTATCTTCGCCAGTCGGAGGGGACGAAGGAGCCGGAGTTGTGCTAGGATCAGGGCGCGCGCGCGCGGGATTCTGAGGGTTGAATTGAGGGCGTTCAATGCGGGCATAACTCTGCGTTGGCAATTTACGCCGGGTCCTAGGAGCAAAGAAATTCGCTGCGGCAGCTGTTTTCGATTCAGCAGGGGCCATACTATGTATCATGTTATAATTAGCTATCGGTTGGACAGTAATGAAGTTTTACCTGGTCTAGGCTAAAAGGCTCGAGAATGGACGTGAGACAGGTAGTCGGGACGACACCAAATAACCCACAATAAAGTATAACGGAGTCGAGGTTGAACGGGTGGGATAGGTCGTCGGGCAGGACGTTGATTCGGGGGCCGACCCGAAGCCGCTGTCGGAAACATCGAAGCAGGAATTAGGCGAGATCGTCGTAAAATAATGTCGTGACAGTTGTCGCGAAGACCGTTGCGCCACGCAGGCAAAAATGTGGGATGGGCTGACGACCGTGTCTTTCCGACAGTAGAATTAACAGGTGGTCAATTGAGCGCGAATAACGCGTCTAAACGCGGCTAGTTGGCACAACATATCCTTATCATGCAGATGTTTCGGTACTTTCTGATCGGGCTAGTTTGTGTGGACAAGCAAGTAGCAGTCATATTGGGCTCGATGAGTAGATAAGTCCCTAACAGTCTCCAAATCGCGAGATGACGCAATTCGTGTCACGTCCAATTGTTCGCGCAGTATTGAGACGTTGAGGGATCTGAACGCGTTTTTCTAATCAGTTTGCCGGAGGCTGTTTAACGGTATAAGTCTTGTATTATATTTCAAAAATTTGGGCTGCCGAGCTTAATCTGTGCTTGAGATGTAGTTTTGCAAGTAGCAAATGACCGATCTATTTATTGCCTTCAGGATGATGTGGCATTTCTTGAGCAAATGTTAAGCACAGATATCGAGAGTTATATCACCCGAACCAGAAAATCCAGAACATTCGAGTGATACTACATTTAAATGGTGTGCATTATAAAATGGCACTGTTCATAAGCTTCATGGTTTTTTTGATACTCCGTATAGGGTGGCAAGACTGCTGAAACGGTGGGCGTATCAGGCACTGTTAGGGTCGTTATACCAACATATATGGACGCCCTAACTACCCCACTTCCAACCCACTGGGATTTTCCCAGTGGAGTGTGACGGCGGAATCCAACTGAAACACGCACAACAGACTTTTAAATACGCAGTGCGTCATCGCATGGGCGGCCGATTTCGAAGTTACCATGTCCGCGCGGGCGAACCCTTGCTCCTGTCAGAACGGTGGTTCTGTGGCGTGCCTAATGGGAAAGTGCATTGTGGAATCTATTGGTATTGTGGGAATCATGCTCGTCAATTGTATCTAGATCACACGGTCAGCATGTGGCCTTAGGGTCACGTGTGCGGCTGAGGCTTGCGTGGCTATATCTTCCACGCTGGCCTCTCCTCCTAGATAGAAGACAATCCTCATAGCATAATACGACACACCGGTTGAACGACGTTCCCAGTTTGTCTCATGCTCGAGCCCTGCCAACAGGTATGATGGGGGTCAAAGCAGCTTGTTTCTTGATGTGTACGTGTGTGTCTGCTTGTTGGAACGGCGCAGCAGGAAGGGCGGCATGGGTCACCTGCCAGGTCACGTGGGGCATTCAGCCGAGATTTCTGCGGGCCCAAAAGGGGCACATTCCTAGCCGGAAGGGGGCAACACACACATCGCCTTTACACACACACAGCCGTGCATATAGCTCCAATTGACCTCTTCTGTGTGCCCACTATCGTTGCCACCTTCCTCATTCGGACGAGCCGCAGAACCGCTGTTTCTGACACTGCTCAGAAAGAAAAGGGAGGCCCTTGGTGGGTGGCTTTGGGCATTAGCCCATTCCTCCCTGTATGCCCCCTTGGCTGGCAGCTGCGAAGCGGGGTGATCCTTTTTCACCGTATATTTCGACCATATCGCCATTCATTCAAGATTTTGATGAATGAATTGAATAAAGACTCCTGATTTTTGATTCATCGAATTTGAAGACCTTACCCGATTCGGCTTCATTCAATTCAAGGGTCCCGAGGCCGATTCGACTTCAAAATCTTCAAATATCAGCCCTAATGTGGCGGCAGCTTCATTGCCTCTCCTGGTGAGAATAGGTCGCGGAATTCTTTCAGCACTTCTGCCGGGACCTTCTCGCTCGGATCGACTGGCGGCTTCGGCTGAAGCGCCCTCTCTATATCCGACAAACTGATTGCATGAATCGAGATCGCGTTGCACTTCTTGCGTCTCTTTGCGCGTCGACACTCCGCCGTGAATACGGCTGCCGACACGAGTCTTGCGCTTCGAATCGCGCGTATCTTGGCGGGCTCTTCCTGCCCAATGAGGCGTATCGTCACACCTGCCCTCCCATGGTACATTCGCTGCTTGGCAGCATCGTACACGACGTGATTTCTCTCCATCCAAGGCCGGCCGAGGAACATGTCCTGGCCCAGGCTTGGGATCACGTATGCAAAGACACGTTCGTCAAATCCAGCTGTCTCGACCACAACAGCCACGACCCTGGGGATATGACACTCTTCGCTGACTCTGAGAATCCCCAATTTCTCGTGGTTTCGAGTCGACGAAGGGTATCCGCAGCTTCCGAACAAGGGCTTCGTCGATCACGGCATAGCAGTCACATCCACAGTCGACAAGGGCGCGTATTCGATAGCCTCGGTTTACCCGCGCGTTGACTAATACAGTCCGACTATTCATTCGTGGCTTGAACGCTTCCCAGTCCCGGATGTCTGCCTTTGCAGGCCCCGGCGCCCGCTTTCGCCCGGGGCTAGTCTTTCCCGCCGACTCGTCCTCACTGGATGCTGCGGTTGATTCCGAATCATCTGCGGCATCGGGCTTCTTCATGCGCGCAGCTTTAGGTCGCTGTTGCTTCCTTCGCCAGGAAAGACCACCTGGGCTGGGCAGTCCACGATAAGATGATCCGTCCGACCACAGCGATAGCAGCGGCGCTCATCCTTCGGCTTCTTATCGACATGTCGACGACCCTTCGACTCGTGGCCAATACGGTTGATGTCCGTCATCTTAACATCTCCGTCGGGGTCCTCCGGTTCCTCCTGGGTCGTTGCCTTGGTAGCTGTTGAGGCGTCCGCTCAGTCGACGTCGGCTGCCTACCGGGTTTCAGTCTCTCCAATCTGCCCGCAATTTCCTGAACTCTCGCAAGCCATCCCTGGTAGTCGTCGGGTAGGACGGCTGTGACCAAACTCTCTTGGAGGCGTGCATTTATTGCGTTCTCTAGAAATACGATCTTTGCACTGTCCGGCCAGTCTGCTCCCCCGGCTTCAGCTAATGCCTGTTCGAATCGGGGAAGGAAGGACGCGAGAGGTTGGTCTTCGCGCTGCCGCATAGTTCTCAGCGTGGCAGCAGCGCGGGATTGGATGTTGCTGTCCTGGTAGGTTCGGTCGAGGTATCGCATGAACTCTTGGGGTCGTAGCTACCCCAGGGCCTCCCGCGGCGTAAAAGGTAGCGACCACTTGCTGTGGTCGCTCGTCCAAACATGAGTTGATGAGGTACCAAAGTTCGCGATTTCCACTGTAGTAGTGTGCATCAAGGTCCAGCTTGTCTCGCATCTGCCTGGCCCAGGCGGAGTAGCTCTTCCGTGAGCCGTCATACTTGGGTGGGTTGGGCAACGGTTTCCGCATTCCAGTACCGCAGGTTTTGGGAGGGCGTGCCCAAGCCAGGCGTGCTCTCGCCCAATCCTCGTGCCACTGGCGGCGATTGCAAGTCGGCGCTCTGCGGCTGCGCTCGCCCGAGTTGCTCCATCAGCAAGGAAAGTTGGTCCTGTAGAGGGCTGAGAGTCGCATTGACCGCTTCTTGAATGCGTTGGTCAATCCATTGCTGCTGGAGACTTGGGCTCTCACTCTGCTGGTCCATCCTGACGAGCAGTCTGCAGCTTGCGGTATTTAGAAGGAGCTCTAGATATGTGAAAGGCTGGCCCGGAGTTTATTCAACAAGCAGGTGCCTAGGTGTTGTCTATCTAGAGCTAGGAGGAAAGAAGCTGAACTCGAGGCGTAGCCTCGAGTGCGAGCTTATATTGCCCTTCTCGGAATGTTCTCGCAGCTTCTGGGTCCGCGGAGCGGGGCCGGTGTTGCCACCGGAGCACGACCCACCGGACCCGGTACAACCGGGTCCACCAGCCGGGCACAGCCCGTGACACATGCAAACGATACGAACGAACCCTCCCGACCGTCATATCCCACAAGCCAACGCTCCAGTCTGCCGAGACAGCATCTGCCTGCCTGCTCCTCTTCCCGCCGAGACGACCGGAATAAATCGAGTCCATTGAGCAAGGACACATATATGGGGGGCTGGTGATCCAGTTACCACCAATGCCAGTGCAGTCTTCCAGGCTGCCGTGAGCAGTTCGAGGCTCCCGTTGCAGATATTGGTGCACGGATTCTCCAACACTGGGCCCACCGACACTTTGTTTTTCTGTTTGAAAACGCACGAGCGGAGGCCTCGCCCCAGGGTCTCAGCTCTTCGTTTCTCCTCGCTACAGTCTATAGAATGCTTGAATACCTGAACAATATCATGAATGGTCTCTCCTTGGTCGTGGGTGCAGATACGCGGGAAAAGGGGGCTGGCGAATGGCTGGCATCGCCCCGTCAACCGCTCCCACATCCGCGGAGAAGCGAGCTCAAGGTTTATGGCCTGCTGCAAGTGCCACGTCATGAGTGGCTTGAGCTGCCGGCTCTTACTCGTGCCCCAGCCCTGGTGCTTCTGCAATTTGCGTGTGTGTGTTCTCCTCCGTTTAGCTCTATGTAGGGTAGGCGGCATTGGCTTCGGTTGACGAGCTCTCGCATTGCTTGCTCTCTCGTGGCAGGCTCCAAGGATAGAAAATGTTCGGCACATGGCCATGTCCAAGGGGGAGTGTTGTGGCACGTTCAGGAGCAATGATGGAGTCGTTTGAATTTGGAAGAGGCGCCTTATTCTTGATGGTCCTGGAGGCGATGAAACTGTTATTTGAAAAGGAAAAGCCCCATGGCAGTGCAGGCTCGGAGTGCCCTCCTTGACCATGGGGCGCGGCAGTTTCCCCCATCTCGTTGATGCTTGCAGGGAAGAAATCTCGCTTTTCGAGGCCGCGGGACAATAAGGCGGAGCAGACCCCTTGCAGTGGAACTTGCAAGTAAGCAAACATTGGCTTCTAAGGGGCAAATTCGAGGGAGCTTGCACGATGTGTGCCATCAAGTTTGAACCCAACTCTCGAGGAAAAGAAGCTGCTGCTGGGCACGCCGATGAGGCCAGCATTTCAAACCTCTGTGGATGAAGAGGACCAGAAATTTTCTTCGAATTAACAAAAGGAGCGGTCTGATGCAGGGCCTACGGGTGGCCAGAACCCGGCCAGCCCCAGCTCGTCTGTGTTCCCTGACTGCATGTGCTGTAGAATCGGCCAGATGCTGGAGCAGGGATGCGCAAACAAATCACCAACTGCACCAAAACCCCTATGTCCTGTCTCTACCCGCATTCTCTGTGCTCGGCTGCATACAGCATCGTCGTGTACGACACGGGTCAACGCGCTGTACCGCCATCCTCCGATCCCAAACATTCCGACACGGCTCCATCACCTGCTGACAGGGTCTCGGTGATGCCCTCCTCCTGATTCTGGTGCCTGTACTGTGTCCAGCTCGGCTGCTGGTCAGTTCAAAAAAATCAAGGGGCTACTTCTCTCGAAACACTCTTCTGACCGTGCCACTCGTTCGGTGCGCCAGATTTTGCTACACAAGAGCAGGAAAATTCGGAAAAGACGTGAAGAGATACACGCAACACCAACTTCATCACCGCCATCTGCCGTCCGTGGCGAGCTGCCGGCCTTTCAGTACGCGCTCTCAGCCCCTTTTCTTCCGACAGTGTGGAGAGCCAAGAAAATTGTACCTCGTGGTGTTCTGGACGGCGCTGGGCAACAACAAACGGAGACATGAGCGGCAAGATGCGACGATGTTTCTTCGAGACGCCAGGTTCAGCTTGGCTGCTCCTCATCGACTCGCAAGACGACTACAAAATCAAATAACCAAGAAAGCAGCGAGGCGGAGCATCCAGCAGAGATCACAAGTTCACAGGTGCGTTTCCTGGCCATGCAAATGGCTAATTCTGGGGACCTCCGAGGGCCAGGCCTTGCTCTGCCAGCCTCAGGGGAGACCAGCACAGCCAGTGAGCGAGTGCCAACTTTGGATCTGCCCACGGCTCCAGGTCCATATTTGCAAAGAATTGCTTCAGGTTTTGTCGACAGATTTCAACTACCAACCCAGCTGGGCCTGCTGTGCCTTGCTGCTGCAAAACAAGCCCTCCCCAAGTTTGTCACGGTTCTCTTAACGAATACCCCAGCTTTTCTACGGTCTCGAACGAAGCTTGAAGCGAGGAGCTGACCAAATTGAATGGTTTCTTCCGATAACAGTAAGTGTTCTGCTCTGTATTGATTTGTGTCTTGGTTTCAGTTCCATGATGTTGGCCTTTGATTTATGACCAGGTTTCGATTTCGCCACACCAGTAGCTCTCGACGAAGCCCGACCAGAGACGTGCAGAGCTGACTCCACGCTCCCACTACATGTAGTTCTACGTGCTACTGCGGTCGACGGACGAAATAGCTATACTTGGAGAGTTTGTCGAGGAGACTGGCAAAAGAAAAATACAGTGCTGGCGGCAATGGGGGCCTGTTCTTGTTGAAGGCGAAATCTACTTGGGCGGTCGAGTAGTTCTGAGCCTGGTGCAAAAGATGTTCAATAGTACTCTTCTGCTTCCATGACGGGCCCGTGCGAGCAGCATTACCCCAATCGTTTTGCTGGCTCGGCTGTTGAGGGAAACCTCGAGCTGAACTGGCATCCATGCCGTCAACGCGAGAGCCATTCACTCCAAACGAGGGACCTATAGAGCCGGGGTGTCTTCTTCAAGGCCCAGAGACAAAGTAGCCTGCTGTCGGCTCCTGTTTGGACAAGCAGCATAGGGCCACTGTTACTCTTGGGAGCCTTGGGGAGAGTGCCTTTGTCCAAGAGTGCAGTCTACACGGCTGCAGCACGAGTCGACATTGATGACAGTGCATGCTCTTGCAAGGCGTATATTGCTCCAATCTTCAGATAGGAAAGAGAGTGCCGGACGCATGCGAGCCTAGAGACTCTTGCTTATTTGTTTAAAAACGAGGCCCGGGGAGCCTTGGCGGTAACGACCGGATATTTGTTTGATATTCTGCGAGCGAGATTTCTAGTCACCGACGCAAACCATGTTCTGCCCGGCGAGAAGAGTGCCCAGCTATTGTTGGAGCTGGTCATCCACTGAAAAGCGTTGCTTCCTGCGTCCGAACCGCAGAGTTCCCATCGCTCTCTCCGCTACAGCCATGGACGTCTCCTGTGCCCACGAGCACTTTGAAGTCGATCTGCAGGCAGCACCACTTGAGCGCGAAGATCCCCTATCTAGGCCGCCGGGTTCAACATCGACTCAACCACAGCCGCCCCCCGACGAGCCCACAGTCAAACCCTGCATGCTCCCCTCGCGCCGCCAGCGCTCCAAGACACGCTCATACTCGATGATGCCGAGCGGATACGGCGACGCACGCGCCCCCTTGGCAGCCTCGTCGGGCGAGCGGTGCGCCGCGTCGCTCTCGTTGTTGATATAGCCAGGTCCGCAGACGGCAACGGGCGCCATCCACGTCGCCCGCCTCACAATCCGCGCCGTCCAGTCGGCCTCGGCCTGCTCCGTCGCCTCGACGGTGACGCGGCCGCCGTCCACGCCGTCTCTCTCTGCGCGCGCAACGGCCTCGGACAAGACGTGGGCCGCGTGGCGGGCCAGCACGTCCTGGACGCCGGCGTAGTTCCCCGAGGCGCCGGCCTGCGCCGGCCCCGTGAGGATGAGGTTGGGGAAGCCGTGCGTCAGCATGCCGTGGAGGGTGCTGGCGCCGTCGTCGTGCCACTTGCGGGCGAGCTCGACGCCGCCCCGGCCCGTGACGGTCGTGTTGGACCGGCTGCTGGGCTCGACCATGGCGACGGCCGGGGAGCGGAAGCCCGTGGCCAGGACGATGATGTCGAGCTCGTACTCGCGGCCCGCGGCCACGATGCCCGCGCGGGTGAAGCGCTCGATGCCCTTGGCGGCCGACGTGTCGACGAGGCTGACGTGGTCCAGGTTAAAGGCCTCGAGATAGTCGTCGTGGAAGCACGGCCGCTTGCACCACGACGGATACCACGCCTTGAGCGCCTCGGCCGCCGCCCGGTCCTTGGTGACGACCTGGTCCACCCTCGTGCGCAGGCGCTCCATGCGAGGGGCGTGCGCCTCGGCCACGACATCGGGCACGCGCTGCAGGGCCACGGGCTCGTCGTGAGGCCCGCCGACGAGGTGCTTGTATGTGCGCATCAGGGACCAGGCGTCGCCGACCAAGTTCTCGTCGATGGGGTACCCGCTGATCAGCCCGTTCCAGTTGTCGATGCGTGCCTTTTGCCAGCCCGGACGCGCCGTCATGGCCCGCCAGGCCTCCGTGTCCGTCTCGCGCTGGCCGCGCTCGTCGACGGCCGACGGCGTGCGCTGGAAGACGACGAGGCGGCCCGCCCACTTGGCCAGCTCCGGGACCAGCTGCACGGCCGTGGCGCCGGTGCCGACGACGCCGACGCGCTTGCCCGCGAGGCCCGCGAGGGTCCAGTCGTCGGGCGAGCCGCCGCTGACGGCGTAGTCCCAGCGGCCCGTGTGCATCATGGGGCCGGCAAAGTCGTCGATGCCGGGCACCTGGGGCGCCTTGGGGTGGTTGAGGACGCCGCCGGCGAGGACGACGAACTGGGCGCGCACCGCCACGTCGACTTCGCGACCGCTCCGGCCGCGAACCTGGCGCAGGACAACGCTCCAGCGGCCGGCGTCGTGGTCCCAGGCGAGGGAGCGGGCGCGGGTGCGGAAGACGGCCTGGTCGGCGAGGCGCCAGCGGGCGGCAACGGCCTCGGCGTGGCGCCGCAGCTCGGGCCCGTAGGAGAAGCGGTGCGCCGGCACATGGCCCGTCTCCTCGAGCAGCGGCATGTACATGGCGCTCTCGACGTCGCACATGAGCCCCGGGTAGCGGTTCCAGTACCAGGTGCCGCCGAAGCCGCCGGCCGGGTCGACGATGCGCACGTCGGCGGGCGCGAAGCCGGCCTCGACAATGCGGACGGCGTGGACGAGGCCGCCGTAGCCGGCGCCGAGGACCAGGACCCGGACGTCGTCGCCGTCGGCGAGGCCCGGGGGGCGGGCGTCGAGGGCGTCGTGGTCGGCCCAGGGGTCCTGGGCCAGGCCGGCGAGGCGGCTCGACGAGGGGGAAAGGCCGAGTTCGAGGTACTGGGCATCTCCGTCTGGGCGCAGCCGCTTGTTCTTTTCCGCTTGGTACCGGCTGGCGATGGTGGCCAGGTCAGGGGCCCCGGCCATGGCTGTGGATGATTGGCACGGGCTGGTGAGCTGCAGAGGGATGGCGGTTGATGGCGGTGAATTAGGGGGAGCACTCTTACATGGAGATGGTCGGGCCCATCCATCATGACCGCATGCACTCAGCGCTCTAGGGCTGTTCTAATGCACCATCACCACATCCTCGTCATCATCATGGGACACGGGGTCCATAGACTCCATCCATACAACAAACCATTGAATATGCACAGCACGCACCTTGCCCGTCCACCCAATCGGCGACTCATGTTTGATTCTTGCGTCGACCATTGAGGCCAACGATGGCCAGCGCCACTAGACAGTGATGACGGCTTTGCATTCAGATCTCTTCTCCGCACTGGAAGCAGCTCGGCAACGCCAGAGGAGCAGGGGGTCCGCCTCTGCATCTCGGGTTCCTCGGCCGAGCCTCGTTTCTCCGCCAGAAGAAGAATTGGAACAGTAAACGCCCGTTGCTCGACTTGACTCTGTATTTAGAATGAATCTACATGTCAATGCCCATATAGTTGACTTCTTCCAACGTGAACCCCTGAGGGGCCTCACGCAGCATGTTGACCCTGCATAAATAGACTCTTTCTCATATTCGCATGCACACTACAGGTAATGCATGTCCCATGATGTAGGCTCTACTGAATGGCACTGCCGATTGATGCCTGGCCATTTTTGCTCGTTTCCTGCTGTTTGTTGCCGCAAACACCCAACCACGACACCCTCAGACATTCAACACCCACAGACTCGTCCCTTGACTCAACTCAAAGCCATGACGCTCGAACCCTCGTCGTACCCAGATTTCGACGACCTGCCCAAGGTCGAGGGCATGCCGCAGGGCTGTGCCTGGGGCGTCTTTGATCGCGACGGGCAAAAGGACCTCGTCGGCACGCTCAACTTTCTCACCCCGGCCGTCGTCAAGGCCGCCGCCGCAGAGGTCAAGGACGGGGTGTCCATTTCTCTCAAGTAAGATCAAGGACGTGTAGGATGGGATTTTCTCATGGACCTCCTCCTCCCCTTCCTCTCTCCTCCTCCTCCTCCTCCTCCTCCTCTCTCCTCCTCTTCTCTCCTCCTCTTCTCTCCTCTTCTTCATACTCTTTCCTCCCCTTTCACGATACCGCTACAAAGACTGCCCGAATACGGCCAAACACCGCCAACACATCCCAGTTGGCCCCTCGACGGCCTCGCCAAGCTAGGCATCCCCGGCCGCAAACCCCCCCGGCACACCGTCCTCTACCTCCCCGACACCATGCCCGGCATCCCCCCCGAGGCCAGCAGCTGGGACGACGAGCTCGACTTCAACACGCAGTCCAGCAGCCAGTGGGACAGCCTGTGCCACGTCCAGCACCTCCCCTCGGGCCTCGCCTACAACGGCCTCCGCCCCGACGCGCGCGCCCTCGCCGCCGCCTCCACCGCCGAAAACGACATGCCTACCCTCGACCACTGGCACGCCCGCGGCGCCCTCGCCGGCCGCGGCGTCCTGCTCGACTATGCCGCCTTTGCCCGCGACACGGGCCTCTCCTTTGGCCCCTTTGACGGCACCGCCATCTCCGTCGCCCAGCTCGAGGCCTGCGCCCGCCACTTTGCTGTCGACTTCCGCCCGGGCGACGTCCTCGTCGTCCGCACCGGCGCCACCGAGTTCGTCGACGGCCTCTCCCAGCAAGAGGCCGCCCGCGTGGCCCACACCTTTCCCCGCCTCAGCGGCATCGAGGGCTCCCCGGAGATGGCCAGGTGGCTCTGGAACAAGCGCTTCACCGCCGCCGCATCCGACAGCGTCGCCCTCGAAGTCTTCCCGCCCATCAATCCCGACGGCACGCGTGCCGGGATGGAGAACCCAGGTACCATCGCATTCATATGCTGCGAGCCCCTGGAAGAAGTCGAGGAGAGGAATACATGAGCTGACCAGGACTTGACTTGTAGTTCTCCACCATTACATGCTCGGCCTGTTTGGCATGCCCATAGGCGAGCTCTGGGACCTCGGCAAGCTGTCGCAATACTGCCAAAAGACCAAGCGCTACTCGTTTATGATTACCTCGGCTCCTCTGAACCACCCGTGCCTCATTGCCTCGCCCCCAAACGCTCTCGCCATCTTCTAGACGCGACAGTCAAGCTGGACAGGACAGAGACAAGCTGCGGGTGAGAGTAGCAGAACAAAAGGGTAGATCTTAGTTCCAGACACGTGTGCGTATTGTCTGCAGACTCTTCAATCTCCAGCCTCAATAGAGGCGTAGTGTATCCAACATGTCCCTCCTCTCTTACTTACCGAGGATCTCGAGACTCGGTAGTTTTGTCTCGTAAACTCGAGCAGCCCGGGAGCTTTTCGTGCTGTGTCTTTTCTCCCGCTGCATGTACAGGCCCCGAATCCGAAGACCCAAGGGGCCATCCGCAATCACCTGTCCAAGCGTGCGTTTCTGCAGCACAAGAGCTGGGGCTGCGAACACCCTTATTCCGTGCCTTTGGGTCAGAAGGGCATAAACGTGCCAGGCCAGAACGTCGAGCAGTGAGGCATACCCCTACATTTGCCAGCCGAGGAGCGTAGCGTATTGTGCTGTGCAGGAGAAAATAGGTTCCTTGAAGGCCTGACTCGAGACGTTGCCTTTCCGTACTCGATTCATCTCCGTCCGAGTCCTCTGTCAAGCTCATCCCGCCTCGACCAATTCCGACCAGTTCTATAGGAGAAACTTCCTTCCCTCTTGAAGCGGTGCCAAGGGTATTGGTGGTGACACTTCAAGCAGCCCTCGCACACAGACTGAGAAGTGCACATGCCCGTCCTGTCGCTGCTTGACTCTGGCCGCGAGGAAGACCGGGCCGCGACAGTCCGAGACGTTTCGGAGCAGCTGTTGGTGCATACTTGGCGTGAGTTTCACTGCCGGCATACAGGCGGCGCCGGCGTTGAAACACCAGTCCAACCTTGACGCTGGGAGCACCTGTTTTTGCCTTTTTGAAGTCGTAGCGCATCTCCGAGGAGCTTGGGGCGGGGCAGCCAGAGAAAAGTGAGTTGCATGTACATATACCGCTGTACTCGACCGCAACTCAACAAGCGCAACAGCGTCGTTGGTCTAATGGTTAGGATTCAACTCTTCCAAAGTTGAGGTTCGGATTCGATTTCCGGACGACGCATTCTTTTGCTGCCCTCATCCCTTTTTGGATTATTTTCAGCCGCCATTTTTCTATACTTGCACTGCCTTCTTGTCAAAGAGCATCTAAACCTCGCCTTGTTTTTTGTTGGTTTTTTCACGTCCTTGCAGGCAGTAATTGAGAAACACCCGTCGCCTGGTTCCTAGATCCATCAGAAACTTGAGGCCTCGGCCCAAGAAATAGGGCATTAAACACGTGGACACTGTGGGTCAGAGACGACACCCTTGCACTCGGCTTCGGCTCGAGACGGCTTCACCTGTCGAGCACGAAAGGACAACACAGCACAATCAATACTGGGCTGTCGAAGCAGCCGTGGTCTTGGTATGCTTCCACTGGGCCCCCTTGTAAGTTGCAACTTCTCTTCAACGAACTCGTTCGAGCAAAGCGTTCAACTCTCCCGGGTGGTATATCATCATCGCACGCGACAAAAAGAGTCCATCAGTCCCAACGACATGTCCCGACATGTCCAAGCCCGACGCAACACCCTTGGGCCTCGCAGCGTACTGTTTAAAGCCGCCGTCGCCTTGGCTTTCTGCCCCCAGCCAGCCTTCCCTCAGCCCAGCGTCAATGCCCGCAGGAGACCGGCCTCGACGCCTACGCCTGCCAAAAACTCCAAAGCTCTCATCATCCCAGCGAGCGCAAATCATCACTTCGTTGTCTTCATCAGCAATCCAAAGAAGGCGAGGTCAAAAATACACAAGGCAGGTTCCACGCAACAAGTGGAGGACAGGCCGGCAGCGCAACCAACCTGGAGCAGCAAACGCTCTCGCAGCCGGACAGGTTTGCAAGACAGTAGGCCGACCGTCTTCCAACCCGCTCGAGAGCTGGCTGTGACGAACGACCATGACCATAAGTGCCGAAAAGCAGGCTCACGGTGCGCGTGAGCAAGCCCCAACTAAACCGCACCCAGCAAGTAAACCGTGACTTGGACTCGAGGACCATCACATCGGGAGAGCTACTGACGCACTGGGCAGCCCGAGGCAAGACAAGCAACAGCATCGAAGCAACTGCAAATCGCGGGCGCAAGACAAACATCACAAGAATAAACACGCACGCTAAGCAAGAAGCCACGGCCGAGGGCAGCAAAAAGCATGTTTTAACTGGGGTGACAAAAGAAAAAAAAAGCCGCAACCGTTGAAATTGACTGATGACAATCCACCAGGGGACTAAAATCTCCAACGCCGGTCATAATCGACTCAAGAAAATCGAGAGCGTTGTATCATGGTGACGAGCAGAGCAATGCTGGTATGAGATAAATCAGTCCCAACGCCTCAACGTCACGCCAGGCAAAGGCCTTCGTAGATTGGGCCACCAAGAACAAAAGAACGTCGTAAAAACGAGCTCCCCCAACATGCGCTTGGGTCTGGCCGTTCGAGCCGGGCGTCAACGAGCCAGGTCATTTACTGCAAAGCATGTCAGTCGTCTAAACACACTTCATCCTGGGCAGCCCATCATACCTGGGGAGGGCCAGCGGGGCCGGGTGGTCCCGGGGGTCCCTGAAGGCCAGGAGCCGGAGCGCCAAAGTGTTGGGGGCCATAGGGGCCTGGGCCGTGGCCTGGCATGCCCATGTAATGAGGCGGCGGGGGAGCGGGTCGGTAAGGGGTGCCGACGCCCGAGTTGTTCTGAGACCGGCCCCAGCTGAGACGCACGCGCGAGTTGCCAATCGGGTAGCCCTGCATCTGGTTGATGGCCATCTCAGCGGCGTGACGGTGCACAAACTGGACAAAGCCGCAGCCCTTGCCGGGTGGAATCTTGACGTATGTTATCTCGCCAAAGCCTTGGAAGAAGGAGCGGAGTTCGTCCTCGGTCACGTAGCCCGAAAGCCCGCCGACAAAGACGGTCGTGTTGTTGGGGTCCGTGAACTGGTTCATCTGCGTGGCAGGGTTATAGCCGCCGTACGGAAAGCCCTGCATTCCACCACCCCACATCTGTTGCTGCTGGGGCATGCCGCCGCCTCCCATCATGGGCCCGCCGTGGTGGCCGTGCCCACCGAACCCGTGGTTGCCGCTGAGGACAGGGAGTAAGCTCGTGCTGCGAAAGGTCGGGGATGCTCCATGCCACACGTACCGGTTCTTGGGCGTAGCGGTAGAGATCCTCATAGGTCTGTTACCACAGTACACACCCTGCATTTCAACGAGCGCGCGCTGCTGGTCGTTTTCGTCCGAGAAGCGAACAAAGCCATAGCCGCGGCTCTGGCCCGACATGGCGTCCGTCATAATCTTGGCAGACTTGCAAGACGGGAAGCGGGCCTGGAACAGAGAGACCAGGACGTATTCGTTGACCTCGGGGCCCAGATCACCCACAAAGATGCTATACTCGGGACCACGGTCGTCTCTGCAGCAAGAGGTCAGCCGGTCAGCGCAGCCAGGCAGTCGAAACAAGAAGAGCATACCGTCTATCGACAAGTCCGCCACCCGAGGCCCAGTTGAGCTTGAACTGGCGTGAGCTGTTGGGAACAGGAGTGCCGTTCAAAGTGAGAGCCTTGTTGGCGGAGTCGGGAGTCGGAAACTCAACAAAGCAGTAGCCGGCGTTTCTGTACGTCGTCTTAGTCGCCTTTGACTCGGGCAGCGGGGCGCATGGCCGAGGGCCGCGGACTGTCGACTTACCCAGAGTTCTTGTCGCGAATGACCTTAACATTGACAGTCTCGCCTGCAGCCGATAGGAAGACGCCTTTGATGAAGTTCTCATCCATCCAGGGTTCAAGCTCGCCCATCCTGAAGCGCAGCGTCAGCGACCTGCAACATGGCAACTCCGTAGATCGCTTACCAGAGCGTAGTCTTTTGCTGATCCTGGCCGCCTGGGGGCGGTGCAACAGCCGACATGTCAGTTGCCGGTGGGGTGCCGTTGGGAAAAGACATCTTGTTGCAGTATACTCAAGTTGCGTGAAGGGATCGAGAAGCTGATCTGGATGGTATATCAACAATCGGCGACCTCGACGAAGATGGTCTCTGGTGGATCTGCGAGAAGGCCTTGGTTAGCAGTCTCGATCGGGGCGTGAAGTGACGGTCGATCAATCAGGCCCCGCAGTAATAATATGGCGAGTCGTGATAGCTTTGTTACCTGGGGCCGCCCAGGACTCCGCAACAATAGGAGAATAGGGAGCCAGCAAAGCGAAAACTTTCCGGCGCACACAAAAACTAGGATCGGCGAGGACAAGTCTGGAGCACGTAACACGGCCGCGACCATACCACTTTTGATCGACCGGCCTAGGGATCACCAACAGGCAGAGTGTTACTTACCGAATGACAAATCGAGGGGAGAGGGCGGAGAGGACAAGAACGGGCGATTATTCGACTACGTTCTGTATTTCCGCTTTGAAAGGAGCGGGTTGAGGCCTCTTGGGCGGTGTTGTCGGATACGAATACCGAGAGGAGAATCTGTGTCATGTGTCAGTTCGTTGCTCTACCCGTCTACGTGCTGCGAACTGCGGCTCTTTCAAACGCATTGAGGTTGCGTTTGACGGCCACAAGGATCGGTATACTAACCTACTGGAGCCTCTGGATGCTACGCGGTCGAATCGAAACGAAAATCGGAAGCGAATCGAAAAAGGCCGGTATCCAGACCCAATGCCGAGACCCAGTAGCGTAGTCGAAAGGCAAGCTGTCAAGACGCCGACACGCCGCGTTGGAAGTTGCAAGAGAGTGCGTCGAAATATTCCGCCGGTGGCCAAGCAACAGACAACAACGACAGTGTCCAAACGGTGACTGTCGAGATGAAGCTGGAACGGGATATTCCTTTGGTGATTGGAAACCGAACGCACGCGTTACCAGAGATTCCGAAGGAACGTGTGTAACAGCTGAAACGCTCTGAAAACCACTAGAACCTACTTTGACGGTTAGTATCAACGCCCATGATTTATTTCGAACTTTTCATGTGCTCTGTGCTCCAAAAGGCTCCAAGACATGGTAAAATGAACATGCGCTCAGGGTAGGGTTGATGTCAGTCCGGCGTGGCATCCATATTCGGCGGAATCTCAGTGCTGTGTGTATGGCCAGGCTGGATTCGGCCAGTCTGGGAGAGCTGCAGCCAGGACTACAGTTTGTCCAGGTGGAAAATATCAAGCGCAGGTGAGCATGATCCGATTCCCAACATGAAGAGGACTGCCAGCAGTTGGTTCTGATGCGTCCGAGCCGAATTATCCGCCAGGTCCAGGAAAGCGCCGGCACAGGAAACTTGCTATCCGGCGTCTGAGGTGTTTCCAGCGGACGGGGAGTAGGCAAGATCGTTCAGGAAGTATATCGTGTCGCTTTGAAGACAAGCATTGACGCATACTGTTGATGTGTGACCAGGCGAATCTATGGATACCGACAACTCGCGTTACCTGAGGCATCACGGCGATTGAATTTTGGGGACTGTCGATGAAGAGGTTTGAGACGGTCTGTTGCGAATCACGCCCCGCCCATGTAGGTGCTGGCTCCAACCACTCTGGAAGCGAGGGCTATGTGGCGACGTCTCGGTACGTCGAGCGACAGGGCGCGCCCATCGGCGTATGCCCATGACAGCAGGCGCGGAAGCGTGAAATGCTCTCCGGTCGATGCCGGAGAAGCGCAATTTCGGACCCATTTCCCCGTGTCGCCATGTCAAAATGGTTGATGCCTAGCATACCCGAGGTGAGGCGCTCAGATGATGCGTCTTGACGGCACGTGCGCGGCGGCGAGATGTCGGCTCAACGTCCGGGCGGCATCGAGGTTGATCGGTGTCGAGCCATGCTCAAGGCGCGCTCGATTCAGAGTGAATGGGTGCATGGCGCATGCGGCCTGATGTTGCGAAGAGGGCGAGTCGAGTCGCGGCGCACAAGGCACCGCCAACCCAGTGGAGGGGAACTGCTCCGTCGTCGCGGGCCGTGGCTAGGGTCCTCTGCGTGTTGAGACCTGTCGCAATGGGTCCAGGGCCGACGACTTCGCATGCGCACTCGAGCGTCTCGTTTGAAGGATTGACGTTGGCGATTTTGTCATTGCCATCGAGGGGTAGCACCGGCCAGAAGGAGATCTCAACCCGGAGGTGCAGGACGAGCCACGGACAGATGGGGAATCGAGAGCAATGATCAGTCGAGGGGGAAATGGAAAAGGATACTCACTTTTAGGCGCCGGCAAAAACAACCGTAACTCTCTCGGCCAACGTCCAAAACACGCGCAAAGGAAGAGTCGTGAGCGATGATGGGGGGTTTGAGGTGAGGAGGGAAGAAAAAAAGAAGAACGTGGGCCAGTGGAGCGGAAGGACGGACGAGCTTTTTTTTTTTTTTACACCTTCCCTGGCCAGTCGAGTCGTGACCGATAGGGTACTTGCTGCGACCCTCTCGATCTCTCGCTGTTGGGCAGGACACGCACAACAAGGCCCGCACTGCAAAGCCTGCACTGGGTCGCGCGCGGGAATCAGCTTAGGCGAAGGCAGGGTAAATTGTCGACGGGGGAGGGGGGTGGGCGTGCGGCGGGCTCGTCGACGAGGGGGGAGGCGTGTGTCTTGTCGGCGCCAGCCAAGGGTCTCCGATCTTTGGGCCGCTGACTCCGAGTTTTACTAATAAGGTTGGCGGTGTCGAGCTAGGCGTTGGCAACTGGCGCTTTAGTTTGTGTGTCTGCTCGAGAAGGAGAGACATACTGCCGATGAAGCAGGCGAATAGCTGCTCGCTCCTTGCGCATCCGCCTGCTGGGCAGCACGCTCTTGGAGGGCGGAGATGAACCAGTACACCAACAGCTATACACCGTGTCAACGGATGGGTCGATGTACTGTAGGTCACCCGTCTCGAGATCGGATGCCGTCGAAACAAGGGGGGGTGCTGGAGGGCTGCTTTGGTTGCGGGGAAGGGTCGAGAGCCGCAGGAGGGAGTCCCGAAGCGGAAACGACGCTGACGATGCGGACGGAGAGTGTCGAGCATGTACTTCTTTAATCGGCCGGAACTGGTGGGAGAGGGATGATGTCGAGGTCGTGCTGGATAATGGTTTTCACCGACTTCTTTGTGCGCAGACGACATGGGCTGCGATGGCCGTATACTGGATTCCGGGCTACGGGTACTTGGGAGCTGCTGTGGCTGTCACCGGTTCAGGTGTATATTCTGGAGCTTCCCGGGGCACTGCTTAGCGCCAGCCGGCTTGTGGCACAGCCACCCTACAGAAAACCCGGCGGGCCTACCCTATGTCAAGTCCTTATATTTGTCCAGCCGTGTCTGCGGATGGCCTACATCCTCCGACATCTCTCGAAGCCCTTGGAGACCGTCGCTGGCTTGTTCCAAGCGGTCGGCATCCATGTCATGTGGCTGTTTGCATCTCTGGCCGCGGGCTGTTCCAACAGCTGCTCTCCTTGCACACGGTCGCGGGCAACGCCTCCAGATCCATCACCTTTGCGGGCACAGTTGACCACTGCAGCATCCTGTGCCTCCAACACCAAGGTTCGGCCAGGCAGCGGGCACAGCCTGCAGCGAACATCGTGGCTTGTTTGCTCGACCATATGGACATGTCCGCCTGCGCTGGCAGCAACCCCGTCTGCCGGTCCAAACAGAGGGAGTCTGAACAGTCACAAGCCCCTGTGCCCAGTCATGGCATCTGGGAGATCCGCAGCGGCCGGTCCTGTTGTGCGGCGACGATCAACAACGCTGTTCGTGCGAGCTACCGCAACCACGCTGGCTCAAGATTGGGGGGGAGGAGGGGCAAAAGCTCGAGGGATGCGTCTTGCTAGGGCTGCCTTTTCTGCAAACAGAACGGACCAGAAAGGCAAAGGGAAATGGACGCCCTGACTAGCTCGTTCCTCTCGCAACATCCATCGACTGACTACACCTCCGGAAAATCATGGCTGCATCTTGGGCGTGGCACTGCTGTGCAAACTCTCCCGGACATTGCAAAGCACAAGAGTTTCGTCAACTGCAGCCTTGACCAACCAGCCAACAGCAAAGTAATCCGCTCAGGGCAAGTGTCCTCTAGCTTCAAAAGCCCGCCGGCGACATTTCGGGCCTACCGCGCCGTTTGCGGCCGGGCACCCTGTGTGGGCTCAAGCCGTCGCCGTCCTCTCTCCGGAGGCGTACGCGGCCGTCTCGAGACGTATGAAGACCCAGGGGTTCGACTGGGCGTCTTCAAGTCGGCACACATCGATATCCAACAACCACTCTCACCCACCGGTCATGGGCTCCTCGAGCTCATGGTACACAAACAAGCAGCACTGTGGCAACATCGACAGCGGCAGGCAAGGCTTTTAGACTTTGCAGGAATCAGTGGATCCCGGCGGGCCTGGCAAAAGCCAGACTGTCCCTATTTTCATACCTGCCGCCAAGGCCATGCTGGTACATACACTGGCTGTATCACATCTCAACAGCAAGCGGAGTGTCCCTATCCGACTGACGAGTGCACACTTCGCACAGGTCGCTGTCTCGCTCCGTTTTGTTGATCAGAAGTCGGCGTCTCGGGCTATTACAGTACATACAGTTGCTCTGCGACCGGTACGACGAGATCGAGCCAGCCAAGCATTGTCTCGGCTGTGCCAACGCTGCCCTGCATGTCTCTCCGGGCAGCCCCCTTGTCATATCCCTCTCTTACCAACTCGGCTTCCCTTGCCTGAATCGATATTTCTTTGCCCCTGCTCTAGCCGTTTCGTCTTATAACTCCACGCATGTATGTACTCTGCTCTGGCCACTGGAGGTGAGTCCGCTGCATGGAATGCAATCCCGCGTCGAGCCCACTCTTCACTTTCTTCAACAAGCGGAGGAGAAAAGAGCAGCTCGTCTGTTCCCCCCCCGTCGCACGGCCCATTGTCACTTGACGGCCCGATCCTCGCCAAATCGTTCCCCCGTGCTCTTTGATATGTCTCTGCGCTCCGTCGCCTGTGGGGGCCATCAAGTGTCTCGCACGAAATGACGCCGAGAGCCCTAGTCGCACCGCGGCCACGCCCTGTGCACCGTAGCACCGTGGGTACTACTCTGTACTTACCTGGACATCAGGAGCACAGGGTCCTGCACGCCGGAGTGTCGCGGCCAATGCGCTCAGTACAGACACATGCCATGCCAAAAGAGGTCAGGTCTCAACCCCTCATTTTGCGCACACTCGGCCTGCTCGGGATAGCTTCAGTCAGTGATCCAACCAGATGCCCCTTTCGCCATGTGGTGAAGCCCTGGCTGGCGGCGTCTGGTTGAGCCGAACCCCTCCCACCCAGACAGCCCGCGTCATTCCCTGTTTCTGATGCCAACGTTCGCACTCAACAACGACACTTCTGCGCACTTGGCGTCAAAGCGCATCTCGCCAGCCAACGAGCGAGAACGATCGTGTCTGGTACCTGATGGTTCTACCCACCCTTTCCCCCCCGCCAATTTCCATCCTCCCTACCGTGCATGGTGTGGGCACACGACTGCAAGGCCACCAACCACGCCGTTGTCTGCACATTTCGCTATGCAAGGCTCGATGGCCCAACCCAGGGCAGTGGAGCGATCTCGTTAATCATTAGCCGCAGGCGTGACCGCGTGCTGCGAGATACTGCACTATCAGAAATACCAGAGACAAATAAATGGCTGGCCTGGATAGAAGCAGGGCGGGCGACCACACGGGCCCCACAGGCACCCAAAAGCAGGGGTCGGGGCGGCCGACAACTGTGCACTCATCACTGATGGGCAGCCTGATTTTGGTCGCAAGGGTTTGCCAACATCATGGCAGATGACGAGATTTCGTCCCAAAGACTCGGATGATGACGCTTGTCAGAGGATCGACACCCAGACCCCTGCTCAGCCACGACGGCGTCAGCTGAAAAGCTGCCGGCTCGAAACATGGGCCCCCAAACACACTAACAACGGGGGGCATCTTTCGCAACTCAGGCCAAAGAAGAACCAGATGGATTGCTGGTATCTGACGAACTCGAACGGGTGCGCAGTTCCTGCGGCAGAAAGCCCTTCCGGTCACAATATGCCACACCCCCCAGCACGCCATAAGGGGAAGCACCCTAATTACCGAATATCCATCCCTTGGACCTCGCAGGTACATGCCGTATATGTACTCTTTGCTTCTGTCGGTGGCGTGTCTCTAGCCAGTGCGGGGGCCGCTCTCCCTCGCAACGCTCTTATTATGTGTCCTAAACCCCTTTGCTGGCTGCATCAACAAAGGTCACCTGGCCCAAGAGATGGGGGCCGAGGGAGAGACGAACACGCAATTGCGAGCGACAGGCCTCCCGTTGTTCGGAGTTGAAATCCGACATCGTGGTTGTGGTCCTCCTGTTCCTCGCCCCCGTGTAACTACTCGGAATAGTCCATCCGGCCCGCCGAGCAATGCTGTTGCATCGAGCTTGGGTTGAGAGGCAAAGTCCGGCTGCGTAACCAGCTTTCGGAGCAGACCACGGGTGCTGCAGAAGCGGAGAGCTGGGCCAAAGTCGTCGGCGCGGGAGCGGCGCGGGTAGCGAAACGTGCCGTTGGCCATTCGGCGTGATGTTGACGGCATCGAGCAAGGTTCTTTTGGCCGTGTCGCGCCGGTGCACAGGAGCCATTTCAAGGCAGCGCAGAAAACGCCATGTACGGCTGCTGGGGAGACGAAAAGTCTCGCATTATGCTTGCCAGATGCATCACTTGTGCCTATAGTGAGGAAGAATGTCTTAGGCGCTATCCAGACTGACAGCAACCAAGGGACATGATATTACTGCTGCTTTGGTGTAGAAAGCTTAGCCTGCCTACCTAGCTAACTGCATCCATCATAACCGAGTCTTCGTTCGAGACAGTGACCTGCACGTTATGCGCTCCCTCCCGAATTCTGTGCTCCCTCCGAATCTGCTGTAACGAAACGGGCCGAATTACCGGCTTTGAAAGCTTCAAATAGTGGATCGCATCACCATGAGACTTGACAACTGCACCAACATCCAGCAGTTCCTCGACAATAACGCATCCGCCGCCACCATGCTCGAGTGCGACGGCTTCCCAACCCCGGATCACAGGAGGATGCAGAGCGAATTCCCATGTTCCTCTCCAGGTTACAACAGCAGGCTGCCCGTCCCCCAATTGCCTCGTATCTGAAGAGCATCGCCGATCCCTCTCGTCCGTTCCATATCTTCATTGTTTCAAGTTTTGGCATCTTCATGGCCACTGCTGCTGCCTCCTGGAGCATGTCGCCGATCTCGCTCGGGCTCTCATCGGGCGGGAGTAGTCGTGAAGTAAGCACAAGCGAAGTCAGGTTGGGCCACTTCCAGGAGAGTTCGCAAGCATGGAAGAAATAGCTGGCATCCACCGGGAACGACGCTGAGAGATGTTCAAGCTTGAGACTGGCGTTGACCACCATTTGGCTAACACCAGAGTTCGGGACTCGAATATGTTCACAATCCGTAAAACTAGGTGGTTACTGTTGATTAAAGTTTTCGAAGAGCACGAGTCTCCGTAATTTGTTGGAAGCGAGCGACTCGAAAAGCGATCGGTAGGCTACATTAAAGACGAAGATTAGTAGGTGGTCCCCGGTCAACAAAATGGCATGGCAGAGAACAGCGAACGGTCGCAACAGTACTCACATTTGTCCGTCCACCTCGGCTGAGACTTATCCCATTCCCTCCAAGGCTCGTAGTGGATCTCCTGGAGTCTGGGAAGCCGGGCAAACATCTGTGCCAGCGATGTCGGCTTCCATCGTCGGCGGTTCTGCTGACGTAGAAGTATACCTGTTACTGCTGGGGCTGATGGCAGTTGCTGCCACCATTGGTTTTCCTGCTCGTCATCATTGAACGGTCCTTCGCCCATGATTTCCTCGAAAACTTTGTAGGTAGCATTGTCGGTCGGAGCGAAAGCTCGGCTGCCAGCAATCCAGCCATGCTAGTGGTGATCAACTTTGGCTACCATCGCCTGCTCTACGCATCGATTCCGGCCGCACTCGTCCGAAGGAGCATCAGGCCCAAAGGTCAGGTATTTGAACCAATGCTCTGAGTCGCTGGGCGAGTGAACGCTGACATCGAGCAGCAAGTCGCCGTTTGGCTCCCAGGTGCTAAGTGCTGAGAATAGATCCTGGAATGCTGTGGTGATGAGGATATTGTCCTTGTTGCTGACGCCCCATACTGCCGGATCTTGAGGTGCACACTCGGTGCAATCATACTCTTGGAGTTCCAAGCAAAGCCATATGTAGCCCACGAGAGCCCGATTGCGATGAACAGTCGAACCAAAATCGGCGAGGCGTGACGGTGTCAGTCTGATTCGGGCGAAGTTGTGCCGCTCGATGATCGTCTGCAACTCTCGCGACACTGACGAAGCGAGCCAAGCTGCAACCGTCCTGCGGTAAGACGTCGAGGATCACAAGCCGGGTCTCTGCGCGCAGGCAGTCCCAGGGGTCTTGTTGACTGTCATTAAAGACATTGGTGCCATATTCGTGAACAATGACAGGAAAGAGGGTCGATGCACTGCTTGAAGGAGGTCGTAAGGCGAGAGGCGATAAGAAAGAGCGGAAAGGTTGGTATTAAGGAGCTGTGAAGAAGAGAGATGAGCAGAGCAGCGATTTTTATTTGCAGACACCTTCTTGTAAGATCTCGGCCTGATTGCGCAGATTGAGCGTGTGACTCTTGCCGGCTGTGGTGCGCTTGAGCTTTTGAGTGAGCATGGTTCTGTAAAACTCTTAGCTCGCGCATTTTGCCGTGGAAAAAGAGACTGGGAATAGTGTCAAATTGCAACAGGGCTAGACATGCTGCTACCTTCGCGCGCCATGCGCCCTTGGTTGTGTTGCAGCCTTCAAATTCCTCGATAACGACCAAAGTAGCAGCCAGCTCTATATTTCAAGGACAGCAATATCTCTGTAAGTATGAACTTCTTCATGTTACATGTCATGGGGTTAGCCCTTGTTGTTGTTGTTGTTGCTTTGCTTTGGTGTTGGACCAAGCCTTCTTATGCGTGCTCAATTGACAAAGCTGTCGTTTAATCAATTTCGCTCTCTTTTGCTGCATGCCACACTTTGCCTTTGCAGTGACTGAGGGGTTTGGTAGCGCGACCACTGCTTTTGCCCACCAGGCAAAGACTCTTACATTATTGCTCTTTCCTATATTGGCGTCTATGTGGAGCTCCGTTGGCCGCCTCGTACTCTACTAGCAACTTCGCGACTCTGGTGGCAGTTACGATAATCACAGCAACCGTCACAGTCACAACATGTGCAAGCTACCTACCCTTGCGCCTGCCGCATAACGCAATCGCCTATATTAATGCAAGTAATATAGCTTCCTTCAATTAGTAGACTACTTCTAGTAGCTAAACAGCATTATAGACTGCTTGCTATAGCCCTTGAAACTGTCAAGCCACTGAGGTGGTGGAAGCAGGCGAGGGCGTCAGGGACGCTCCCGGAGGCACCATGTAAGAGACAGTTCCAGGTATCTGTTTCTGGCCTATTTAGTAAGGGACCCTGTTAGCCTCTGCACACCATGGACATATATGTAGTTATATCCGCAGATGCACTCTTTCAGGAAGGACAGCGCAATCTACACACTCTCTCTCAATGCAAGGACTCCATGGGTAACTACTTGAGTGATGATTGAATGGTCGTTGTGCCCAGGACTAATGCCCAGGTACAGACTCTGCACGTACCTCGAGTGAGCATATCCGTGGTGTGGTTGGTGTTCTGGAAATTTCGGCTTAGTCATCGCCGCGGCCTCGTCAGACGCCTGCTGGCTGGAGCTTAGCATCGCAGGGTCGTCACCGAGAGGCTGCCTATTCTTGCCACTCGAGGCCGTAAAATACAAACCCGAGACGATGCTTACGGCGCTCAATCGTCTTCTTCCGCCCTCGACTTTGTGATACGCCTTCGTCTCCGATACCGCCAGCGCACCGTCATGGCAGCTCTCTCGTCGGAACAGCGGGAGCTCCAGCTGGTGGAGAATGTCGAGTTCAAGATCCTCGCCGTGGCCAACAAGGAGGACAAGCTCCAGCACCTGCTGCAGCTCTACCTGACGCCGCTGATACTCAAGGCCGCCAGTAGCCACGGCTCGGTTCGCGAGAGGGTGCGTTCTGCGGGCTGACACTGTGCGCTCACCGTTGACGCCCTCGCTCCAGGTGATACGGGTATTGGCCCGGCTCAAGACCTTTATCCAGCCTCCGTCGTACGCCTCTACCGCTGATCCCAATGTTGGACCGTGACTTACATGGACTCGTAGAATTGTGCTGCCCGTCAAGGCACTGCTGGAGCAGTACAAAGCCAACGAGTCTCCCGTCATTAAGCAGCTCGACCTGTCCTTTATCCAGCACAGTCTGGACAGACTGGACGCCGAGGATCGCGTGCCTCTCATTCCCATTGCCCTACAGGGTCTCGCCGCCGATGAGGGCCATCCTAGGGCCACCAGCATACTCAACATTGTCCTCCGACTGCTTCTCGACTCTCGGATACCCCCTCGCGGAAGCAAAGATGACGAGGCATTCAGATCTTCAGTTGGTCTCTCAGACGCCGCCGACGCGAGATATCTTTCCCATGTCATTGGAGTCTTCTTCCGCCTACGCGCCCCTACTGGCGTCCAGAGCTTGGCGCAGTCTAACCCGGCGCTTTCTCGACAAGAGCTGGAACTCTTCGCCATGGAAAATTCCGACTCCGAGAAAGTCTTCCGGCGCCTGTCTGAGCTCAAAGCCAAGCTGGTGGCCTTCTTGGCTAGCGGGGCTTTGACGGATGACGAAAAGCTTCTCCCTGCTCTCTATGCCGCGGCGGGCTTCGACAACAGGGTCGCCTCCACGGCCGAGGAGATTATCAAAAGGAGCTCCGTCTCCATGGAGAACGAGGCGTTGGTCAAAAGCCTGTTTCACGCGCATTCCATCTTGCCAGCAGCCTATCGAACCCGCATCCTCGGCATGCTGTCCAAGTCTGCTGTTTCGACGACAATGACAGACAGCATAGCGGGCGTCGTCGAGCGTGATTTCGCGCCGCTGCGTTCAGAGGAGCCGTCTGCTGCTTCCATGCAGCCAACAAGCGCCCTGGAACGAACCAAGCTTCACAACGCACTATTCCAGTACCTGTCTTGGGTCGCCCGGATCGGACCGTCGCAGCCGGGATTCGCCATTGGCCCTCCGCTCATCCGCAGCATGACGACTTATATTGAGACACAGGGCTGGCCTGCTCCGCAGAACTCGTCTCACGATGAAGTCAACCTACGGTCCAAGGCCTACGAAACCATCGGAATGCTAGCAAGAAGCGCCGACCTGTCTGTGAAAGAGCGTTTGGAGCTCGGTGCTTGGCTGTTCCGCTCGCTGTCCGAGGATCCCACCAATGACGCGGTTGTCAACATCGACGGCGCACTCTCGAGTCTGACGGCTGGTATCCCGCCCAGCATCGGGGGCGACCAAGAGCGGCTAAGGACCATGCTCCTTACGTACATGTCGCTTCCCGATGAAGCCCCTGCCGTGAGAAGCACACGTCACGCTGTGGTCAAGTGGGCGAACCAGTGTCTTCCCTCTTCAGATATCCGTGGCCGGTGGATCGACATTTTGGCAGTAGCTGGGCGTTTGAATGAACGGAGTGACGTGGTCGAGCAGGGCCACAAGGGGCTGGATCCTTGGACGTATTTCGCCCATAGCGAGTCCAGGCTCCCCTTGCCTGACTGGAAGCATATGGTCGTCACCTTCTTCAACTCTCTCATTGGGCCACATCAGCCGTCTGGTCCGGCATCCAGCGGCAGCTCGACAACTGCGTCAAGCGCCACCGTCTTCCAAAACTTCCCGGGAGGACGGATCCAGGCGTTTCCTGTCGCACTCCGGTACTGCAAGCAAATCATGCTGCTCGCGGCTCTCGATGACTTTAGCGTCCAGCCGGATTGGATGCAGGCGCTGGACGCACAGGTCAAGACAGATGTGAAATGCAGAGACAGGGTGCGAGCGTACCTGGGGACTGTCGACGGCGCCCACATCGTCCTGTATCTCAAGTCGTGTCTTGTAGGGGCTTTCCTGGAAGACTCCCCCATCGTCGAAGAGTGCATCAGATGCTTCGTCGATGTGGCCTCCTTGAGCCCGGAGGGTCCTTTGGGTGGCCTGGTAGACGTCAGTTCCGGCCTTCTTGGCTTGATCAGGTCCAACAAGAAGGAGGTTCGAAGTCTGGGCGCCAGGGCTTTGGGCATACTTGCCGCACACCCGGCCAACACATCCGACAGCGTCATGTTCTGGCGCACAACCCTGTGCTCGTTATTTGCCGATGCTGAACGTCTTGTGGGATCCGACGCGAACGCCGCCGACGGTGCATTGCTCGCGCTTGGTTATCTCAACTCTCGATCTGTCTACTATGACCGCGATTTCCCCAGAGACCTCGACTACCCCCTGCACCTTCTCGTCGATAAAGCCGGATCCTCGTCGCTCCATGCTTCCGCGCTGGAATCCTTTTCTCAACTGTGGTCCGCCAAGCTGGCGTTGCCCCCTGCAGATGGAAAGTACTCTGCTCGGATCGTAGTCGAGAGGCTCTCAGCCGAGGCCAAGAAGGGAAACGAAAGAGCCGTTGCAGCTCTGGGAAGTCTTGCCATTGGGTTAGATGAATCTGAGGACACTGAGCTGGTCGAGGCTGCTCAAGACGGCGAGGATGGGCCAGGTCGCGGCGTCTTGGGCTTGATTCTCAAGGAGCTGCTTGCCCTGCACGAAGTGAAGCAGGTCGAGCTTCAATTCACCGTCGGAGATGCAATCACCGCCGCCGCGGCGCGCTGGGAGTCAGACTACGTCATCCTGAGGCTGGACGTCGAGGCACGCAGCTCGCAGTTCCGTACCGGTGTGAGAGCGACCCTCCTCGAAGCTGTTCTCGGAAGACTTCTGCAAGGCTCCAAGGCTACGAAGCCGTCCCTCCTCAAGGCGTCTGGCATCTGGCTCTTCTGCATCGTGCAGTATTGTTCGCACCTACCACAGGTTCAGGCCAGGCTGCGCGAGATCCAAGCTGCCTTCATGCGGCTGCTCACCGCGCGAGACGAGCTTGTCCAGGAGACGGCATCTCGCGGCCTATCCCTCGTCTACGAACGAGGCGATTCCGATCTCAAGTCTGCGCTGGTTAGGGACCTCGTGTCTGCCTTTACAGGATCAGGAACGCAGCTCAAAGTGGGCGAGGAGACGGAGCTGTTTGAGCCTGGCGCGCTGCCAACAGGGGAGGGGAGCTCGGTTACGTCGTACAAGGACATTGTCAACCTGGCTAACGAGGTGGGGGACCAAAGGCTAGTCTACAAGTTCATGTCGCTGGCAGCCAACGCGGCGACGTGGTCCACGAGGTCAGCCTTTGGTCGATTCGGGCTCAGCAACATTCTCTCCGAGTCAGAGATTGATCCCAAGCTCTACACGAAGCTGTACAGATACCGATTCGACCCCAACCCCAATGTGCAGCGTTCCATGGAGGACATTTGGAAGGCCCTTGTCAAGGACTCGAATGCCACGCTCGACGCACACTTTGACGCCATCATGGAAGATCTCTTGAAGAGCATAATTGGCCGAGAGTGGAGGGTACGACAGGCTAGCTGCGCGGCCATTTCTGACCTTGTTCAAGGACGGCCGTTTCCGCAGTACGAAAAGTACTACAGAGACGTCTGGACGGCGGCCCTCAAGGTGCTGGACGACGTCAAGGGGAGCGTCAGGGAGGCCGCGCTCAGGCTTTGCATGGCCTTGTCAAACAGTCTCGTCCGTCAACTGGAAGAGGGCAACCACGCGGCAGCGGCAAAAGCCATGATGCAGGAGGCACTGCCCTTTCTCCTCTCCGAAAAGGGCGTGGAGAGCTCGGTTGAAGACGTCCAGATCTTTGCCACCATTACCGTACTCAAGATATCCAAGCACGGCGGCAAGGCCCTACGGCCGTTTATCCCAGGCATGGTGACCCAGCTTCTAGGGCTCCTCAGCACCATCGAGCCCCAGCAGATCAACTATCATTACCAAAGGGCTGGAGAGGAGAGTCGCGATAAGATTGACCGACTGCGGTCGCAAATGGTGAACCAATCACCCATTTCGGAAGCAATCGAGAACTGCCTGCGCTTCGCCGACGTCGAAGTCATGGCCGAGCTCGGGCCGCGACTCGAAGCGACCATCAAGAGCGCCATAGCAATGCCAACCAAGATTGGCTGTAGTAGGGTGCTGACGACGCTGGCGACGCGTCACGCAAGCGACATTGCATCCGTGTCGGGCCGCTTCATGCAGCTGCTCGAGAAGCAGGTGGTGGACAGGAACGACGAAGTCAGCCAGGCGTACGCCCGCGCCGCGGCATACGTGATGAGGGCGGTCCCGGACGAGGCCCAGGCGCGATTCTGCGAGCGGTGCATCAGCATGTACATGCAGGCGGAAGACGAGAGTCGCCGTCAAAAGATTGCCGACGCCATGGTCGCTCTCGCAAAGGTCTCGCCCGACCACTTCACCGCCCACGAGACGGAGCTTGTGCCGTTCTCGTACCTCGGAGGCAACGATTGCGATGAATATACCCGCAAGGTGTTTCAGGAGGTGTGGAACCAGCATGCGGGCAGCAGCCGTACCGTGGTTCGGTACGTCCCGGAGATTGTTGCGTTGGTTCAGCGATGTCTAGATACAGCTCAGTGGTCGCTTCGACACACGGGAGCCTTTACCGTTGCCGCCATGGTCGCCGACGTCGCCAGCGCCAGCGACTCCACGGGCGGGATGGGAGAGGCGAGCCTCAAAGCCATCTGGCCGCTGCTGGACAAGACGATGGCGCTGAAGACGTTCCCCGGCAAGGAGAAGCTGCTCGAGTCGTTCCCCAGGTTTGTGGAGCAGGGGCAGCTCCTCTGGAAAAAGGACGAGGAGGTTGCAGCGCAGATGAAGAAGATTGCCCTGCGAGAAGCAAAACGAAACAACGACGACTATCGGGTCCACGCTTTTCGCTGCCTGTGGCGGTTTGCCAAGGCAAGAGACGACCTGGACATGCTGCAGGAAATTGCCGAGATGACGAAGCCGTATCTGGAGGCTCAGAAGGACGAGGACAAGATGGACGTGGACTCCAAGGGAGGCACCAAGCAGGAGGACCTCACCTTCAAGACAGCCAAGAGCGCTTTCGAGGCCGTTGCCCGCGGATATGCCCGGTCCTCAAGTAAGGACTTTCGACGCTCCCTCCGAGACATCATCGACACTCTCGGGCCATATCTCTCGAGCCCCCAGTTCGACATCATCAAGCGCGAGACATGGTACGACTGCGTCTGCGACATGATGGCGGACGGCACCAAGATGACAGGTCCAGCCGGACCTGCGCCGTCAGCGCCGTTTGACGGCAGCGGGGCACTGACGGCCTTGCTGGAGAGCCTGGACCTGGGGCGGGCAGAGGCGGGGACGGAAGCGCAGAGACTGGGGCGGGCCAAGGCGGTATCTGCGACTCTGCGGGCTAGAATTGACGGGGTGTTTGGGAAGGCCGAGGTGGCCAAGGCGCTGGAGGAAGCGATCAAGGCGGCGATGGGCGAGGAGCGGGCCTTTGATGTGCAAAAGGCGTGGAGGACTGCGCTGGACGACGTACAGGAAGCGCTCAGGCAGTGATGGGAATAGTGTAGCCAACATGGGATTTCTGTCTACGACAACTGCTTGTTCTCTTTGTAATGCACCATGTGAGTTGTGTGGTGTGTTGGTTTAGTTTAGTTTAGTTTAGTGTATTTTCCGTCCAGCAACTTTTGGTCGCTCAGGTCTCCGCAGGGGAGCACAGGACGTGCTGAGCTAGCAGGTGTCTACATGCTACATATCGTACACTTCACCCACTATCCAGCATTTCATCGGCTCAACGGCGCTCATGACAAACCTGTTGCCCGTCAGCGGGACGTCCAGGCATGAAGAGAAAGCTGTCCCGTGGTCAGATCAGCCAATTTGCTTCTGGGGCCTTGCAGCCCTTGATGACCTCGGCGATCGCATGGTCGCGAGACCTTGACGCCGCCGAGATCGGAGCAGGTAACAGAAAGGATTGAGAGGAAAAGGTAGGGTGAGAGAGGAGAATGATGACCGTCTAGTGGCGTGGGCAGATCCTCCGAAGAAGGAGCTCGCTTTCGCCAGCCTGACGAATTTGTCAAAGTCCTTGCCGATTGCGCGGTTGATGGCTGCAGCCGGCCAAGGTGCAAGCCGCATACGATGCCGTGGCGCAACCTTTCTGCAGTAAAAGATGTGTGCTGGCTCTTTTCGTCTTCCGCACGAGCACGTCAGTCGCGCATTGTCGTGACCAAACCTTTCGTGGTAGTCAGCAAAATCCCCATGGTGGGTTCTTGCTGCAAGCAAGTTACGAAGCAGGGGCCGAGAGAGCGCCAATTCTGACGGGCAGCTGGTTGTGGCTTTGTGGTGTGTTGGTTATTATTATTATTATTATTGTATTTTCCGTCCAGCGACCTTTAGGTCGCTCAGGTCCCCGAGACGGGGCACAGGACGTGCTGAGCTGCTGGAAGTCTACTATCGCGGAGTAGGCCCACAATACGCGAAACGAAACGAGTACCAATCCGCGTCTTCTGCCCCTTCCACAGAACGTAAACAATCCACCATTCAGCATTTCATCGGCTCAAAGGCGCTTCTTTGCTCAGCCTGCTGCCCGTCAGCGGGACGTTCAGGCGCGACAGCCATGTCTTTCGTTTTGGCCTCACAGGGCCGGTTCCGAGATGAAGTCCCCGTGGTGGGTTCTTGCTGCGAGCAGATGGTGGAGCAGAGGTCGTGGAATGGTAAGTTCTGGCGGGCAGCCAGTCGTGGCATCGAGGTCGAGGACCCTGTACTGTTGGGGTGCAGAAACTTCCCACCAGGCTTTGAATGCGTCTTTTGGTCGCTGCCTAGCGACCTTGCGCAGATATGCCAGCGTCGGGAGAGCGTCTGCAGGCTCGGGTTGAGAGGTTCCTGCCTTTGCTAAGGCGTCTGCCTGCTCGTTACCTGGGATGTTGGTGTGGCCGGGGATCCAGCGGATCTCAGTGGCACCATGTTCTGCGGCCAAGGCCTGGAATTCCAGGAACTCCTTCTGGGAGGAATCTTGTGGTGTGTTGGTTGTTGTTGTTGTTGTTGTGTATTTTGCGTCCAGCGGCTCAGGCCGCTCAGGTCTCCGCGAGGGAGCACAGGACGTGCTGAGCTAGTTAGAGAAGTGTCCCGAATGAGTTCCCTCGAAAAAACCACTGTCCATCTAAATGCACCCAGCGCTCGTAGTTCGCTACCCGTGAACAACCCCTTCTGTCCCTATCCAGCATTTCATCGGCTCGATGGCGCTCGTGTCAAGCCTCGTACCCGTCAGCGGGATGTCAAGGCAAAGTGTCGGGTGGTCGCAGCCACAAAGAATTGGTCAACCCTTGGTTTTGTCCGGTCAGAATTCTCTCGCTCGCAGCCAAAACTGCTGCCGCAGTCCACGCTCCAGTAACCAAGCCGTGGAAATGACTGGGAGCGGCGGCAGGAAAAACTCTTGGAGGGGATCAGAGGCTGGCTTTGCAGCTTGCCCTCAGGGAGAAAAACCTCCGCAACCGGCCACCGTTGTTTAGAAGGGCGGGCCTTCCAATACCCATAGCTCCTTGGTTCCGAAGAGAGCCATGAGGTCCGAGTGGACATGTTGTCGAGACCGGCTTCGCAGAGGAATATGAACTCTCCTAAGGTCTTCCTCTGTGCTGTTAGGGTCACGATGGACCCCGCAGCAAAAGCGCGGTCGGGTGGCCTGTAGATCCTGTCCCGGCTAACGAGCCACTAACAGCTCCGCGGGTGAAGAATTTTTACAGGGAGAGTTTGTGTGGTGTGTTGGTGGTCTGAGCAACGCTGAGCTCTAGGGTAGCCCCCGGACTGTAACGAGCAGTAACTCCGGAACCGGCGCTTGTAATGATCCGGAGGCGCCACCAAACGCGGGCACCTGCTTTTCGTTGCGTCATGGCGGTCGTGCCTGCGGAGCTGCAGTTGCACCTAGAAGGTTCAGTTGACCCTTGGTCCAGCCAAGCTCTCTCTCTCCCCCCGTCTCCCCTCAACATCAAGGCAGCCTTACCACCGGGAACCTCGAAATCATCCGCTCTTTTGCTCTCTTCACCCTACGACCGATAGCCGCGTGGGCTCATTCGCACAACGGTCAACTGGGTCCCTGTTCCCCCGCACGTTTGCCGCACACTCTGGTCGTTGCACACACAAGACCGATACCTAGAGAAATTCAGCCGCAAGACTCCGTGGGGCGGTTGAAAAGGGATCCAATACTGCCGGCGACGAGCCCTTGACTTGTCCCCGTAACAGAGCCACAAGCTGTTTCGGGAGAGGAGCAGAAACAGACGGCCAAAAATCCGCAGGCAACACCGAGCCTCGATTATCGTCTGCCGAGCAAGCCAGGGAACAAGGCCGCCGACGAATCGTAATCTGCCTCTGCCTGCAGAAAAAGCTCTGTTCAGCCCCAGCTACACCCAGGAACGAGACGCACGACGGCGTCCTTGGCCAGGCAGTAATCCTGGTGACGGCCATGGACGAAAACATCTCCAACTTCGTCTCCATCACCGGAGCGAGCGCCGACGTCGCAGGCGGCTTCCTCCAGCTCGCGGGCGGCGACTTTGAGCGTGCCGTCGGCCTCTACTTTGAGAACCCCGACCTGGTATCGGGCGTGGGCGCCGGCATCACGGGCGGCGAGGCGGCAGCGAGCAACCAGCCGTCGGCGTCCCAAAGCCAGCACAACATTGGCCGGCAAGACGAGAGTGGCGTCATTCACATCAGCGACGACGACGATGATGACGTGATGCAGATCGAAGATGACGACGACGCCAACGACGACACCGACAGAGTTGCCGTTGCGCAAGCCGTTGCGCTTGCCCAGGAAGAGGAAGATGCGGTCATGGCGAAGCGGCTGCAGGAAGAACTATACCAAGGAGGCCAGGGGTCTGGCGACGACGGTGTCAGGGCCCCCATTGCGAGGACAACAGAGACGCTGGTCGCCCCCGACGCGGGCTGGGGCGGCGATGATGAGATGGGATCTGCCTTTTTGGAGCAAATGAGAAGACGAAGGCACCCACCTCGTAAGTTTAGCCCCTCCCCTGTTTCTACACAGCCCGAAAGTTGCCATCGGACATAGCGGCTAACAGTGCGGGCAACACAGCTGGGTCGGGAGGACCGTTTGGCCAGCGGATTTGGGCAGATGGCTCCGCTGCCCCCGCACCCTCGACCGAGAATGGCACGCACGCGCGAAGGCTCGAGGACTTGTTCCGGCCTCCCTACGAGCTCATGTCGCGCGTATCGTGGGATGACGCCCGGACGCTGGGCAAGGAGGACAAGAAGTGGATACTGGTCAACCTACAGGACATGAACGACTTCAACTGCCAGGCGCTCAATCGAGACATCTGGAAGGACCCGGCCGTGCGCGACCTGGTGTCGGAGAACTTTGTCTTCCTGCAGTACGATAAGGACTATCCCGACGCCCAAGAGTACATCACCTTTTACTTTTCTCACCAGACGCACGAGAACCCTGACAACTACCCGCACGTGTCCATTATCGACCCTCGGACGGGCGAGCAGGTCAAAGTGTGGAGCGGGCGGCCCTTTCCCAGCGCCGTAGACTTTCACGCCGAGCTCGCCGAGTTTCTGGACCGTTACAGCCTGGCCGCCAACAGCAAGAACCCGGTAGCGCAGTCGACGGGGCGCAAGGCGCAGGTAGTGGACGTGGACCGCATGACGGAGGAGGAGATGCTGGAAATGGCGCTCAAGAACAGCCTGGCCAGTGGCGAGGGCAGCGGGGCGAGGGCGGCGGCCAATATCCAGGATCCGGACGCGCTGACCAAGTCGTCGGGTCAGAGCGGTGGCGCCGAGGGCGAGGACGAGGGCGAGGGCGAGGGCGAGGCCAAGGGCAAGGGCAAGGAGCCGGAGCAGGCTGAGGCGGCGAGCGCGTTTTCGCAAATCTCGGGCGACAAGCCGCACATGGAGCCAGAGAATGACGCGGCGATGACGACGCGAATCCAGTTCCGACACCCCGACGGGCGGGTAATTCGACGGTTCCGGCTGCAGGACCCGGTGCGCAGGATCTACGAGTGGCTCAAGGCGGAGCCGCTCGAGGGCAAGCAGGGCGTCGAATTTGAGCTCAAGAAGATGCCGCAGGGGCAGGACCTGATGGGCAGCGTGGATGAGGCGATTGAGGAGACGGGCCTCAAGCAGGGGACGGTGATGATTGAGTTTGTGGACGGGTGATGGCCAAGGGTGCGGAAACCTGGTAATGGAGGCAGGGAGGAGTCTCTAGAGCGAAATGCTAGACGAAGCTGGTTCTATTTCCTTTGTCGAAGCAGGGGAGGGCCGCTTTCATGGACGATATAGACGGGAAAACGGCATTTGGGCTGTGAGGCTGGACGAGCATCGAGTCGACAGCGAGGAGGAAGCAATGAGATGAGCATTTTACGTTTCGTGCTCTGTGGACTAGATGTTTGACAGGTGTCGGACATGGTCCTCACCGTCGTGTTCCTGTGGCCAAGAAGGCTCATCTTGATGGTGCAGGGGTTCAACAATGGGCGGGGAGTGACGACTGTGAAAAGCAGCGTCCGCTGGAGCCTGGAATCCACAGGGCTGGCGCACCTGTAATTAGTGCAAGTGCACACACGCGCCAAATGACGACGGTACCTTGGCTGGGCCGACGCGTTCTCGGCCGCTGCCCCGCCAGGTACAGTGCCTTGCGACGCGTTGCAGGTACCTTCAAGTAGTAATATACTACTACCTTAGGTAGGTAAGTACCTCGGTGGGTACGTGGTGGTAATTACTGCGGGTAGATTGGGCGGGGGAATGAATGTGTTAGTTGGACCGCTGCCTGCGCGCGCGTTATTCCGTGGATGCCTACCTAGTAGTACTGAGTATTACTACCTACAGTAGGCGGCCGGGCCTGCCCCCGCTACGGGCACCACTAACTCGCTGCCCGAGATGACCCCAGGCGTGAACCCGCCCGCCCTGCTCGGGCTGCCTCTATTACAGCGCGGGCCAATTTGCGGAGTGGAAGCCTGCCTTCTTCCACCACCTCCAACTCTGTCCGGCGGGCTTCGCCGTGCCATTCGCTGCCTCATCACTCTCTCTCTGCTTTCCCAAAGACAACCCTCACTTTCCTTGGCCGCCGCCCTTGCTCCGCGACTCAAGCAGACACCCGTGTCTCGACGTCGTTTTGTTGTTGACCTGACAGCCGCGAGCACCCGTACACTCGGACGGCGGCCGCCTGCACACCAGCTTCACCAACCTTTTGGAGGAGGAAGCGCAGACTATTGACGATATCCAAACGCCGCGAGATTCAGACTCGACAGTCTCTGGGGCTGCCCCGCTCGCGCGCCCACCATGGCGGACCGCATCCGCGAGGCCGACGAGGGCAACGAGGCTCTGGACCCGGAGCTCCTCTACTCAAAGGACTACTGCATTGGTGAGCCCCGCGGCTCCACGGCCCTCGACCTCGCAGACTAATGCCCCGGTGTGCAGGCGGAGGCAGCTTTGGCAAGGTCTACAAGGGGTACGCTCCTCCACTCTCTGTTTCCCTCGCGTGGCTGACGAGAGGCGTCGGGCCCCTGCAGCGTCGACAAACGCACCGGCCACGCCGTCGCCATCAAGGTCATCGACATTGAAAACGCAGAGGACGAGGTCGAGGACATCATCCAAGAGATCGCCATCCTCTCGGAGCTCCAGTCGCCATACGTCACAAAGTACTATGGCTCCTACGCAAAGGGCGCCGAGCTGTGGATCGTCATGGAGTTTTGCGCCGGCGGCAGCTGTGCCGATCTCATGAAGCCGGGGCTCATTGGCGAGGACTACATTGCCATCATCGCCCGCGAGCTGCTCATGGGGCTCGACTACCTCCACTCGGACAAGAAGCTGCACCGCGACATCAAGGGTGAGTCTCGTCGAGTCCAACAAGACGAGTTTGGCTGACGCTCTCAGCCGCCAACGTCCTCCTCGGCTCCGGCGGCCAGGTCAAGCTCGCCGACTTTGGCGTCTCGGGCCAGCTGTCGGCCACCATGACCAAGAAGAACACGTTTGTCGGCACCCCCTTTTGGATGGCCCCAGAGGTCATCAAGCAGTCGGGCTACGACCACAAGGCCGATATCTGGTCCCTCGGCATCACCGCGCTCGAGCTCGCAAACGGCGAGCCCCCCTACGCCGACATTCACCCCATGAAGGTTCTCTTCCTCATCCCCAAGAATCCGGCCCCCAGACTCGAGGGAAACTTTACAAAGGCCTTCAAGGACTTTGTCGAGCTGTGCTTGCAACGCGACCCCAAGGAACGGCCCACGGCGCGGGACCTGCTCCGACACCCCTTTATCCGCAAGGCCAAGAAGACGTCGTACCTGACGGAGCTGATTGAGCGCCACGGCCGCTGGGCGGCCACCCACAAGGCCGACGACGACGAGTGCTGGGACACGGTTGACGCCTGCGCACCCGCCGAGCGCGAGACGGTTGACGAGGACATGTGGGACTTTGGCACCGTGCGGCTGGTGGGCGACCGAGGCGGCGTCTTTGTCAACAGCCGCGCCGGGCTCAACGCCCTCGACGAGAACGCCACCAACGCCCGGGCTGCGCGCCCCGCCGAGACTGGCGACGCCAAGGACGAGAGGCGAGGCGACCTCAGCCCGGCCAAGACGCGCGACCAGGCCCTGCAGTCGAGCGACACGCTCAAGGCGGCAAATCAGGCCACGTCGCGGCAGGGCAGCCCGCAGCGCAGGCCCGTCTCAACGCAGGCTCTGCCCGCCAGCTCGCCGACAAGGGTGCCGCTGCCGCCGAGTCCGGTCAAGGCTCTTGCGCGCGACGGGCTGGGGACGCCGTACAAGCTCAACACGCCGCGGCCGCTGCCGCCGGACCCATCGTCGGAGTCTCCCGGCTATGACGAAGAGCTGCAGGCCCAGCTGCAGCGCGACCTGGGCATGCTGAACCTGAACCTGAGCATGGCGTCGTCGGCGCGGTCCTGCTCGGTGCAGGCGGCGCCGTCGGCCGGGGGCAGATCGCCGCAGCCGCCGCCGCACGACGTGACCTCGCGGTCGCCCAGCAGCTCGCGACCGCCGGCCATGGCGATAGCGGACATTCCGCCGTTCAGAGGCCCGTCTCCGCGGGCCGTGTCGCAGCAGGTGACGGCGCAACGCGCGACGAGCACGGCGCCCAAGCCACTATCTCCCGGCGAGTGGGAGGCGTCAGCGGTGCCGTCGTCGTTTCCGTCGCCCATCTCGGCGAACCCCAACGGGGAGCTGGACGCGCTCAACGACGTCATGTTCCCTGCGCTGGAGGAGGCGCTGAAGCGGCGACAGATTCGGCTGCAACAAACGCTCAAGGCGGGGCCGCGGACGGTGAAGCAGCAGCGGGCCGAGGCGGCGCACGAGAAGCTGCGCAAGCTCGTGTACAAGCTGGCACACGTGTGCAAGGAGATTGACCAGTACGACAAGGCGGAGCCGGTGGGGATGGGCCGGGAGGTGGACAGCTTCCTGGAGGGACTGTTGGAGGAGATCCTGGTGCGGGTCGAGCCGCTGGACGAGGAGGAGGCTTAGGGGGAAGCCTTGATGACGATGCGATGCCTTGATATGACCAGTTGAGCGGCAGCAGCACCAGACGTGCCCCCACGCAGCACATGCCGGTAGATGTGCACGTTAGACGACGTTGGGCATTTTGCTTTTGACATTGGATCTTGTCTTTGCCTGGAGTTGCGGCGGGCAAGACGGGACGCCGGAGAGGAGAGGAGAGGAGAGGAGAGGAGAGGAGAGGAGAGGAGAGGAGAGGAGAGGGAGGGATGCAATTGAGATGGCTTTGACCAGGTAGTAAGCATGCAGCAGCAGCAGCAGCGGCAACAACGACAGCGACTTGATCAAGGGTGTTCTCTTGTTTGATTTAATACTGCTTCGCGTATTGTCGTGTCTGGCTGGGTAGGTATACTTGATTACTTGTTAGTCTGAGGCTCAAATGCCGTCTGCTTGGGGCGGCTTTTGGCGGCGGGGCCCCGCTCGGAGCCGACGTCGCAATTCCGCTCCTTGTTTCCGAGCCGGCTGTGCCGAGCGTGCTGGAAGGACAAGAAAGACGGGCGGGCAGCGTGATGGGAAAACCAATCCAGGAAAAGGGAGAATGGAAGGAGGGTGGAACGAAGATGCGAGACAGTTGAGAAATGCATGCATACCGCGCAACATGGCGGTTGATATCGTGATGACTTGGTACCTAAGTAATTACTTGGTATCCGTACTCGGTAGAGGGTAACGGAATACGTAGCTCGGATGTACCGCTGAGCCTCAGGTGGCCTTTTTTCCCTCTTTTTTTTTCCTTTTTCGCCCTCTCCTCCACCACCTCTGTCTGTACAACAAAGAAGCCTTGCCTCCCATCCTCTGCCTCGTCCGTCGCCGCCTCCGCCGCCGCCGCTGCTCCAGTAGACGCATTGAGCTTCATCCGACGCCGCGGGCCCAATCCGGTTCTCTTTCCCCTGGCCTCCGTCCGTCTCGCGTCCGAGTCGAAACGAGGGCAAGCATGTTGTCGCGAGGCTCCTCGAGGACGGCGGCGCAGGTACGTGGCTTGCCCGAGGGTCGACGACGAGTCCGAGTCTGACAGGCAGCTCAACAAACAGCTCGCGCGCGCAGTCCCCCGCCGCCAGCAGGCCCGGTGCATGGCGACGGTGCAGTCGGACCTGTTCAAGCCGGCCAAGTTTGGCGGCAAGTACACGGTGACGCTGATCCCCGGCGACGGCATCGGGGCCGAGGTGGCCGAGTCGGTCAAGACGGTCTTCAAGGCCGACAACGTGCCCGTCGAGTGGGAGGAGATTGCCGTGTCCGGGCTCGACGAGGCCGGCTCCGGGCGCACCGACGAGGCCTTCCGCGAGAGCGTCGCCTCGCTCAAGCGCAACAAGCTCGGCCTCAAGGGCATCCTGCACACGCCCATCAGCCGCTCCGGCCACCAGAGCTTCAACGTGGCCATGCGCCAGGAGCTCGACATCTACGCCAGCATCAGCCTCATCAAGAACATCCCCGGCTACGAGACGCGCCACCGCGACGTCGACCTGTGCATCATCCGCGAGAACACCGAGGGCGAGTACTCGGGCCTCGAGCACCAGAGCGTCCCCGGCGTCGTCGAGTCGCTCAAGATCATCACCCGCGCAAAGTCGGAGCGCATCGCCCGCTTCGCCTTTGCCTTTGCCCTCGCCAACGGCCGCCAAAAGGTCACGTGCATCCACAAGGCCAACATCATGAAGCTGGCCGACGGCCTCTTCCGCAACACCTTCCACGCCGTCGCCAAGGAGTACCCGACCCTCGACGTCAACGACATGATTGTCGACAACGCCTCCATGCAGGCCGTCTCGCGGCCCCAGCAGTTTGACGTCATGGTCATGCCCAACCTGTACGGCGGCATCCTGTCCAACATTGGCGCCGCCCTCGTCGGCGGGCCCGGCATCGTCCCCGGCTGCAACATGGGCCGCGACGTCGCCGTCTTCGAGCCCGGCTGCCGCCACGTCGGCCTTGACATCAAGGGCAAGGACCAGGCCAACCCGACGGCCATGGTCCTCTCGGGCAGCATGCTGCTGCGCCACCTGGGGCTCGACGACCACGCCAACCGTATCTCCAAGGCCATGTACGCCGTCGTTGCCGAGGGGTACGTCCTTTGTGTTTGCCATCCCCCCTTCTATCTGTCTCGGATGCTGACCTGTTCTCCCCCCCCCCCTCAACAGCAAGGTGCGCACGCGCGACATGGGCGGCAACTCGACGACGCACGAGTTCACAAGGGCCATTCTCGACAAGATGGAGGCTCTGTAAGTTACTGAGAGGGAAGACTTGGAAACAATACTGCGAAGGTGGAGAGGCCAACTAGTGGGATCCTGGCGGCGGCAAGCTCGCCAGATGGCCCCTGTTCTTTTCTTTTTATGTCGAGACAGCAAGACACGATGATATGATGGCAGAGAGAGAGCGGGAGGGATCGGCTGTGTACGTGTAGTCTGGTTCGACGGATGGAAGGGGGAGCGGTCAGACAAGGCACCTAGACTCATACATACATACCTATAACACACAGCCACACCTACGGATAAACACGTCAAGAGACGATGGTTGATAACGCCACGTCTGGCTACGCCGCAGCCGGCGAAGAGGAGGGGCGGAAGGGCGTCGATGCTGTTACACGGCAATGGCCTGAACTCGTATCCGGGTACTCTGTATTAATAATGGAAATAGACTTGGATGTGCCGAGGGTACTGTACGGAGTATTTAAAGGGGGGTTTCACTTCATTTGCCGCCGCGCATCCTCACACAGTCACCAATACAATTGCTCTCTAGAAAGAGACACAGCACCTGAAGCAAAGACACCGAGCAAGCACCATGGCAACAAAGGGCAGCTGTGCGTGCGGCGACATTGAGTTTCAGTTCCCGGGTACGTGCCGAGTGACGCGAGAGCAGAGGCAGACGTCTAACGCACCGGGGCAGGGGAGCCGGCGGCCACGGCGCTGTGTCACTGCACTGATTGCCAAAAGGTGGGTGCTGGCCAGTCTTGCGTCTCTTCAGGGCGCTGAGGACGGGATGTGGTGGTGACGCCGAGTTAGTGGACCGGCGGCGCGTTTACGTCCAACGCCGTGGTGCCCCGGGCCTCGTTCCGGGTCACGAAGGGTACGTCGTGTCATCCCCTATCCCCTTGACAGGGAGACAGATGTGAGAGAGACGGAAAATTTGTGTGTGAGAGAGGGAGAGAGAATGGGAGAGGGAGAGAGAATGGGGGGAGAAGGGAGAAACAGAGAACTGACATCCCCCCCCCAGGCACCCCCAAGGCATGGGACGCCGTCGGCGGCTCGGGCAAGCTCAACCGGCACTTCTTCTGCGGCCGCTGCGGCTCGGGCCTGTACACGGAGCTCGAGGTGATGCCGGAGCAGACGTGCGTCAAGGCGGGCGCCCTCGACGGCGGCGCCGCGGGGCTGGGCGGCCGCGTCGACGTCGAGTTCTACACAAAGGACCGCGTCGCGTACCTCGGGCCCTGCGGCGAGGGCGCGCGCCAGGAGCCTGCGTTTGGGTCTTGAGGCCGTGGGCAGGAGTCTGGACGAGCTTGGGGAGGGGGATTCTAAAGGGGCCAAGGGGGGTGGGAGAGCTGTTGGCGTACGTGCGAGCATCGTCGACTATACGCATGTTGGGACTCTGTTATATATACAGTACTGTTCGCATGGATGTCAACTGCAAGAACCGCTGATCCTGGCGGCAGCTTGGCCTCCCATCAAGTAGACCGCCGACTTCTATATGTGCATTACAAAAGGACGAATGGAAGCATGTACTTTGTCTGCGTGTGCTGTTATATGCAAATCAGCTGCCCAGTCCTTCGGAACAGCCGCCTGTCCCCTTTATTTCAGAGGCAAATGCCAATCGTTGACAAATTGGTGGCGGGCTCGTGCCGGAGAACAGGCGCCGTGTTGTGCAGCCGGCCCCCTTCGCCGCCATTGACCGCCTGGGGGGGTTCGGCGGCAGCGCTCTGCCCCTCTCCAATGGCGGCAGCGATCCGGCGAAGGCCCTCCTCGATGTAATCTTCCTCACGCGAAAAGATGATGCGGAACCACCCGGGCTGCTCGGCCCCGAAATGCACCCCGTCGGCGAGAAAGACCTTGTGGGCGATGAGGCTGTCCATGACGGCCTTGTCGAGGTCCGCGACTGGCCCGGCGCAGTGCTTGCGGTACACGGCGCCCAGGTTGGCCCAGACGAAGAAGCCGGCGTTGCTGCCCGGCGCGTACTCGATGCCGTGCTCGCGTGCCCAGGTGATGACCTTTTGGTGGTGCAGCGACAGTCTCCGCTGGTTCTCCTGAATGTATCCCTTGACCCATTCGTCGTCCTCGAGCATGTTGGCCGTCACCAGGTCCGACAGCGACGAGGTCCAGGAAAACTCGAAGACGGCCTGCAGCGCCGTGCGCAACCTCTGGTTGTGCTGCGTAATGGTGAAGCCCATGCGCAGTCCGTTGGCGCCAAAGTCCTTGGACATGCCCCAGAGCACGTGGACGAGGCCCGGGTCGATGATGCCCGTCGGGTCGATGGAGAGCACCGACTGGAACGGCACCGGCGGCGCCTCCGTGTCGGCCCTGTTCTCGAAGACGGAGAGGGCGTAGATTTCGTCGCTGACAAGGTGGATCTGGTGCCGCTGGCAGAGCTCCATGTAGGCCACGAGGGCGTCGCGGCCGTAGCAGCGCCCCAGGGGGTTGTGCGGGTGGGCGAGGATGATGGCGGCGACGCGCTGCCCGCGTTTCTTGGCCGCGCAGATGGCCTCGTCGTGGGCACGGACGGCGTCGGCGCCCATGGGATCGACGCCGCCGAAGCTGAGGGGGATGAGCTCGACGCCGGTGCGCTTGCCGACGTCGGCCGGAAAGGTGCCGTAGTACGGGCGCCCGATGAGGATGGCGTCGCCCGAGTTGGCGCAGGCCCACGATATGCTCTCGATGGCGGGGGTGCAGCCGTTGCTGACGAGGACGTGGCCCGGCTCGATGGGGGTCAAGGGCTTGAGGTGGCGCGTGAGGAAGCGGGCGACGGCGTGCTTGACCCTTTTGTGGCCGTCGCCGTACGTCAGGGCCATGGGTGGGATCTTGATGTTGCTGTGTATGTGCTCGAGCAGCTCCGCGTGCATGAGCGAGTTCTCGGCGGCGCCGAGGTTGATGAAGCCATCCGGGTTGGACCCGGCGTCCCAGATATCCGACACGACCTTGAGGAAGAGGGCGTTGGGGTCGGATCCTGGGAGGGACAGCTTCTCGGCGAGGCGGGACAAGGACATGGCTGTGAGACGGAGAGCTTGGGAAGCAAAGACACGCAGCGCAAGAGGAGACGGAGGAGGCGGGAGGCGCGATATCAAGGATTCAGAGGCGGAGGACCCGGATTTGGCGTTGACGACACGGCGTTGCGCATCTCGACTAGCACTCTCATCCCAGCGACTCCCCAACAGCACCAGCAGCGATTAGCCTGCGGAGCCATTGCACCATCATGGAGGGTCTCCTTGACCGAGTCCGTCGGCGAGTGTGAATACTAGTGTCGAGGCGACGGGAAGTTTAATCGGAGCTTGCTGAGCTGCCGGGCACCGGGGCTGGACGGCGTTGGGGGGACCGACGGACGGTGCATTGGACTGGCTGAGCAGATGATGCGCATCCAACTCTGAGCAAGAGTGCGGCGGCGACCAAGGACTGATGAGGTCTGAAGAAGGGTTCAAGAGTGAGGCGAGCAAAAGAAAGCAGAGATGAGTCAGGGCCGGGCCGGCCAATTCAAATTTTCCGTGGTTGGGCTCGACCCCGCCATCGGCCCCCCTCCCTCCATCTTTGGCGGCACGACGATTCTTTCTGCCCGTCGAGTCAGAATTGCCCAAGAAGAATACACAACCCCCCCTTTCTCAGCGAAGACAACAGACTGCAATTGAGACGCAACGGCACACCGCTCCCCCACCATGGCCGACCACCAATCGACCGCCGGCGCCGACGACGCTGCAGCCGCCGTCGCCAAGCTGCACCTCGACGATGTGACGGGCGAGATGATCTCCAAGACGGAGCTCAAGAAGCGCCAGAAGGCCCGCGACAAGGAGGCCGCCAGGAAGGAGAAGCAGGCCGCCAACCCGACGCCCGCCGCCGGCCCCAGCAGCAAGAACGCCGAGGCTGCTGAAAAGGAGCTCACCCCCAATCAGGTACTGACGCCTGCCATCCTCCACCCAGACATAAGACTGATCCATCGGCGACAAATAGTACTTTGAGATTCGCTCCCGAGCCGTCGATGAGCTTCATGCACGGGGCAAGGCCTATCCCTACAAGGTGCGTCGGACCTTTCCCCCAAATTTGAAAGCGCCATCTGACCGCTTCCCAGTACCACGTCAACTACGACATCCGCAAGTTTGCCGACGACTTCTCCCACCTCAAGAATGGCGAGTCGGAAAAGTCGAGGATGGTCCAGCTCGCCGGCAGGATATACGTCAAGCGCTCGTCGGGCAACAAGCTCTACTTTTACGACATCCGCTCCGAGGTGCGCCGCAGCCCCCTGTTGCGCCCACCCGCACCAGACTGACTCTTGGCAGGGCACACGGCTCCAGGTGCTCGCCCAGGCCGACAATGTCGGTCAGGATGCCCCAAGCTTCGACGAGCAGCATGTACACCTCCGGAGAGGCGACATCATCGGCATCCGGGGCTTCCCGACCCGCACCAACCCAAAGACCAAGCAGGGCAGCGGCGATTTCTCGGGCGAGCTGTCCATCGCCGCCACCGAAGTTACCCTCCTGTCGCCGTGCTTGCATCAGGTATGGCCTCCCGCTCACCTCCGCTATGCGCGTGCTAACCATGGCACGGTCTAGATCCCCGACGACCACTATGGCTTCAAGAACTCGGAGCAGCGGTTCCGCCAGCGCTATCTTGATCTCATGATGAACGAGAGGTCACGGCAAATCTTTCTCACCAGGGCCAAGGTCGACTCATACATCCGCCGCTGGTTTGACGACCGCGACTTTGTCTCCGTGCAGACCCCCATGCTCAACCCCATCGCCGGCGGCGCCACCGCCAAGCCCTTTGTCACTCACCACAACGACCTCAACATGGACATGTTCCTCCGTGTCGCTCCCGAGCTGTACCTCAAGATGCTCGTCGTCGGTGGCTTAAACAGGGTCTACGAGATGGGACGTCAGTTCAGGAACGAGGGCGTCGATCTGACTCACAATCCTGGTTCGTGGTTTGACCCCGCTCACCCTCTCGGTTGATCCGCGCTGACGTATTCTAGAATTTACCAGCCTCGAGTTTTATATGGCCTACGCCGATGTCAATGACCTCATTGGCATGACCGAGGAGCTGGTCAGCGGGCTGGTAAAGCATGTCCACGGCTCCTACACGACCGTCTTCCACAACATCAAGGGCGAGGAGATTAGCATCAACTGGGAGGCTCCGTGGCCCCGGATCGAAATGATCCCCGCCCTCGAGGAGGCTGTAGGCGAAAAGTTCCCGCCTGCCGACGAGCTACACACCGACCAGACTGGCGACTTCCTCAAGAGGGCTCTCAAGAAGACTGGCGTCGAGTGCACGCCCCCCCTGACCAATGCCCGCATGATTGACGCCCTGGTCGGCGAGTTCCTCGAGTCGAGATGCGTGAGCAACACCAAGCACAACCTATGGGAGCCGAAGCAAGCAGCTGACGTCTGTAGATCAACCCCACCTTCATCATGGGCCATCCCAAGATGATGTCGCCCCTTGCCAAGACGTCACGCGATACCCCCGGGCTGTGCGAGCGATTCGAGGTCTTTGTCGCGACCAAAGAGATTGCCAACGCGTAAGTGCAGTGCTCAGCTTTGACAGTGGAGGGACGTACGTGCTGACTGCTGCTAGCTACACCGAGTTGAACGTGGCCTCTGAGCAGCGGCTTCGGTTCGAGGAGCAGGCGCGCCAGAAGGCCCAGGGCGACGACGAGGCGCAAATGGTCGACGAGACCTTTTGCCGGGCCCTGGAGCACGGCCTGCCGCCTACCGGTGGCTGGGGCATGGGAATTGACCGCATGATGATGTTCTTGACGGACAATTACAGCATCCGTGAGGTCCTGGCGTTCCCGACCATGAAGCCCGAGTGAGGGTGACGGAGCTGGGCCGGGCGACGTCCAGAGTCGCTGGAGTGCTTGGGTATCGCGCGGCTGCGTGCCGAGGGCCTGCAAAGCGCTGGCAGCGGTCTGTTTCCGTGATTGCTTAGACATGCATGTGGTGAAAAGCACGGGAAAGGGTCAACAGGCAAGATTTGGAGAGCCAGCAAGGAAAGAGGGCTAGAGAGGAAAGGGATCACGAAGGAAATGAATAAACCGGGTCTCGCGTGAGACAAGGGGGTATCTATTTCGGCCTTGGTCTCCGTCGTCTCATGCAGTCGTGCTCCCAAGTAAAAGTCCTTCGCTTCGCCGTACGCCGTGTCCATGCAAGCCCAATAAATTGCACACAAATATCGCAAAGACAAGCTCAAAAGGCGGTGCGACGCTTGCGCCCGCTGTACTTTGAGGTGGCCTTGACAACCTTGCCCTTGCGCTCCATCTGCTCCTTTTTCTTGACGATCCAGGCCTTGCTCCCCTTTTTGACGTAGGCGGGGCCGGTCTTAACCCTCTTGCGGGCGTCGAGGACGTCGACATTGTCCATGCCGGCGACGACGCCGGTGATGTCCGAGGACTTTCCGTCGACGGGGCTGGTGCCGGCGGTGAGGACGAGGTAGAGCTTGACGTTCTTTGTGCCCGGGTCGTCCTCGAGGATGCCGGCGCCGAAGCCGGCCTTGACGGCGGCCTGGGTGATGAGGGCGCGCTGGGCGTCATTTTTGGGGTAAAACTGGCAGACGGCGCGGCCGCCGCGGCGGAGGGCGGCGTAGAGGCCGTTGAAGAAACGGGAGAGGCGACCGGTGGGGGAGGTGTCGGAGGACTCGGCGCTGCAGAGCCACTGGATGGCCGAGATGCTGATGGCGGCGTCAAAGGAGCCCGGGCGAAAGGGGACGCCCTGGCCAATGTCGGCGAGGAGGAGGTCGCCGTCGACGTCGCGCTCGAGGGCGACGTCAAGCATCGAGGGTGCGAGGTCCATGCCGACCCAGGTGTGGGGCCCGCCGTCGGCCGGGTCGAGGGCCGAGAGGATCTCGCCCGACAGGCCGCTGCCGCAGCCGACGTCTAGGAGGAGCGAGGGGCCGCGCAGGTCAAGCAGCTCGAGGGCGCGACGCGTCATGGAGGCCTGGATGTTCTGGATACGGGAGCTGGTGGTATACTTGCGGGCCTCGGCGTCGTTGTAGTGGACGTCGGCGGCACTGGGGGTGGTCAGTTGTCACTCGATGTCTTGGAACGGGGGATGATGGAGTACAGGGTATCTTCGGGGCGGGACATGTTGGCGAACTGGTGGCGTTGCGAGCTCAATGCGACGATTAGGTCGAGATTTGGCCGTGAGGAAGACGAGTTCGAGCAAGGTGTGGATGTAGATGGGCCATTTACTGCTAGAGATTCAGGTGTCGAGGAGGGGACATTTTTTTGTCGGTCAGGGTGGATGCTATCGATAAGCGCTGTGGTGGGCGCTCCGACCTTGCGGAGTGAGCTCTGCCATTCGCGGAAGCGCCGGAGCGGAACAAGGCTCGATCCGGAGTGGACGGACGTGTCCAAGGGCACTTTTTCATCTCGCACGACTTTTCTCCCTTCATCCAGATCATCTCCAGCCTCTCCATCCACCACCCAAAGCCAGTGGTGCCGGGCCATTGACCGTGGCCCAAACTGCCTCAACGTCATAATGTGGATTCTACCGCTCATCGGCTATGCCGGGGCTGTTGTCGGCTTCTGCTTCCTCACGCTGGCCATCGCCTCCGGGCTCTACTACCTGTCGGAGCTCGTCGAGGAGCACACCGTCATGGCCAAGCGCCTGTTGACCCGCCTCATCTACACCGTCATCGGCCTGCAGCTGGCCCTGTGGCTCTTTGACGGCTTTCCCTTTTGGTCCACGCTGCTCGGCATCGCCGCCCACCTCGTCTACCTGGGCAACATGAGGCGCTTCCCCTTTGTCAAGCTCTCGGATCCGCTCTTCCTCGTCGCCTGCGGTATGCCCTGCTGTGCACGACGATGATGCCCTGCACACAGACACGGCTAACAGCGCGCGCAGTCCTTGTACTCCTCGACCACTACGTCTGGTTCAAGCACTTCTCCCACAGCCAGATGCATGCCCACCAGCGGTCATCCTACTACGATCAAGTCGACACGCCCACATTTACCATGATTGCCTCGTACTTTGGTTTGTGCGTCTGGCTCGTCCCCTTTGCCCTCTTTGTCAGCTTGTCTGCCGGCGACAATGTGCTGCCAACCATGGGGACGGAGCCAGTGCGTGGGAGCGATGGCAAGAACAAGCATCAGGGCATGGTCAAGGCTCTCGTGGACTACGTCCGTGGTGCGATTGGAGAGATTGCCGGCTCGGCAGGCATGGGTCATCCATGATGAGAGGGCGCACCGGGAGACATGGCGCTTGTATGGAATCATGGGACGGCCATTGACAGATGAATGCTCAAGTCGTGCGCACTGTTGCATCGGCGCTTCCTCGTTGCTCCCCGAATCCTCGAGTATGCTGATCCCGAAAGGGAGCACTGGGTGAGTGGAACCTTCCTTTACCTCCAATTTTGCTTTTTGCGATTTCGTGATGAACAAACCTCACGCTAGATTGTACGTGACAAGGCAGTGCCTTGCATGATCACTCTGAGTTCATAGTTACTCTGATTCGTTGAATATTTTCTCCCGCCTATCTCGCGCATCTTTTTGATGGCTTAAGTACTAATGAGAATACATGGGAATGCAGGCAAGGCGATCCTCAGCGCCACCAGCTCTTGGCGCGCGCTGCTCGCCAGAAATGCACCGACATATGTGTACTGCCCGGCCTTTTCCGCTGCACTGTCTTGCTACCCGTCGAGCGCCAACAGGGAATATGGCGCTGTAAAAGGCGACATTGTCCTTGGTGGGCTCACGTGCTGTGGCAGTGCGGAACACCAAAACTCAACCGCTCGGCATGGCATCATTCCGGCTCGCCGTGTCTAGCCTTTGGAAGCACCAGTCCAGAACTTGGCATCGGCCTTGTACTCGGGAGCGCTTTGGCCCCGGTCGTGCTTGGCGGAGAAGTGGCGGTTGTGCTCCTTGACCTCCTGCTTCTGCTCTTCGCTGAGCTCTTTGTCGAGATTGACGCCGGGGACGCGCGAGTTGACGACCTTTGGCGGCGCCGGGGCTCCCGGTGCGGTGCTGGACAGGGGCTCGCCGCCTCCCGTGCGGCCCTTGGCGCCAGAACCGCCGCCTATCATGGAGTCGTCGACGGGGCTGCCATTTGTGTTTGACGCGGTTTGGCTAGCGGCGGCTCTGGAGGAGGCGTGAAGGGAGCGCCGGAGAATCGGCGCGGTTTGCAAGAGTGGGCGCATGGCTCGAGATGTCGAAGAGACGGGAGCGGCCTGAACGTTGGGTCTGCTATGTGGTATATTGCTGCACAGCTATGCGGAGGATTGCTGAGGTGGAAGAGCTTTGCTTGTCTTGTGGGGTGAGTGACGGCAGTTGACGGCAAGGTTATATGAGTGGCAGATGGAGTTCGCCCCACGTCCCTGCCCGCCCCAGGGAGCCCGTTGGTCGTGTCGAAAGGCGTGTCTCCCCCTCTCGAGGGGATTGACGGCGGTGACGTCAAAATGAAGGGGTCCGTGTGGTGTGGTGTGGATGTTTGGGTGTATGTATGCACAAGCGCGGTTTGGACGACTGATCAGCGCTCATATGTCATGTCGCACAGCGCGCATCATTTTTGCCGGTCTCCAGCTGCGCCCTTCGGCTTTCCAACTAAGTTGCGGGTTGCTGGGTTTGGTCAGGCTCTCTGTCCTGTATGTGTGTCCTGTACATGCAGTTGTGCCGTCTGATCGCTTGGTGCGGCCGAGGGCGAGATGCTATTTCGTACCGGGCACACGGACACGGATACGGTACATTTTGCTGCACTCGGGCTCTTTGGAATTCGTGGCGACCTTGCTGATTAGCTTTGTAGCCATTCAGCCTCGACGCAATGTACTGCGCTGGCTCGCCTGGCTGCCATCTCGCGAACCCTGCTCAGCACCAAACAGCGGTTCACGGATCTTGCCGTGTCTCACTTTTCTCACGGCATGTACCCGGCATGGTGGGCCGGGATGACGAGCTTTTTGGGGGCTGCGGATCATAGACACCGTGGATTTACGTTCCTGGCAAGGCACAAGTGTCTTGCACAACAGCGTTTCGCATTTCTGTCTCGATGGCGAGAGTACCTGCTTCAATGTTACCCAGGTGGCTGTTTGTCTTTTGAAGGCACCTCCTGGCCTGAGGTTTGCTTCCTCCCTCGTCAAGCTAGATCGAGGCTTGCTTTAGCGTTGCCAGCAGCTATTCGTTCATAACTTCATCGGCATGTCCTTGGTTGCCCCGACGGGTTTGGAGACGTTGGCGTCTGGGCCCGGAAGTCGACTGCCCAGGCGTGAGCGCGACCTTTTCTCGAAAGTCACATGCATTCTGTAGAAACGCTGCAGAAACGTGGAGATGAGCCTTGTGGCCACAAAGCCACAAACGCCTTTCTCGGCCAGCGACATGTAGCCTCCACTTCAACTTATCCAAGCCTCTTCAACAGCAGCTGCAGCCGTCCCGTTTGATCTAGCACCTTGAAGACGCAGCTCTACGAGTATATGTATAGACGTGGACGAAATAGAATGATAGGCATCCTCACCAGCTCCATCCAAGCTTGGGAGGTGAGTTTAGCAGGCCTCAAAATTCTCATTTGTCATGTTCCTCTTCGCTTTGGAGCTTTCTGTCTACACCGATTCATGGCTTAGCCATCCGTCAAGGTCAATCATGAGTACTCGTATTATTGTTAATGCTACTCCCAAGCTATGCCCGGAGATGCCATTAATCGACGGGAAGAGATGGCAAACATAGTTTGCCGACATAAATGGGGACGCGGTTTCGACAGCACCCAGGATCAGCTGCAATCCTCCGGCCAACACGCCTATGGTGGCAATCACTGCTTCTCCTAGTGGACAATGGCCCACCTGCGTCTCAAAGTGTGTCTCTGTCCATGTACAAATGGGACGGAAAACAGTTGCGAGTCCGACTACCTGCGACTCTGATGCGGCATTGATAACGTTAAATCCATCCGTTTTCTTCCTAGTATCGAGCCGCCTCTGATCTCCCAGGTCACTGATCGCCTCCGCCACCATCCTTTCAACGCCTGACCCCGGCGAGGGTATTCTGACGATGAGTTCAAAGAGAAATACGGCGAAGATGCATATAAACATCTGCAAAGAAGGCGGTGGGGCCAGAAGCTAACCAACAACGAGACGGGATTCCTTAAGACATATCTTGAGCTTGATACAGAGGCATGAAGAACGTCGGCTGAATGTGTGGAGTTAGAAGAGGTACGAGAGCAGGCGCGAAGGAGCGGTCTTTAATCTCCCTGCGAGAGTGCGTTATTATAGCGGAACTAGTAGTTGTAGGGCCATAAGGAGAGCTGGATGTAGAGGTTGTGAAGTAGCTGGGTGGCCAGCCTGGCCCAATGACCCGTCGGCACCAGCTTGGCTGGTGACGGTGCACCGGAACATAGAAAAGTGGGAGGGTGGCAAGAGTATCTCCAGTAACCGGCCGAAGTGTGGGTACGGGGGCCCTCGGGGGCCCGGCGGGACCCAGCCGCAGGTTCTCGGAGCCTTAATTGCTTAAAAAGGGAAACTGGGGCGTATATTTTACCGGTTAGCCGTGAATCTATTGGCTCCCCAGCGATTGCACCCATGTTCCCATGTCGTGCCATGTTCCCTTGCGTTACGGGAGTCTCGGGCACCGGGGCTAACTCCTTGTATGGTTTCTCCCGGTGCGTCCCTATCGATATAATAGCCAAAGAAATGCGATATATATTCTCCTGTCCACACTGAGACCTTGTGTCGGGAGCCTATAGTTTTAAGGCTGCCCGTGAATCTTAAGAAAACATGGACCAAGTTCTGCTCTTGGGGCACCCTCGGCTTGGCTTGCTCAAAAAAAAACACCGGCTTAGAGTTTCAGGGGTAACCGCAAACCCATTGGCTCTTGTGTAGCGCCTCAACGTGTATTACGGGGTTTATCAACCCTGCGATTTAAGCCTTTGGTTACCCTGTACGAATATGCCGTGTAACAGTTGACCATTAGATGAATCTGGTACCATTGCTCTCTTGGGCGAGCCAAGGATACAGCCTCCGCGCACCGCGTAATGTGCAGGTCACTGCACCCCCCCGCCTCCCTACCGGGGGTTCGCGCAACCCTTGTCTTATTAATTCGCTCCCGGTGGCCTTCGTAGCCAAGAGAGAGGTCAAGGTTATAATTATGTTCGCTGCTGGTTGGGCGAGGGCTTGGGCCAGCTGAAATTCGCTGTGGATGCAACATGGTGGGCATATGTCGAGTCACTGCCACTATTCTGTCGGGTGTAACGTTTCATAAGTAATTCTCACAAGAGGCGCAGACCTTTTGGCCCATAGCGGCGGCACTCCTGAATTTCATGTAGACTACTCCGGTTCAAGCTTCCAGTCCCCACGTTATAGCTGAGTATAAGAGCGCTATCAAATTTAGTCGATACAGCAGAGAATGGATCTCTAAGTCGAGACAGAATCACACCTGCGCTTGGCCCTATTATAAATATCCTGTGCATCTCGTATTTTCGTTTTATTTTCTTCCTTCGATAGTGCATCCTTCTCTCCCGGCGCCCCCAAAGTATCGTCGGTACTTTTCACACTCATTCCACCAACCTAGTTACCTTCGTTTTACACTACTTTTCAAGTATGAAGTACGCTCTTCTAGTCGTCATTCTTGCGGGCGTTGGCCTTGCGAGCCCTCTTATGTCCTCGCCTGACAACAAGCTCTATCTAGAGCGGCGAGGCAACGAGACCAGTCCCGAGCCCATGCCAGAGCCTGCAAGACAGCAAGGCAACATGGACTCTATCAAAAGTACAGAAATTAAAATCTCTGATCTTCCTCCAGAGGACGAACCTTGTGAGAAGTATGGCAAAGAGGGTATTACTGTCGATAGGGAGTGCGTTTCCGAGCCCTCCACCCGCCAGATGTACTCCACTCGCAAGAAATTACACAATGGACTATCTTCGTACGGATCTTCGAGAGGAGGCGGCTAGGTAAGTTATTCGGTTCCTAAATACTCTTATTCGTAGCCTACTGACACTGTTGTTTAGCATAGTAAGTTTTTTTTACTAGGAATGATCCGAGTTGTAAACACGATGAGGAGGCCAAGTGCGATCCGTAAGTTCTGGAGAAACTCTCTCGACATACACGAACTATACTTATTTGTAATTGCATAGTGAACCCGTGCCCGCCGATGCAATCGATCAGTTGAAGAAGCTGGATGGCGTGACTGTGTCAGATAGGCCCAACTAGCCATGTGGACGAAAGATATCGAGGTAGCCAACTCATCCATCAGTTCCTTAACCTCATCTGGTGCCCACATGGACCTGCATTCAATGTGGCCTGTTAAATCCGCATCTTACCTCCCCCAGCATGAGCCACGGCGCTGGATCGAAGGACAATCTTGGCACACAAGTCCGCTATTGACCGGGAGTCCAAAAGCTCCAGGATGCTGACATGGCAGTCCAACTCCTTGTTGAGCCAATTTCTCAATTCCGAGGCGACCAGACTGTCGAGACCATACTGCTGCATGGTTGCGGCACGGTCGATGTCTGCCTCGGGTCGCATGATGATGCGTGATAGTTTGGCGACAACCATGGATTGGACCAGCTCGGCAGCCTCGTCGGTGCTCTTGGCACTCCTGAGCCGCTCTTGGTGGCTCGACATGTTGGTGGCGCCCGTTGCAGTGTCGGAGTCGGCCGCGTCTACGCGAAGCAGGTAGGACAACTGGGGACTGGACCGTAGCCACCAAAAGTCATCGCCGGGGGCCTGGCTCTTAAACGTGCGCTCGATGCCGCCGGTGCCCAGGCCGAGCACGAGTTGAGCTGGTACAGTCTGTGTCGATGACTGGGACAAGACAGTGTCAATAACCGCAAGGAGTCGTTTCGAATCCAAGCCCGTCTTTTGCGTCTCCGAGTGTCAGCATGTGCCCTCGGATGTGGCGACGGCATGTTGGACTTACATAGTCCAAGGCATGACCTAGCTTGAACGACTGCCTGTTCTCCTCCACATAGCCCATTTCGTGGATAACACTCAGATCGAGGGCATTTGCCCTGAGGCCGAGCGAACGGCGATGGTGAGCGAGGGCGTCTTGGAATGCGTTACCGGCCGCGTAGTTGGACTGCGAGGCAGAGCCGATGACACCCGACACGGATGATAGCATGAGGAAGAAGTCAAGATGCTTAGGTAGAAGCTTGTGCAGGTTCCAAGATCCTGTGCCCCCCGCGTTAGCATAGAGCCTTTTAATGTAGCAGACCGGGGATCTAGCCTACCTGCGGCCTTTGGCCGTATGGACTGGCTCCATTCCTCAGAGGTCATGTTGCAGAACAACTTGTCGTGCAAGGCCATGGCCCCCTGGATGACGCCGCGCAACGGCGGCATGGTGGCAGTGAGGGACTGTATCATGGCCGCAAGCGACTCTTGGTCGCCAATGTCACAGGAAATTGGCTTGACATTGACTGCCATGGACTCGAGCCGACGCAGCAGACCCTGCGCCTCGGGGCGTGTGGGCCCAGACCGTGACACGAGAACCAAATTCCTCGCTCCATGCTCTGCTATGTGCAAAGCAAGACCACGGCCCAGTCCGCCGAATCCTCCAACCAGGAGATAGGTTGCGTCCGGGTCCAGCACGAGACTTGCCGTGCGGGCCGCCGGGGCCGTGACCCGAGACTCGGACGTGATGCCGAGCACTTGCTTGCCCATGTGCTTCCCTTGCTGCATTTTCCGGAACGCCGTCTCGACGTCTGTCATGTCGAATGTTGTCAGTGGCCGGATCGGCCGAAGATGGCCCTCGTTGAGCAGCTCGACAACCCGCCTGAGCAGCCGCTGGTAGGAGACCGGGTCGTCGGCACCCAGCTGTGCGATGTCGACGCAGCTGAACTGAACATTTTTCAAGAAGCGAGACATCTCCAGTCCAGTGTTATCGTATACGTCGCGCTTGCCTACCTCGAGGAAGCGTCCAAAGGGGGCTATGCACTCCCATGTTTGACGGAGCGCCTCGCCGGTGAGGGAGTTGACGATGACATCGACACCGCGCTGCTTTGTCTGGCGCATGATGCCGCCTGCGAAACTCAGGTCTCGTGAGCTGAAGATGTTGGACTCCGGTATACCCAGTTCCAGCATGAGCTCCTTCTTGGCTTTCCTCCCGACGGTGCAGTAGATGTTGGCTCCTAGGTATGTTGCCAACTGGATACAGGCCAGCCCGAGTCCTGGAGCATTCAATGTCAGCTCTTCCGTGTTTTCGCCTCACAGACACCGGCTTACCTCCCGCGGCAGCATGGACGAGAACCGACTCCCCCTTCGACAGGCGCGCGACGTCCACCAGGCAGCGGTACGCAGTCATGTGAACCACGGGAATGGTGGCTGCGTCTGCCATGGATAGGCCGTCGGGAATGATGTGATACGCCGTCTCTGAAGCGCGGCATTTCGTCCTCATCGAATCCATGGCAGCACCCATGACGCGGTCGCCCGGTTGAAGCAATGTTACCTGAGAGCCGATGCTCGTCACAACCCCGGATGCTTCGCAACCAAATCCCGTCATCGGAAGATGGCCCATGGCCACCACGATGTCCCTTCGGCCGGATGCCCCGTCAGCTCAAAGTCGAGTTGTCTCTCTTGAGAGGAGGCTTACCGGAAGTTCATGCCACAGAAGTGATGCTCGACTTCAACTTCTTGCTCGCCAAGAGGCTTCGAAGCCTCTTCGTCGACAACGAAATGCAGAGAGTCCAGCGCGCCGGCCGTCTGCATAGCGAGCCTCATTGGTCGACCGGGCTGGATCAGTGGTTGAGGACGTAAAACCAGCCCCGACCTTGTCTGCGCAAGCTCCTCGTTCTGCTGTGGCTCTGGCGCATAGCGCATAACCTGGAAAAGGCCGTCACGATGCCTGACTTCGGGCTCCCCTGCCGCCGCACCACATTCTTGGCTGTACTCGCGAAGCTTCTGGACTATCAAGTCTGCCAGCGTTGAAGCGTCTGGACTTGTGTTGCTGCCGCCAACAAGGTGAAGCTCGTGTAGCCGGAGCTGGGGGTTCTCTGTACGCGCAGTTCGGAGAAGACCAGAGACAAGGCCCATAAATGGAGCCGTTTCAGCCTGCGGCTCAGGAACGAAGGTGACCCAGAGAAGCTCAGCACTGTTCAGGATGAGCTTCTGCACGTGCTCAAATCCTTTTCCGTCCATATGAGCAAGGAATGGGTCATCCAACTCGAGCAGACAGATTGTGCACTTGCCCCGGCATTGCCGGGCGGCCTCTTCAATGTCCCATGGTTCCACAGACAGGCCACTGGCTTCCAGGCGTATCTTCAAACCGTGAGAAACATCCCGAGTTCGGTCATATATCTGACCAGGATGAACAATAGCCACGTCTTCGAAAGGGAGGCAGGGGCCATCACTGCCCCCGACTTGCATGGTCGAGACACCCACGGTCACTCGGCGAGCCTCGGGATCGAGACAGTCATGGAGGATGAGATCAAGGCCAGTGAAGCCCGCACCTCGCAACTCACGGTCCCATTCATCTTCCGACAGAAGCGGCCCGTTTTGTCTTCCATCTTCGGCGAGCACCACCCCGGGAGCGTGCCCCATATGAAGGCCGTGGGCTCGTCTTTGTCCATCATTTCTCCGAGGACAAGCTTCCCGCCCGGCTTCAGCAGCGAGTGGCAGTTTTTCAGCGTTCGGGATATATTCTCGGTAGTGTGAAGGACCTAGTCCCAGGTCAGTTTCACGGGGCCGGAGCGCATCTTATTGGGAGCATACGTTGACCGCGAGCACTACATCGAACGACCCCTTCACGAACCCCTGCGTGGTGGGATCTTGATCAATCTCCAGCTTCTCGAACGACACATGTTGCTGCCAAGGCTCGAGCAGCTTTTGCGCGTCTTCAAACCAGCCGGTCGAGATATCCGTGAAGACGTAGCGGCTGAACCATGGCGTCTCGCCAGATTGACCGCCAATCTTCCGCAGAATCGACACACTGGAGGCCGCCGAGCCTCCTCCAACCTCGATGATGTTGGCATGCGGCATCTTGTGGCAGTAGAGCTCAAACCAGTTTCGCAACAACAAGACGTCTGATTTGACATATCTCTCCCTGTATAATTTTGACCACAGGTCGTCTTCCATGAGGAGGCTCAGCGCATGGCTACGGCCGCTCAAGACGTCTGGAAGATGCTGAATGATCCGCTGAAATAGCAGATACTGAATGGGCTCGAACCTCTGGAAGTCTTCCAACGCCGATGTCCGCTCCGCTGCCGTAAGATGAAGCCATTCGCCGGGCTGCCGCTGAAACCGAGCTTGGCCCTGCTCGTATCGCGAAAGCTGCTTCCTTAGCCTCTGTCTCCGAGCGGAGCCACGAGCCAAGGCTTTAGGGATGGTTCAGATCCGGATCCGGTCGCCATATCGGGACGGAGCACACCTTAAGGCTCACATCTGTCTCGCGATCTTGGCTGGATGTCTTGTGAGCCGTTCCCTTAACAATGGTCGCAGTGAACCCGCGGAGCTCTATTGCAGGCAGCGCTCCTTGAGTCTTGGCATCTTTATTCCGCATAAGAAACAATGCAGTTTCATAACGTAGGCCGGACCTCGAGCATTTATATATTCCCTGTAGCGATGCTCCTATACTTGGCACTATGGCCGGCCAGACGGTTATAGACTTAATTATGGTAGGAACCTAGGCCGAGCCCGACCCGGCGTCGAAGCCCCGAGCTGAGGCGAACATGGCTTGAAAACAGCTGTCTAGCGTGCCGGGGTGGATCAGATAGCCCGTCTTGAATGGATTCTGCGTCAAAACCTTGGTGTCTGGGACGTCTACTTGGAAACAGCAAAGTCCCCGAGTCTCGGACGTCTCGTATCAGATGTCTCTCAGGCACTGAAATGTCGACGCTATGCGTTTTGGGCCTGTATGAGTAGTGGGACATGGAACCAAGAGAAGAGCATGGGGCTAACTGTACTCAAAGCCCGCTGCACGGCAGCTCTCGTAGTGATCCTAGACTGATATGCTGGCTGCAAGGCTATACATGGCCTGAAACTGCGTCTTATTTTCTTCTCGCTCGGCATCGGCTCGGCTTACATCGTCAACGTCGGACGGAGGCGTCTCATGCTCGTAGACAACTTGGCACAGGCCTGATGCGTGCTCAACGAACTTGTCTCCATCGAGGTTGATGTAAAAGGTAAACTCGAGCCAAGCTCCGACGCCGCCCCTTATGCCCGTCTTCCGGGGCTTTAGATGAAACCACGACTCAACCCCGGCTTCTGGGTCTGCTAGGACTAGCGCCCGTCTAATGCGGACGTCACGCAGCTGCAGATTCTGGATGGTGCCCACACGCTTTGCCGTCATCTGCAGAGCCTCTAGAACGACGCTTAGAATACCAGCTGCGGGAAAGACGGCATTTCCCTGCACGCGGTGGTGTGTTACCCACGGTATGGTCTGAGTGCTGATCAAGTTCTTCCATACGGGCTCCTCGGGGTTGAAGTCTTCGACCGGACGGCCTACCAAGTCATGGGGACGGTACTTGGGGAAACACCGGTTTCTGGCCTTGCTCGTCTCGAGCTAGTACTTGGTCTCGTGGTTCTAGGGGTAGCGCGGCAGGCCTATCAATGAGAGACGAGCTGGCGGATTCCTGCGCGCTTCGTTTAGCTGCCGCACACGACATTGATGTCAGAATATGTGAGTCGCATTGCAGTGCTTTCTAGGATGACGAGGAGGTTCAAACCTTGGCGAGGTCGACGGCAACGCCTCTGGCCTAGATGCTGCCAGCAGCGTGCAGCGTCGTCAGCAAGGCGTCTTGGCCTCTGCTAAGCGCCGACACATACGACACTCGCTCCGTGATGCCGGCGTGGACGAGCCGTTGACGGACCGGGCCTGCAAGGGCGGAGTGCGGCCCAACCTCTAATAGCATGTTGATTCCTTCGTCTTTCGAGCACAGGTCGTCATCCGTCAGCATCTTCTCAAGAGCCTGCTGGAACTTTACAGCGCCGCGCATTTGCCGGGCCTATTACCCGGCCGTTACTCCTGAGCCGGAGATCTCGCCCCCGGTAATAGAAGAAAATATCTTTAGGCCCGCGGGCGTCTCTGCCCGCGGTTGCATATGTTGCAGCGCGTCTTTAAAGCTATCGGCAACCGCGTCTATGTGTGGGCTGTGGTATGCAACAGAGACCTTAAGGAGCTAGACAGACACTCTATCTTCCTCTAGAAGACGCTAGAGCTTTGTTAGGAATTGCCTATAGCCGGAAAGAGTGACACTTAAAGGGCTGTTTATGCAAGCCAGGACGACGGAGCCCCTAGGAACCGTGTCTAAGTACGGTGCCACGGCATCTCGTCCAAGCCTCACCGCCATCAGCGCACCGTCAAGCTCCGGGCGCGAGTTGAGCCGACAGGCGGCCCTTGTGGAGCGCAACCCGAAGGCAATCCATCCTGGACAGCGCCACCGCTGCATACGAAGCCGCCGGCTCGCCCGAAGAATGGCCCACGACGACCCGGGGCTTGATATTCCAGTGATCCAACAGGTCGACAAGTGCCATCTGGAGAATGGCGCACAGCGGATGGGAGAACTCGGCCTAGGCATCCCACGTAGCCCCGAGCTCCTTCAGGATAGCCGAGCTCGACTCGACCGACTCGCGGAACACGTCGTGCTCGAGGAGCTCCCGGCTCATAGCGTACCACTGCGCCCCCTGGCCGGTGAAGACGAAGGCAACATTGACGGCGGCTTACATTCGCACGGGCTGAATGTTGGGCTGCATACACTGTCGAATCAGGTCCTCGATGCTGCTCGCAGCCATGGTGTGGCGCCATGGGAACAGCGATCGTCTCACGCCCAGCGTGAAGGCGAGGTCGGCCAGCGGAGCCTCTTTGCCCCCAGCGAGGCGGTCTGCCAGAGAGGCACAGTCACGCTGCACTGCGGCTTTCTCGGGCGCAGACACCACGTACAGCCGGAAACTGCCAGTCTCAGCCGACCCGCATTGGGTGGAAACGAGGCCGTGTTGTTGCAAGTAGCCTTCGGCGTCGTCGAGCACGGCGTATGCGTTGCTCCCCCCGATACCAAACAAATTGATGGAGCAGCGCCGGACCGGCCCCGGCGGCCATGCTATTAGGCTTCTCGGAACCGACATGTTCCATTCGTGCAAGCGCAGCCGCGGGTTAAGCGTCTCGAGGATGAGATTTGGGAATATTAGTCCGCTTTCCATGGCCAGGACACACTTGATGACGCCTGCGATGCCGGCCGACCCTTCCAGGCGTCCAATGTTGGTCTTGACAGAACCATAGAATAGGGGAGATCCGGTGCGAGCCGCAGACCCAAGGGCCAGTGACGTGGCTTCTATTTCGATGGGATCCCCGACGGGAGTACCGGTCCCGTGCAGCTCGAACAGAGCCGTGAGCGCAGGATCAAGCCCGAACGTGGTGTATGTTCGTTGCATGAGGCTGCTCTGGGCCTCCACGCTGGGGACGGTGATGCCAGGCGTCTGCATATAAACCGTTAGTCTCTACGTCTTTAATCATTGCCGACTTGTAAAGACGGCCTTTCCATCTTGGTTAGAGCCCGTCGCCCGGATAACTGCACGTATCGTGTCTCCGTCCAGAATGGCATCCTTGGCGCGCTTAATCACCAGCATGCCAACTCCTTCGCCGCAGGCATAGCCGTTGGCTCGGGAATCAAAGGAAAAGCATCGACTGTCTGGGCTCAGAAGGTGGAGCGCACTTAACATGCTCATATATTCCGGGCCTAGTATCAGGCTGCTTCCGCCAACGAGCGCGCACGTTGTGTCGTTGGACTTGGAGCGAATGGTGTCGCAGGTGAGATGCAGGGCCACCAGAGAGCTCGAGCATGCCGTATCCAGTGTGACTGAAGGTCCCCGGAGGTTACTGTTTAAGTTAGTCTTTAGTAGTGTAGGCTGTATCGCCGGGAGGCGGGAATCGACCTACTAGAACCAACTTATACGGTTGGACAGCATAGCCCGGGCCATGCCCGTCACCGTGTACTGGGGCATATGGCTTAGATCACGAAATGTTTGGAACTTATAGTTATGCGTGAAGTTGCTAATGAAGCAAGCTGCTGAAGATGCCGCAATGGCTTCTACGGGGACCCCGGCATCCTCGAGCGCCTCGTATGTTAACTCGAGAAGCAACCGCTGCTCCGGGTCCATAGCAATGGCCTCTGCGGGCATGGTGGAGAAAAAGGGAGCATTAAAGGCGGAGACGTCTTAAGATAGAAAATAGCCCCCCTCGGCAAACTGCGGTTAGGTTAGCGACAGCTGCTATAAGCCGCGAGAGAGTTGATCTACGGTAAGCCCTTTCATGCTGCGACTGGAATGACGGTACGCATCGATATTAAACCGGCTCTTGGGGACCTTAGACCATGCGTCCCTGCCAGCCCGGAGCATCTCGAAAAACGCTTCGGGGGACCTGGCGCTGCCCGGGAACCGACATGCCATGCCAACAATGGCAATGTCATCGTCGCTGACGCTCTAGAGGTGAAGCTTTTTATTCATGGTGGACGACGGCGTGGAGAGTCAAGAGCGTACCAGGACCCAATGCAGGACAGCCAGGCTAGGGCGTGTCGAAGCTATATGCTCAGCGGCGGGAGTTTCTCGCAAGGTACGGATATTGTAAGACGTTGTAAGAGTACATAACATTTCCTTTAAACAGTTGAACTGGCACCAGAAATGTTAGCCGTAATGCCAAGTCGCGATTCAAGAATATCCTACCCTGGGAGTCATAACCACCGCAGGGCCCGTAGTCGCAGAGGGATAGAACGGACCACGGAGACAACACCCATCAAGGGTCTTGATCTCAACCGTCTCAAAGGCTGCTGCCATTGTGGCCGGGGTGGAGGTTTCAACTCGAATAACCGGCGACAAGAGGCACGACTTGACGATTCAGGAGGCAAGTGACATGGAAAGATTCAGAAGCCAGGGCGGTGGTGACCATACACATAGCTCGTGAAGAGTCACAGGCGGCTAAACGCAGAACGGGCTTCTCGATAATATACCGGCGCATTACATGGGCATAATGGTGTCTCAAGAAACATTTGCTTCTTGCCAGCGTAATTGGGGGCGGAATCTAATCACACTTCCCCCACCCCCTGCCCTGTGACTCGTGAGGCAAGCACATGCGTATAGGACTCTTGAAAGCCAGCTTACCTAAATACGGACCACGATAAGGTGCCTCTTGGATTAAAGGACCTTCGCTCTCAGCCGTACTTGCCCGCGCTAGCGAAGCGCCGGTGCCTGATACGCTTTGGCAGATATGGGAAAGAAAGTCTGCGCGAAAGATTAGGTACGAAGCCATATCTCGGCTCTATCTAAAGGACCGGGCAGGGTACTACGCTAGAAATGTCTATGCGTTATTAATTAATTTACTCGCTGAGCCTTAGGTGCGAATGCTGGGGTTGGGCGAGGCCGTATTATAAGTTAGGCGGTTGGGAAGCAACTTGGCCAGCTGACCTCACATATACCCCGAAACAAAATATTGGCCAATGGGAGAAAAGGAGGGAGCAGAACACACACAATCAACACGTCTTTTATGCTTAGTTGCATGCATGCTCTTTTCGCGAGAGATGCTTGGACGAGTCATATCATCATGTAAACGTCACAGGAGAGGCAACCCAACGGGGGTTGCGCAAAGAGCCTTGAGGAACGAAAGACTACAGGGAAAAAAACTTAAGGAAGAAAAAAAAGGGGCAGACGTGAGGATTGAGGATGGAGTAAGAACAGGGGGGACTTAAGGACGGAGTGAAAAAGAGTGATAGAACCAGGGTAGGGTTAAGGAGTAGGTTAACTTAAAGTATAAGATTTAACTGTCTTACTCGTTTAGGAAACTGTAGCAGTTTATGGTTTCGCATCGTTATTCCGTTTCGGTAGCTTTCTTAGATAGGGGACGGTTTCGGAGTGGACGGGCCGGCGAGTCAAGCCATGCGCGACAATGGAATGGAGGAAGAGTCCCTAAGACATGACCCCGTTTAGGGCTATCCGGCTTAGATGTCAAGGAGGCAGCCGAAACAGAGAACGACTGGGTGGCAGATGAGCCAGGGTTAGGGAAGACGAAGGCACCGGGGCCTTATGCAGCAGCCGCGGTCGTTTCGTCGGCGTATCGGCAGGCTCAGGGCAACATCGCTTCCCGGGCGGCCCAAGGGGCCGGTCGAGGCGAAGCCGAAGCCAAAGGTGGAGGGCTGAGCGGGAGGGTGCCAGGGGTGGCCAAAGACAAAGAGGCAGCGCGCATGTCCTGAAAGGCCGCGGAAGGAGGACGCCTGCTGCCTCTGTGGTGTAGAGAGAGTGGTGTCATTGGGGTGACGGCGGCGGCGGCCTTGTCGAGAAATGTCCAAGAATCCGGGACGACAATAAAGACGTTGTCCCGGTCGGAGCCTGGGGGATAGAGCATAACGTCATGACGGAGCAGGCCGGCGACCTTGGCTGTGCAAGTAAAGGGGACGTTGGGTTGGAATTGAGAGTCCCGCCTCTCGGCCATCTTCTTACACAAGATGGCCCAGGGGTTAGCGCGAATAGGGAAGATGACGAAGACCTGGAAGGGGTGGAAGCCCTTGAAGGGGAGTTTATTGGGCATCCCAGGAGCGACGTAGGTAGAAAGGCGGACAAAGCCGCAACAGTTAAGCTGGGCGGCGTCTAGACCCGGCAGGAGGTCCCGCCGGAGCAAGGAGTGGCCGGTGCCGACGATAAGGCCGGTAAAGGAAACAATAGGCGGGACGCAGGGGAAGTCGTCCATAGGGGCCAAGAGCCTAGGAAGAACGCTTCAGGCCCACCTTAGCTATGTATCTTTTCGTTGGCACTTGCGAGGGAACAGGGCACGGCTTACGGCTGGTAGCCTTGGTCGCGGACGACAAGGGCGGGCATCGTATAGAGAAGGTGCCGCCCGTGTCGGACTCCAGGCCGTCGCGCTGCTCAATCTCCACGCAAGGGCGTAGGGTGGACGCGGCCATTCATGAAAAACCACTCTTCCGTCCATTTTGAGGCATCAATAGGCTGGCCGTAAATCGAGAGATTGAGACTAAAGAAGACGGATGTCGGGAATCGTCGGCCTCCGATCGGAGGGCGCATATCCCATCGCGAGCAGCCAGGCGGGCGGAGGCAGCAAGACGCGGGCCATGGCCTCGGCGTTAAGACCCTTGATGCGGTGCTCGTCCTGGTGGGCAAATCTAACGGGGCAATCCGGCTGGACGAAAAACACCATGGACATCTCGCCGCCAGCGCCCCTCTGGCTATCGAGCGGCTTTCGAAGGTGTGGTGCGGGCACATCGATGGGAGGTAGAGAGGAAGACATGGTGCAGCAACGCAGGTCGATAGGCCAGTCGCGCGCACGAAAATGACCAGTGCTCAGTGTCAAGAAAGAAAGGAGTAGGGAAGAAGTCGAGCGTGAAAGCACTTGGGATAGATCAATGGTGACATAGATTCGCCGGGAAGGGCGAGGAGCCTTGCCGCTGTAAGTAAACGGACGTTGAAGAGATGCGTAGTGGTGTCGTGTAGCTGGGTTCCGATCAGGCACCAAGGGCGGCGCGGACTAAAGTGTCCGGCAGGGCTGGCGGCATAGGAGGCCGAAAGCTAGGGCTGTCGGCAGATAAGCCTGCCGATAGGTCCAGAGGAAGCCCAGCAGGCCTGGGAGAGCAGAGGCCTGATGCAAAGGAGGACATCAATAAGGAAGGACATAAACAGGGGGCGTTTTAGAAGGCTGAAGATAAGGGGGCGGGGGATGAAGCAGGCAAGATCAGCACAGGGAACCTTGTCATACCTTTCCACGCCCTGTTGTACACCAATTAGTTTGCCCTCCTCGCGGGGGGTAGAGACCGACCTAATATATAACACGTACAAAGCGCACGGGGAGGTGTTGCAGGGAAGGTCGTGGTTACACTTGATAGGGAAGGTCGGGAAAGAGGGGACCGGAAGCAACCGTTATAGGTGAGGGCGAGCTGAAGGAGGCCATTCCTACTTTCGGTGCAGCAGGAATACTAAGAGATACCGAGGAAAAGAAAGATTAGCACAATGTTCCTTTGGCCGCCTATTTGCAACGGCCAAATAGAAAGATGCGGAGGAGAACCGAGGAGGAGGAGAAGACCTCGCCAGGCAGATTTTTATGGTGTCAGCTCCTGCGCATGGGCTAGTCGAGGCCGTCCGCCGGGAAAGACGCGTGGCGGCGGAGTTAGGAACCGCGGGGGGGGAGAAGGGGGGGTCTGTCCCGGACAAGCACTGCCGCGTTGTCCCCGAGTTATAAAGACTATAAGGTTGCTGGAGACAGACCGCTGGTAGGAAGAATGGCGATACGGCGGAACGCCATCGCCGGGAAGCAAGGCAATCCCAGCGTATATCGCGAGCGAAAGCTTCCCTATCCATCGTACGGTTGCAGAGCCTAGCCGTCAAGAAAGCACCAGCATGGGGGAGAATCCTAGCCGCGAGGCTAGGTTGGTGGCAAGAGGGTGCGAAATAGCGACGGTGGCAGCGGCCGCTGCTGCGACGAGGAGCATTACGGCGGGGAGACTGAGTGCAACGGACGAAGGGCCGAAGCGGGCCTCGGACCATGAAAGCCAAGCTAATACGGTACCTAGGTTCCGGCCTATCGAAGCCAAGCAGGCAACGCTGGCTGAGGAGGCCTCACGAAGAAGAACAAGCAGAGGCACTCAAAGAGCGTTGCCCAAGGGAAGTCGGCGAGGCGGTTGGCCGCGGGAAAAGACGACGCACGTCAATGGCGCCTCCTCGAAGGAGGGCGGGCGCGACGCTCAGAAGCGATAAACGCGCGTGATAGGTGTCCAAGCATAGAAGCAGACGCTGCCACAATAGGGTCGGTAGTTGCTGAGCCGGCTAGGCGGGGTCTTACGCCGTCCGTTGGCGCTGTGTTGGAGGGAGCGGCCGACAACCTCGTACCGCAGCGGCACACGTTGGCGAAGGAGATGAGGGCTAGGAGTGGCGAGAGAGGCGCACCAGGCATAGTTGCTCTGCAAGCACCACCCGCCCCAGGGGTCTTGGTTGGGCGAAACGAATGCCTAAGCGGCAGGGGATCTTCCGTCGCGGCCGGAGGTGGCCACGAGATCGTTCGGCCTGGGCAACTCATCGGTGGCGTACGGATGACTCTGAAGGGTCTTGTTAGGCGGACAACTGGTGCCGGGGGGGAACAGAGGAGGGGGAGACCGACAAGCAGGATGGGATTTCGGCTGGGAGAGGCGAGCCTGCAGTCGCCCCGGCCCATCCAGCCCAAAGGATCAGGGACGTGGCCGGGCACAATCGTCCTTCTGGCGAGGCCGGGTCGTGCATCGGGGCAGCGGCCGCTGCTACGAGGAGGAATACTGCGAAGGCGAGACCGAGCGCGACGGACGAAGGACCGAAGCGGGCGTTGGGCCGCGAAAGTCAAGCGGGCCCGGCACCTGGGTTGCGGCCTATCGAGGCGAAGCAAGCGCCGATGTCCGGGAGGTCTCAGGAGGAGAGCAAGCGGAAGCACCCGAAAGAGCGTCGCCTCAGGGAAGTCGGCGAGGCAGTCGGTCGCGAAAAATACGGCGCGCGTTGATGGTGCCTCTGCAAAGGAGAGGCAGCGCGACGTTTAACAAGATCTCGGCCAGAGGACGTAAGCCAGCGCTTGCCGCAACAACCCATCCAGCCGAAAGGGATCAGGGCGCGGCCGGACACCTCCCTCGGACGAGGGCGGATCGTGCGTCCGGGTCGTGGAGGGCGTCCAGAGGGCACGACTAGAAAGCGAAGGGGTGGTGCGCAGACGAGGGCCAAGGCCCCGACGGACACTCAAGCCGCCCAGGAGCACAGGATCGGCCGGCAACCAGTGTCGGGGTTTCGTCTCGAGTTGTCAGGGAGCGCCTCATTAGGCCAATCCAACCTAAAGAAATAAAATACAGAGCGGGAGATTTGCAGTCACCCGGACGCCAGGCGGGACAGGGTCGGCCGGCAATCAGGGTCGGGACCTCGCCCAGAGTAGTCGTCAGGAGTACGTCGTTCAGCCGATCCAACCGAAAGAGATGGAAGAGGGCCGGAGATACACACTCATCCGGACGGTTGCCACCACGGCCATCAGGGGAGGCAGCGGCGGGAGAACAAGACCGGCCGAGGCGAGACGAGGCTGCGGCAAGATCTTCGCGGCCAGCGGAACAGAGAAAGAGGAACCGGCAACCCGACCGAGACGAGCCACTGACGAAACGTACTCGAGGCGGCCAATCTAGGAGGTGGGGATGGAGCAGGAGATGTGCAGTCATCCGGACGGCTGCCACCACGGCCACCACGCCAGGCAGGACGGAATCGGCCGGCAACCAGGGTCGGGATCTCGTCTCGAGTTGTCGGGAGTCCCTCGTTCGGCCAATCCAACCTAGAGAAATAGAAGATGGGACAGGAGATTTGCAGCGATGCGGACGCCAGGCGGGACCGGGTCGGCCGGCAACCAGTGTCGGGACTTGGCCCGGAGTCGTCAGGGCATCCCCCCTCCAGCCAATCGAAGCTAGAGAGATGGAGGATGGAGCCGGATATTTGCAGTCATCCGGACAGTTGACACCACGGCCATCACGTCAGGCGGCGGCGGGAGAACAAGATCGGCCGAGGCGAGACGAGGCAGCGGCAATATCTGCGCAGCCCGTGGAACAGAGAAAGAGGAACCGCCTGCCCGACCGAGACCAGCCCCAGGCGAAACGTAGTCGAGGCGGCCATCGGAGGCAGAGGAGCCGTGAGTCACAGGCGGAGGATTTGGCCGGCGTCTTACGTCACCTTGGGAGGAATTCGCCGCGAAGGAGAGGCTGTCCAACGAGCAAACGTGGTGCACACCAGTGCCGCACGAGAGGAAGGTATCAACGGTGCGGAGCTTCTACCGGGCGTTCCACGACGTGGACACGCTGCCGATACGGACGTGCATGCTGTGCTACCGGAAGCGCACGAGAAAAGAGCTGAGGGAGGTGGCATGGGACCAGTGGTTGTCAAGTCCTATCCCTAAGGCTGGGTGGTCGCCATTTGCGTGCCGGAGTTGCTTCCGCGAGGGCGAGCCTGTCCCGGTTTGCGCAGAGTGTTCTCGACGCTTGGCGTGCGGTGTGCTGTCGCCAGCGGCGCAGCTTCATAGACGTCTCGGTTGTGAGCACACGTTCCCGGATGAGCTCAAGGGCCTGACGCCGGTGGAGGAGAAGCTGATCGCGCTGAACTCGTGCTACGGATTCGTAACCAGGTACAACGTCTCAGGCGGCCAGAAGCAGACGCTAAGGTATCCCAAGCACGTCAAGGGCCACATCACGGTGTTCCCAAACAACGTACAAGAGCTGGCGACGGACGTGCTGCCGCACCCTCTCTTCCAGGTAATGGACGAGATCCACGTCTCGTGGCAGGGGGCGCTAAGGCCGACACCGAGCGATCTGTCGAGTCTCCTATCGGTGAGGCGGCGAGTCGTCGAGAGAGCCCTTGTCTGGTTGAAGAGGAACAACCCCCACTACGCCGCGATCGAGATCGACGCGGCAGAGATGGAGAGCTGGGGAGACCCGGCCCACGGGGTGCCGCCGTTGGTGTACGAGCGCCTGGAGCGGAACGAGCCGTCGGCGTGGGAGAAGACGCGGACGGCGCGTCGTCGTGCCGCCCACGGAGCGGGCCATGGACGACGAGGGGCGGTGGAGATCGAAGAAGTCCTCGCCATGCTCAACCAAGGGGAAAGCACGACGAGTCGCGAGGCCGGCGAGCCAGAGGCAAGCGAGGTGGACGAGGTGCGTGGTCAGAGCTGCGGCGAGGCCGATGATAATGCGAAGACGGTCAACGAGGTGACCTCGTCAGGATGTTTGCGTTGGACGGACCGCCCGACGTGGCCGACGTCGACAAGCTGCGGTTCGCATGCGATTCCGTTCGCCAAGGCGCAGCCGACGACGGTACGGGCCCGAGGACGTGGGTCGAATCCTCGGCAAGGGGCAGCCGGGGCACGTCGATGGTCCTGAACCATTCATCCATGTCCGCCGCGGGATGAATTCGCCGACTCGTTCGAAGCTTCTTTCTTCGCAAAGACCTTTCCCACGCTATTACCATTCGGTGTCGGAGGGCCGCGGCCGGTCGAGGAAGCAAGCTCGCAGTTGGGCAGAGGCTCGGTCAACACGCGCGCGGCGGCGGAGGCGGGGGCGCAGGACCTCCTGTCATCCCGGAACATGAGCCTTCGTACGTGGGCCGACACGGTGTTGCGACGCCACGGCGGCCGGTTCGCGACGCACCACATCTTCGCATTCCTCGTCTTCAACATGGGCGTGCGGTCGAGGAACCGCCGCGTCAGCATGCTGAGCGTGACGAGGAAGAACTTCCGCAAGGTGGAGCGCATCGTACGGTCGCTGACCGCAGACGGGTTAGCGGCAGCTAGAGCCGAGCTGGAGAGCACAGGCAAGACGACCGACGACGGCGTGAAAGAGCTTCTCAGGAGCCTCTCGCTCTATGGCTATCGTCAGCCCATGTCGAGAGAGCTCCGTCTCAGTATGCGGCACAAGATCCTGGCGCTCATCGTCCGCTACGGCGTGCCTGCGATCTGGTTCACGATCAACCCAAACGACATCACGAACCCGGTGAAGCTCCGACTGGCAGCGTACCGCACGCGCGACCCTGAGGCGGCCGAGGAGTTCCTGCGGAGCCTCGATATGTCGTTCAAACGGGTGAGGCTGTCCGTCTCCGACCCGATGAGCTCAGCCATGTTCTTCCACCGGGAGATGACGCTGTTCTTCGAGCATTACGTAAATGCAGGGGAGTCGGTGTTCGGGCGCATCGGCCACTACTACGGTGCCGTGGAGACCAACGAACGAGGATCCCTTCACGTCCACGGGCTGCTCTGGTTACACGGAAACGCGCACCTGAGCTCCATGCTTTCCGACGCCCACGGGGAGGAGCAGGCGGCGTACCGTGAGCGAATCATCCGCTATGTCGATAGCGTCTTCTGTGAGGTAGGTAACAGCAAGGGGCGTTGCTGTCATGGGCCGAGAAGACGCAGGCTGACGCGGAAGGCAGGACTTGGACCAGGAAGGCTTCTGCGCCGTGCAGGCGGAGCGTTCGGTGACGTCTGACGTCTCATCCCTGCTGGACAGTGCCGAGCAGTTCTCGGCCGGATTCGAAGAGGAAGCCAACTTCTGCGCCGGCGCGACGCAGATCCACACCCACAGCCCGACATGCGTCAAGTACTCCCTGGGCAACAAGGGGCGAAGGGGCGACCTCTGTCGCTTCAAGGCGCCATGGAAGCTGGTCGAGGAGACGACGCTCTCACAGGACGGCGTGCTGCGGATCCGCAGGACGCATCCCATGGTGAATCGGTGGAACAAGGCCATCGCCGTGGGGCTCCGCCACAACCACGACATCTCCTTCATAGCGACGCAGCGGAAGACCATGGCTCTCGTCTATTACGTGACGAATTACGCGACCAAGGTAGAGGACCCGACGTGGAAGCGCGTCGCCGCGGCCGCGGAACTGCTGCCCGTCGTCGCAGCAGGTGGCCAGCCGGGTGCCAGGAGGATGCCGGAAATGGCGTCGTCGGCGGCGACGACGGAACCAAGAATAATAAGACGCGGCAGTTTCTGATGAGAGTGGCGAACAGGATATTCACGGAGCGCGCCCTGTCGCAAGTCGAGGTCGTCGCCCATCTCCTGGGATACCCGAGCGAGTTCACGAGCAGCAGCGCCTGGGCGTACCTGAACGTGTCGGTGCTCTACTGGCACGTCTCCAGGCGCTGGCGACACCTTCGGCAGGAGAGCGGCACCGCGGTCGCAGACGTGTCCGTGGACGAGTCGGTCGCCGTGGAGGAAGCAGGCGAGAGGATCAGCTTCGCCGAGGCGTACCATCATCGCGGACACGTCCTACGAGGCTTGTGCCTATATGACTATGTTTCGCTCGTCAGGCTCCAACGCGTCGGCAAGGACGGGTGCTCCGGTGCCTGGGAGAGGTGCCTTTCGAGCGGCTGGGTGGCCGGCAAAGACTGGGTGCAGGTATTGAGGCGGCCAGGAAAGCACGCCGTCGTCTGCCTTGACGGCCACCTTAGCAAGGATTTCGAGCAAGACGACGAGGAACAATGCCACCGCCGGTAAGTAGGTGCGGTGGATGGCCGGTCGAAAAGCGGTCCCAACGCGCGGTGACTAACCGTGCCGCTACAGAGCAGCCGTGCAGCATCTTGCCCTATTCGCGCCGTGGGAGACCTTTCTTAGCGAAGAGCGAGGCGACATCAACGAGATATGGAGGCGCACGAGAGCGGCTTCCGCCAAGAACCTCGTGCCTCGTCGATAACGTTCAACTACTCCGGCGGTCCGCCGAGGACGCAAAGCGAGACGCCAAGCAATGGGCAGCGTCGTCCGGCGACGGGGATCCGGCCGGCGCACCTGGCGATTGGGGAGGATGGGGAGGGGCCGGGCGAGGCGGACCGCGAGGCGGGATCCGCGTACCAGTCCGACAACGTCGGAAACGCAACGCGACTGATCGATGTCGTTAGAAGCGCGACCGGCGCGAACCAGATCACGGCGGGGTCGCGGGAGCTTTCGGGAATGATGCAGCAGCTCTCCCGCTTCCAGCAATCAGCGCTAGCCTCGACGGCCGAGCTCCGGGCCACCGTCGTGACCGAACGGGTGGGGGCACATCAACATGCCCGGGCAGGTGTTCTCCGGGCTGCAGTGCCGCCGCAGGATCAGGTCAAGGCCATCAAGTCGCAGCAGACATGCGCCTCCAGAGAGAGGGTGAAGATGATCCAGGGCATACAAAGCATGGCCCCGGCCCACGGTACCGATCGCGGCGCAGCGGGGCGGAGCGTGCTCGCCGGCTTCGGGGAGGAAGACGTCCAGGTGACGCGAGTGGAAACCGAGGAGAGGGCAGGTAACGCGGAGGCCGGCATGGAAGTCCGCCTCGGCCCATCCACCTCCTTTCACGAGGCCGGGAAAGACTTGACAAGACGATTGACGCTAAACAAGAAGCAGGCGATTGCCTTCTCCATAATATGCCGCCACCTGGACTCGATGCGGCAGGAGACGGAGGCGACGTCAGCCAGCTCTGTCAGTTCGTCGGCGGCGAGGGCGGCACCGGCAAGTCGCGCGTCATCGAAGCACTCGTGGGCCTCTTCGCCGCGAAGGACCTCTCGCATCGCCTGCTGATCACGGCGACGTCGGGGACCGCCGCCGCGCGGTCAACGGCATCACCATCCACTCGGCCTGCGGCTTCACCAGGACCAAGGGCCGGGCGCGAACACGGCGAGGGACGTCGACGGCGTGCGGTTGCCGAGGCAGGCGGAGCGGTTCGTCAACGGCCAGTCTCGGATGGACTGGCAGGATAAGGACATGCTCGTCATCGACGAGGTGAGCATGCTCGGCGCGCGGACGCTGCACGCCGTCAACGAGCGGATCTGCCAGCTGCGGGGATCGCAGCGGGACTTCGGCGGGATCCCCATCGTCCTCTTCTGCGGGGACTTCCACCAGTTCCGCCCGGTCCAGGAGAGGTCGATCCTGCTGCCGAGCGCGGCCGTCTCGTGGGACGAGGACAACTCGTTCAGGGCCGAGCAGCGCCACCAGCACGACAAGGCGCACGCGCTGTGGAGGCGGTTCACGACGGCCGTCATGCTGGACGAGCAGATGCGCGCCGCCGGCGACCCGGAGCTGCAGCGGCTGCTGAAGCGGATCCGCGGGGGCGTGCAGGACCACACGGACCTGGATCTCCTCAACTCGAGGTGCCACCGGGAAGGCAGGCGGATCCGTGGGAGACGGGCATCACCGTGGTGACGCCGCTCAACAGGAATCGGTGGAACCTCAACATGGAGGCGAGCCTGGCGTTCCAGATCCAGCAGCGGTCGACGGTGCGCATCTTCCTCTCCGAGCACAAGTGGAAGGACGGCCTGCCGACCGAGGAAGAGGCCATCATGATGCTGAACCAGGGCGACGACAGCGCGATCCCGGTGCCGGCCGTCTTCATGTTCGTGCCGGGGATGCCGGTCGTCGTGAACCACAACACCCACCAGGGGCTGAAGCTGGTGAACGGTGCTAGCTACACGGCGGTGGAGGTCATCGTCGACAAGGCGCACCCGGGCATCGGATCTCGGCCGACATGACGATCCACTTCGGGCCGCCGGCGGCGATAATACTGGGGTCGAAGACGACCAAGGACTTCCACTTCGTCGGGATGCCGCCCGGCACGATCCTGCTGACGCCCATGAGCGTCAGGATCCAGTGTCAACGGAAGCGACCGTGGCAGCAGAACGACGTCAGCCGAAAGGGCCTGCCGTGCGCCGCCGCTTTCGCGTGCACGGATTACAAGGTGCAGGGGGGGACGCTGGAGCGCGTGGCGCTCGAGCTGCGGGGGACGAGGACGACAAACGTCGGCGGACGCGCCGTCCCGTCGCAGTGCGACCCGTACAGCCTATACGTGCAGCTGTCACGGTGCCCGACGCTGGACGGCATCATGCTCGTGTCGAAAGTGCGAGAGAGACCTAGTGGAAACCGGGTCCCCGGGGAGATGACCGCCGCACAAGCGAGGCTGGAGGAACTGAGCGATAGAACTGTTCGGGAAGCGATGTGCAACAGGCTCGGTGAGCGCGCGGGGACAGAGACGGTGAGCAGTAGGTAACTTAACCCAAGAGGGCGCGACACCAATAACTTAGCTATGCCCCACCCCGACCCTTGCAAGGACTTCATTACTAATGGAAAAATTGGGTCGGGGCGACCGGTGGAGCAGGCGGCACAAGCGAATGGGACTTTCAACGGGCCAGAAGCGAAAGCGGTTTATTATTCTGGGCAATCAGAAGTCTCAGGGCACGGACAAGCGAATCAGATGCCCCAGGACATGACAAACAGAAGGCGAAAGGCCCAACCGAAGGCGAAATGACCGTAGCCAATCGACCGAGCGAATCAGAAGCGGGGATTTCGAGGGGCAAAACCGGGGGTGGGGCATACGGGAGAGGCAACCCAACAGGGTTGCGCAAAGAGCCTTGAGGAACGAAAAAAACGTCTAGACAAGGGGCAGACAGATGTACAGAGGCAGAAAGGTAACGACGACCAAGGGGCAGCCAGGCTGGACGAAAAACACTTCCCATTTAAGGAGTTATAGCAGCGTACGCTATTCCATTTCCGTAGCTTTCTTAGATAGGTGGCGGTTTCGAAGCGGACGGGCCGGCGAGCCCAAGCCATGGGCGACAATGGAATCGAGGAAGAGTCCGTAAGTCAGGACCCGGCTTAGGTTGTCCGGCTCATGAGCGGCGGAGGCAGCCGAAACAGAGAACGAGTGGGTAGCAGAGGAGGCGGGCTTAGGGAAGACGAGATCACCGGGGCCTTATGCAGCAGACACGGTCGCTTCGTCGGCGTATCGGCAGGCTCAGGGCAATATCGTTTCCCGGGCGGCGTAAGGTGGCCGGTCGAGGGCGAAGCCGAAGCCAAGGGTGGAGGACTGAGCGGGAGGGTGCCAGGGGTGATCAAAGACAAAGAGGCAGCGCGCACGTCCCGGAAGGCCGCGGAAGCGGAGGAAGCTTGTTGCCTCTGTGGCGTAGAGAGAAGCGGTGCCATCGTGGTGACGGCGGCGGCGGCCTTGTCGAGAAAAGTCCAGGAATCCGGGACGACGATAAAGACGTTGTCCCGGTCCGAGCCCGGGGGGTAGAGCATGACATCATGACGGAGCAGGCCAGCGACCTTGCCTGTGCAGGTAAAGGGGACGTTAGGCTGAAATTGAGAGTCCTGCCTCTCGGCCATCTTCCTACACAAGATGGCCCAGGGTTAGCGCGAACAGGAAGATAACGAAGACCTGGAACGGGTGGAAGCCCTTGAAGGGGACCTTATTAGGCATCCCAGGAGCGACATAGGTAGAAAGGCGGACAAATCCGCAACAGTTAAGTTGGGCGGCGCCTGGACCGGGCAGTAGGTCCCGCCGCAGCGAGGAGTGGCCGGTGCCGACGATAAGGCCGGTAAAGGAAACAATAGGCGGGATGCAGGAAGTCGCCCATGGAGGCAAAGAGCCTAGGAGAACACTTCAAGCCCATCTTAGCCATATACCGTTTCGTCGGCACTCGCGAAGGGTCAGGGCACGGCTTACGGCTGGTAGCCCTGATCGCGGACGACAAGGGCGGGCATCGTATAGAAAGGTGCGGCCCGTGTCAGACTCGAGGCCGTCGCGTTGCTCAACCTCCCATGCGAGCGCGTAGGGGTGGACGCGGGCATGCATGAAAAACCACTCTTCGGTCCAGTCGGAGGGATCAATAGGCTGGCCGTAGATGGAGAGGTTGAGGCTAAAAAAGACGGATGTCGGGGAATCATCGGCATCCGATCGGAGGGGCGCATATTCCGTCGCGAGCAGCCAGGCGGGAGGAGGCAGGAAGACGCGGGCCATGGCCTCGGCGTTAAGACCCCTGATGCGGTGGTCGTCCTGGTGGGAAAATCTAGCAGGACAGTCCGGCTGGACAAAAGACATCATAGACATCTCACCGCCAGCGCCCCTTTGGCTATCGAGCGGCTTTCGAAGGTGCGGTGCGGGCATATCGGTACGAAGTAGAGAGGAAGACATAGTGCATCTGCGCAGGTCGATAGGCCACTTGCACGCACTAAAAGGACGGGTTCTCAGCGTCAAGAAAGGAGTAGGAAGAAGTCGAGCGTAGACGCACTTATAGTAGATCAATAGTGGTATGGATTCGCCGGGAAGAGCGAGGAGCCTTGCCGCTGTAAGTAAGCAGACGTCAAAGAGATGCGTCGTGGTGTTGCGGAGCTGGGTACTGATCGGGCAGCAAGGGCGACGCGGATTAAAGTGTCCGGCAGGGCTACCGGCATAGGATGGCGAAAACTAGGGCTGTCGGCAGATAGGCCTGTCGATAGGTACAAAGGAAGCCCGGCAGGTCCGAGAGAGGAGAGGTCTAATGCAGAAAGGGGATATTAACAAGGAAGGATATAACCGTTAGCAAGAAGAATGCCAACGCGGCGGAACGCCATTGCCAGGAAGCGAGACAATCTCGGGGTATATCCCGGGCGAAGGCTTCCTAATCTATCGTTCGTTTGCGGAGCCTTGCCGATAAGACAGCACCAGCATGGGGGAGAATCGTAGCCGCGAGGTAAGATCGGTGGCAGGAGAGTGCGAAACGGGGACAGCAGCAGCGGCCGCTGCTGCGACGAGGAGTATCGCGGCGGCGAGACCGATCGCAATGGACGAAGGGCCGAAGCGGGCGTCGGGCCACAAAAGTCAAGGAAACGCGGCACCCAGGTTCCGGCCTATTGAGGCCAAGCCGGCCGCGGCGGCCGACGATGCCTCACGAAGAGAGCAGGCAGAGGCACTCAAAGAGCGTTGCCCAAGGAAGTCGGCGAGGCGGCTGGCCGCGGAAAAGGACGACTAACGTCGATAGTTCCTCCTCGAAGGAGGGCTCGTGGAGGGCGTCCAGAGGGCACGTCTGGAAGGCGAAGCCGTGGTGCGCGGACAGGGCCAATGGGCTCCGAGGGACACCCCAGGAGGACAGGATCGGCCGGCAAGCCCTGTCGGGAACTCGCCTAGAGTCGTCAGGGAGCTTCTGGTTCGGCCAATCCGACCTCAAGAGATGGATGATGGCGCAGGAGATACGCAGTCATCCGGACGGTGGCCACCGCCGCCATCACGCCAGAAAGGACAGGGTCGGCCGGCAAACAGTGTCGGGATTTCGTCTACAGCCGTCAGGAGCGCCTCATTCGGCCAATCCAACCTAGAGCAATAGAAGATAGAGCGGGAGATATACAGTCATCCGGATGCCAGGCGGGACAGGATTGGCCGGCAACCGCTGTCACGATGTCGTCTGGAGTCGTCAGGAGCCCTCGTTCAGCCAACCCAACCCAGAGAGATGCAAGGCAGGGCAGGAGATACGCAGTCATCCGGATGGTTGCCACCACGGCCATCACGCCAGGCGGCGGCGGGAGAACAAGATCGGCCGTGGCGAGACGAGGCAGCGGAAAGATCCTCGCAGGCCGTAGAACAGAGAAAGAGGAACCGCCAGCGTGACCGAGACCAGACCCCGACGAAACGTACTCGAGGAAGCCATCCGAGGCAGAGGAGGAGTGAGCTGCAGGCAGAGGATTTGGCCAGTGTCTTGCTTTACCTCGAAGGGGAATTCGTCGCGAAGGAAAGGCTGTCTAAGGAGCAAACCTGGTGCACACCAATACCGCATGAGAGGAAGGTATCGACGGTGCGAAAGTTTTATCGGGCGTTCCACGATGTGAGCACCTTGCCGATAATGACCTGCAGGCTGTGTTACCGCAAGCGTACAAGGAAGGAGTTGAGGGAGATTCCGTGGGATCAGTGGCTATCAAGTCCCGTTCCTCGGGGTGAGCGCTCACCATTTGCGTGCCGAAGCTGCTTTCCCGGGGGTGAGCCCGTCTCGGTTTGTGTGGAGTGTGCCCGATGCTTGGGGCGCGGGAGCCTGTCGTCGGCGGTCCACCTTCACAGTCGCCTCGGATGCGAGCACATGTTCCCCGACGAGCTGAAGGGGCTGACGCCGGTCGAAGAGAAGCTCATCTCGTTGAACTCGTGTTACGGCTTTGTGACGAGGTATAACATTCCGGGCGGGCAGACGCAGGCAGTGAGGTATCCGAGACATGTCAAGGGCCACATCACGGTGTTTCCAAACAACGTGCAGGAGCTGGCGAGAAGGGTGCTCCCGCACCCGCTCTGGCAAACAATGGACGAGATCCACGTCTCGTGGCAGGGCGCGGAGAAGCCAGCACCGTGCGACTTATCGGGTCTCTTGTCGGTGAGGCGTCAAGTCGTCGAGAGAGCGCTTATCTGGTTGAAGAAGAATAACCCCCATTACGCCGATATTGAGATTGATAGGGCGGAAATGGATAGCTGGGGAACACCATCACACGGTGTGCCGCGGGTGGTCTACGACCGCATGGAGCGGAACGAGCCGTCTGCGTGGGAGAAGACGCGAACGGCGCAGGTCGTGCCGCCCGCAGAGCGGGCCATGGACGACGATAGTCCGGCGGAGATCGAAGGAGTCCTCGCCCAGCTCCTCCAAGGACAAGACGTATTGGACAGGGGAGTCGAGAATCCGAGGGAGTGGAGCGGACGGGACTGACGATGCTGAGCCCGATGACAGAGCCAAAACGATCAACGAGATCACCTCTTCCGGCATGTTTGCATTGGACGGACCGCCGGAAGTGTCGGACGCAGAGAAGCTCCGCTTTGCGTGCAATGCCGTGGGTGGCGATGGGGCCGAGAACGACCGCAAGGGGCCGAGGGCATGGATAAGGTCGGCGGAGGCGGGTCAAGAAGGCACGGATGTCCGCGAGCCATACATCCACGTTTGTCGCGGAGACGAATTCGCCGACTCGCTCGACGCCTCGTTCTTCGCCAAGACCTTTCCCACCCTACTGCCGTTCGGATTTGGAGGACCACGGCTCGCGGAGGAAGTCATCTTAGGACCCGAGGGGCCGGTCAATTGGCGGGGTACGGCTGCTGGAGAAGAGACGGCGGCGCGAGATCTTCTGTCGTCTCGGAACATAAGCCTTCGGACCTGGGCCGGCATTGTGCTGCGGCGCCATGGTGGCCGATTCGCGACGCATACCATCTTCTCGTTTCTCGTTTTCAATATGGATGTGCGGTCGAAGAATCGTCGGGTCAGCATGCTCAGCGCGACGCGGAAGAACTTCGCCGAGGTGGAGCGCATCGTACGGTCGCTGACAGCGGATAGGTTAGCGGCCGCCAGGGCGGAGCTGGAGACGTCGGGCAAGACTACCGACGATGGCGTCAAGGAGCTTCTAAGATGCCTTTCGCTGTACGGCTATCGGCAGCCCATGTCGAGGGAGCTCCGTCTGAGCATGCGGCGCAAGATCCAGTCACTCATCTTATGTCGTGGCGTGCCTGCAATCTGGTTCACGCTCAACCCGAACGACATCACGAACCCGGTGAAGCTGAGACTGGCGGCATACCGCACACGTGATCCCGCAGCGGCCGAGGCATTCCTGCAAGGCCTCGACAAGGCGTTCAAACGTGCGCGGCTGGCCATCTCGGACCCGTTAAGCTCGGCCGAATTCTTCCACCGAGAAATGACGTTGTTCTTCGAACATTACGTGAGAGTGGGCGAGAGTCGGTGTTCGGGCGCATCAGCCACTATTACGGTGCCGTCGAGACCAACGAGCGTGGAGCGCTCCATGTTCACGGACTGCTCTGGCTGCAGGGCAACGTGCATCTAAGCTCGATGCTTGCCGATATCGACGGCGAGGATCAAGCGGCATACCGAGAACGCATCGTCAGATACGTCGACAGTGTCTTTTCCGAGGTATGAGCGGGGCCGGCGTGTTGACCTGCGTCCTCCGTCTGTCAAAGCCGAGAAAGCTGACGAACAAGACAGGATCTGGACCAGGAAGGCTTCTGCGCAATGCAGGCCGAGCGATCGGTGACGTCAGATATATCGCAATTTCTGGGCGACGAACGGCAATTTTCAGCCTCGTTCGACGAGGAAGCGAACTTCTGTGCCGGCGCGACGCAGATCCATACCCACAGCCCGACCTGCGTCAAGTACTCGCTGGGCAAAGGGGGGCGCAAGGGCGATTTATGTCGTTTCAAGGCGCCGTGGGGACTGGTCGACGAGACGGCCTTCACGGGAGACGGCGTGCTGCGGATTCGGAGGTCGCACAGCATGGTGAATCGGTGGAACAAGGCCATTGCCGTGGGGCTTCGCCACAACCATGACATATCTTTCATCGTCACACAGCGTAAGAAGATGGCCTCATCTTTACGTCACAAACTATGCGACCAAGGTGGAGGACCCTGTATGGAAGCGCGTCGCCGCCGCCGCGGATCTCTTGCCTCCCAGGGCAGGTGACGGAATGGCCGACGGCGCGGAGGTTCGTGGAGACAGTGGTGCCGGTGACGATGGCAGGCAGAATAAGACACGGCAGTTCCTGATGAAGGTGGCGAATCGCGTGTTTACGGAGAGGCCGTTATCGCAGGTCGAGGTCGTCGCGGACCTCCTGGGATGCGCGACTGAACTGACGAATGGCAGTGCTTGGGCGTTCCTGAACGTATCGTTGCTCTACTGGCAAGTCTTCCGACAATGGCCGCACCTTCGACGAGAAAGCGGCGCAGCCGTTGCAGATGGCTCTGTGGACGAGTCAATACTCGTCGAAGAAGCAGGCCAGAGGATTTGCCGTGTCGAGGCATACCGTCATCGGGGAGACGTCCTTCGAGGGCTGTGTCTCTACGACTACGTTTCGCTGGTCAGGCTGAAGCGCAACGAAAGGGACGAGGGGCCCGCCGGCTGGGGGGAGGTCCCGTTCGAGAGCGGCTGGGCTCCGGGAGGCCGTTGGGCGCAGGTGCTCAGGCGACCGGGCAAGCAGGCCACGGTCTGCCTCGACGGGTATTTGAGCAAGGATTTCGACGAAGACGACGAAGGGTCGTGCTACCGAAGGTGCGTTTGTCGTCGACGGGCCGGAGGCGCCGGGTCGAGAAGGCTAATTTCCATGGCGAAGAGCGGCTGTGCAGCATCTTGCGCTGTTCGTGCCGTGGAGTCTTTCTTAGACGAAGAAAGGGCGACATCAACTGCATATGGGGCGGCAACGAGCAGCCCTGGCCCCGAGGATATCATGTTTCGTCGATAACGTGCAGTTGCTGCGACGGTCGGCCGAAGATGCAAAGCGGGACGCACGGCAGTGGGCGGCCTCGTCCGGTGACGGCGACCCCACGGCAGTACGTCCGGACGAGGACGGCACCGGGGAGGTGGGTGTCGAGCCCGGATCGGGATACCAGGCCGACAGTGCGGGAAGCACGAATCGCCTAATCGACGTTGTCAGAAGCTCGATCGGGCCGAACCAAATCACGGCCGGCTCGCCGGAGCTCACGGCGATGATGCAGGAGCTCAGCCGATTTCAGCAATCGGCGCTGTCCTCTTCTTCCGAGGTCCAGGCCACAATACTACCCGAACGGGGCCCAAGACGAATCAACATCCCGGGCGGGCATTCTCCGGAGCCACCATACCGCCGCAAAGTGAGGTTAGGGCCATAAAGTCGCAGCAAATCCGCGCATCCAGGGAGAGGAGAAGATGATACGGGGCATACAAAGCCTGTCCACGGCACCGGTGACTGGTCGCCGCGCGGCGGTGCGGGCGTGCTCACGGGTTTCGGGGATGACGACGTCCAGATGACGGCAGCGGAGCTCGAGGAAGGAGTAGCGGGGGCCAGCGCGGGAATGGAGATCCGGTTCGGTGCCTCAACCTCCTTCCTCGAGGCGGGCAAGGCCCTGGCAGCGCGGCTCACGCTAAACAAGAAGCAGGCGATCGCCTTCCTAATTATATGCCGCCAGCTTGACCTGATACGGCGCGGGGAGAAAAGCAACGTACGCCAGCTGTGCCAGTTCGTCGGTGGAGAGGGCGGAACGGGCAAGTCACGAGTCATCGAGGCGCTCGTCGAGCTCTTCGCGTCCAAGGATCAATCGAATCGTCTGATGATAACGGCGACGTCGGGGACGGCAGCAGCGCGGATCAACGGCATTACGATCCACTCCGCCTGCGGGTTCTCGAAAGATCTCGCGGCAGCCGCAAACGCGGCCAAGGATCTCGACGGGGTGCGACTGCCGAAACAGGCGGAGCGGTTCGTCGACGGGCAATCCCGGATGGACTGGCAGGAGAAGGACGTGCTCGTCATCGACGAGGTGAGCATGCTCGGGGCGCGGACGCTACACGCGGTGAACGAGCAGCTCTGCCGGCTGCGCGGGTCGCACCAGGATTTTGGAGGTATTCCGATCGTCCTCTTCTGCGGAGACTTCCACCAATTCCGCCCCGTCCAAGAACGCTCGATCCTCCTCCCCAGCACCGCCGTCTCGTGGGACGTAGACAGCTCCTTCAAGGCCGAGACACGGCACCAGCACGACAAGGCGCACGCGTTGTGGAAGAGATTCACGACCACGGTCATGCTGGACGAGCAGGTGCGCGCCGCGGAGATCCGGAATTGCAGAGGCTGCTAAGGCGGATTCGACTGGGCGTGCAGGACCGCTCGGATCTGGACCTCCTCAACTCAAGATGCTACCGGGAAGGCAGGCGGATCCCGTGGGAGACGTGCATCACCGTGGTGACGCCGCTGAACAGGAACCGGTGGAACCTCAACATGGAGGCCAGCTTGGCGTTCCGGGCCCAGCAGCGGTCAGTGATGCGCATCTTCATCTCGGATCATACGTGGAAGGAGGCCCTGCCGACGGAGGAAGAGGCCATCATGATGCTGAACCAGGGCGACGACAGCGCGATCCCGGTGCCGGCCGTCTTCATGTTCGTGCCGGGGATGCCGGTCGTCGTGAACCATAACACCCATCAGGGGCTAAAGCTGGTGAACGGCGCCGGCTACACGGCGCTGGAGGTCGTCCTCGACAAGTCGTACCCGGGGCATCGTATCACGGCAGACACGACGGTCCATTTCGGGCCGCCGGCGGGGATAATGCTGGAGTCGGAGACGACGAACGACGTTCACTTCGTCGGGATGCCGCCAGGCACGGTCCTGTTGACGCCCATGACGGTCAAAATACAGTGCCAGCGAAAGAGGCCGTGGCAGCAGAACGACGTCAGCCGAAAGGGCCTGCCCTGTACGGCAGCCTTCGCGTGCACAGACTATAAAGTGCAGGGCAGGACGCTCGAGCGTGTAGCTCTGGAGCTGCGGGGAACGCGGACGTCAAACATCGACGGACGCGCCGTGTCCTCGCAGTGCGACCCGTACAGCCTGTACGTGCAGCTGTCTCGCTGCCCGACGCTGGACGGCATTATGCTGGTCTCGAAATTGCGGAGAGGGACCTGGTGGGCAACAAGGTGCCAGACGAGATGACAGACGCAGAAGCGAGGCTGGGCCAGCTGAGCGACAAGACTGTCCGCGAGGCCTCGGGATGGCTAGACGTTGATTCCCTGGACTCTAAAGGCACGGGCCTGGACGTGTAGCTATCGCGATGCCGGGCGCAGGGCGCTGGACGGCACCATGCTCGTGTCAGGGGTGCGGGAGAGGGTTTGGTCGGAAAAGGCCAAAAACCGGTTTCACGAGGAGCTGAGTCCTAGTCGCGAGGTTAGGTCGCTGGCAGGACCGGAGAGGGCGAACTGCGCCGGAAGGCGAAACAAAAGGGCTAGGACGAAAAGGGTAAGTAATCATTAAGCGACCAAAGGGAAGCCGGGATTTAAAAGCTCTCCAATCAGCAGCCAAGATGGGTTCTCCAATCAGAAGCCAAGGGTTTCGAGGGTAAAGTAGGTTTGGGGGTTTTTGGGGTTTTTTTCGCGTCCAGAAGAGCCTTTTCGTTCCTCAAGGCAAAGTCCTTTCGTTCCTCAAGGCACAAGAGTATTTCTCAAACCGGCCTACATGTAGCTGTCGACACGTAGCACTGCAGAGGCCTCTTTCTGGCGACGCCACACGTTCCTTTGCATAGCTGACGCTCATGAATAGTCGGCGAAGCTCTTTGCAACCAATCTAAGCGCGGAAGCGACGCATGATGGTGTGTCCGTGACCTAGGGAGACATAAACACTCTGTCTTTGGCATGATACTTGCCAATGCCGACAGGTCCGTACGGGTTAAGCCGTCCACTACAGGGCGGTGTAGACAACGAAAGACAGAAACCGCAACGAATTATCGAAGACAAGTTTTCTGGTCACGATAAGGCTCTAGGTACCGCGAGCCCTTTGGTAGTCTCAGATTCCCCCTCGCTCGTCCAGCGCAAAACTCTCGGCGCACCCTGACAACATGGATGCGGCCTCAATATGGCTTCGAAGGCTCTGGGAGCACCCGGAGCCCCAGAAGACGCTTGCTTGGGAGTTCATGCGCACGGCCTCAACCTACGGTCTTGGGATGAGTTGCTTCAATGGCCCGTAGAGAAAACTGCTGGGCTTTGGGAACAACTGTTCCGTGAATATCCCATCATCAACTCCAGAGCGCACGACCGAGTCTTTGATGACACAGCGCGCATGAACGCGGTCCCCGGATGGTTTGACAGGGTAAAATGCAACTTTGTCGAAAACATGCTCTTCTCGCCATATCCGAAATGCCCAAGCCAGGCAACGACACACCGTAAAGCCGACAACGCCGTGGGCCTATACGGAAGTCAGGGAATGTTTCTCCGAAGTCAGGAGCTTCACTTGGAGAATTCTGAGAGAGCACGTCGGACTTCTCGCAAACGCCATGCGTGCACGGGGTATTACGAAAGGCGATCCAGTTACTATTGTGGCCTCGAACTCGTTCGACACAACGACGGTTTTCTACGCAAATACTTGCATCGGCGGCACTTTCAGCGGTTCGTCGACTGACTTGGGAAGGTCGAGCGCTCTTGAGCGGTTAGTGCAATCAAGCCCAAATACGTCTTCGTCGACGACTGGTCGGTATACAACGGCAGGGAGTTTGATATTCGGCCCAAAATGATTGAAATTCAAGCCGGCATGAAGGGTGTTGAAGAGTTTCAAGGTCCTGTATGCATGCACCGGTGGCACGAGAAGCCCGCCAATGTCTCCAGGGTCCCCCCGAGCCGAGACCTTGGCCGGCTTTCTGACCTCGGCCGGAGCTGATGGCGGCCTCCACTTCGAGCGAGTCGACTTCCGCGACTCGTTTCTCATCGTGTACACGTCCGGAACAATAGGTAGCCTGGCATCTGCGAGCGCTTGGGGGTGACAGGGCTGACACTGCAGAACTAGGGGCGCTGAAATGCATTCAACACTGTGGGTGGGATCCTTGTCAACAACCAGAAGGAATCGAATCTGCATTGAGACACGCTGAGGTATCCGCCGGAAGACTTGTGCTATCTCCAATACACGACGACGGGTTGCCCGATATGATAATGTCGGGACGCACGGCGACTTTATCCCAATTCATCCGGACAATGGCCAGATTTACTTGCACGGCCGCTAGGATGGCGTCTTCAGCCCCTCAGGGATCCGGTTTATAACTGCGGAAATCTACAACGCGCTGGACAGCAGCTTTACAGAGGATATTCGCGAACCCATAAGGGTAGGGCAACGGCGACGGCAGGATACCGACGAAAGTGCCATGTTGTCCTTGCAGATGAACCCTGGCAAAGCCTTGACTTAAGGTCTTGTCGATCGAGTGGAGGAGGTCGCCTCAAGAGAGGTCAGCAAAAGAGGTGCGCTACCCGCAAGTGCGACCGACTCGCTGACTGGAGAAGACAGGATTTCTAAGAAGACGCTATAGATGATGAATTTTAAAAAAGGCGGAGCTCCCGGTGAAGGATATTGTTTCGGGCAAGACAATCAATCCTGCGAGCACTTGGGGGAATAAGGGAGGCCTTGGTTGCTTTTACTGGTTTGTCGATGCGGGAAATTGTTGAAGGGCATGCGCCAGTCAGCCTCGCCGGGGCAGACTGGATGTTAAACAGCGGATTAGCCTCGCAACAACTAGCTTATCCAATCTATCGTTGCATGAACTTGTCTTGAATCCAAGGCCGAGTCGCAAGGCATTGCAGAGAATCGTCAAAGCTGCTCAGATCTGCTTCACGGCCGCGTCACAGCGGTAGCCTGAGGCCGGCGTCAGGCTCACCCAACATCCATTGACCAGACTGATGGTCGAGCTCGCCATTTGCGCCATCGGAAGTTCGTCCCCACCTTCCATCTTATCAAATACCTGGAAGAAGCGCGCCGTGAGGTAGGACATCATGGTTAGCGCGAACTGCTGGCCGATGCAGATTCGCGGGCCTCCGCTGAATGGCACGTACTCCCAGCTGTTGCCCAGTCAGCCCCGTACGCCAAAAAGAGAGGGGATCAAGAAGAAATAAAGAGAGAGAGAGAGAGAGAGAGAGAGAGAGAGAGAGAGAGAGAGAGAGATGACAATGCCAATGACAAGTAGGGCTTCTACCCTCGAAAGCTGTTCACCATGCAAGAGTAAAGAGGAAGAGCAACAACGTACGACGTTCGGAGCGTCTCCCACCGCTCGGGGCGAAACTCTTCTGCATCCTCGCCGTAAATGTCCTTGCGGCGCTGCAGGCTATAGGTGCTATAGCGGCATTCCGTGCCCTTGGGGACGAAAAGAGGGGACTTGCCGTCAGGGCCGCCGCCCCGAGGGAGGATCATGTCCCTGCTAGCGGTCCGCATATTGGAGGGAACAGGGGGCCAGAGCCTCAGGGCTGCATCGTTGCTCGCGCATCTCCTCGTCAGTGACTGGCAGCATCACGGCGGCGCCGAGAGGCATCGAGCATACGGACCTTCCTTGAGCACGTTGTTGAGATACTTGAGCCCCTTGAGGTCTTCCCACGTCGGCCGTCTCCCATCTAGCCCGGCCAGCTCGCTTCGGAGGCTGCGCACTACCTCGGGCCGCCGCGCGAGCTTCCAGAACAGGCTGCTCAGAGTGCTGGCGCTCGTATCGCGGCCGCCCAGGATCATGGCCAGCAGCTGGTCTGTTATCTGCTCGTGCGTGGCGCCCGAGTCGAGCAGCTCGTTCATAAAGACATACGGCCGTTCCTTGACCTTATCCTGCGCCAGCGCTGCCGCCACATGACGGCTAATAAAGGTCCGGCACCGGGCCACGGACTCGTCGAGCCTCTTATCCGGCAGCAGCGTCAGCAGCCATCCCATGCGGGCGCGGCTAGTGGCGGAGAGGAGGGCGTAGTCAAAAGCCTTGGTAAACTCGACGGCTTCTTTGCTCGGGCTAACGAGCATGTGTATCGAGTGGCCAAACCTGGTTTGGCCAGTCAGCAGCATGGCCACACACAGGGCGCGCTCCAACGCTGAGCAAGACTCGGAAATGGGCTTGCCGGCTCACATGAAGTCGGTCGACATATCCATAGTAAACATATAGAAGAGCACCTGGAGGTCCACCTTTTCTCCTCGGCCACGCGGTGGCAATAGCTTCGCCAGCAAGTTCTCAACATGCCGGTCCATGCACTCAAGGTCGGCGATCTGGTTGCGCACGAAGCTCGGCCGGATCAGTGCCCGGGCGCGGGCCCACTGGTCGGCGTTGGTGGAGAAGATGGCGTGCGGGCCGAGGACGAGCGACAGGGCCCGTTGCCGCATCCCGGCGATAGGCCAGGCCTCGAACTGGTCGGCCAGGACCGCCTTGACGTTCTCTGGGTCGCACGTCATAAGCACCCAGCTGCCGAGTGCGTTGACCCAAAAGGTGCTGCCGACCGAGTTCATAAAGAGCCCGTGCCATGTCTCGAGCAGCGAGTTGGTTTGCAGCGACGTCTTCACCAGCCGCACCCAGTCAGTGCCCAGAACCGCGTCGCGGTGCGGGAAGACGGGCGCCGGCTGGGTCTTGTGGATGCGCGTCTTACGTAGCAGACTATACCGCTCCCGCGACACGAGCAGGACCGGAACGAGAAGGACGGCGAGCCACAGAGGCGAGGAGCAGGACGCGGCGTAGGGTGTAAGGGCGCGGCCGGCGGTGCGGACCGACAAGGACTCGGCGAGGGACCAGGCGAGGTACGCTCCGGTGACGAGTAAGACGGCGAGGAAGACGGCCTCTTGCGCCATTTCGGACCCTGGAACTGCAGACGGCTGCAGAGACCGGGTAGATGTCGACCTGGGGTAGCTGGCCTGTCTTGGTCTGGAGGGAAGATACTGACTCGACGACAAGCCACCAGGCTGTAAGGATGCCGCGGAGGGTTGATTATCGGAGTCTACGCGGGGTTTACGGAGTTCTCAGCAAGCTGAGAGCGCGGGCGGAAGGATAAGGGCAGGCACAATTGAGTCCAAACGATGATGCATGTTTTTTATCTATCTGTGCGACATTGAGGGGGTATTTATACGAATAGATACCAATCTGGGACCCGTGGTGGCCCTGAATCAGTGCCAATTCCCGTGTATCCCGATTAGGGCAATGTTCCTCTACTGTATCGATACCTGACTCAAGTCCTTGTGTCTGACCTGCCTCTTTCACCGGAGTTTATACGTGTGCGGATTAGACCGTCAGTCTGCTCCCTCTGACACACCCCCTTTGCCTCGGTCTCACTGGGTGAGTGAGGCAAACAAGCAAAAGAGACAGACGAATCATCCAATCTTATCAAATATCCAGCGAGTGAGGCTACTACCGTTGAGGGAGATGCTCTTCATGATGTCTTCCTTGGTGTTGTGACCAGGAGCATTTTAACAAGTCAATACCAGCAAAATGATGGGTCCATCCCGTGCCTGGGTGATGCTCGGAGAGCATCTATATCTCTCTCTGGGTGGTGATACTGTCGAAACTGTCCTCCGGCGCATCGGCTTCAATTGGTGCCACCGGTCTCCCTTGCATCCCTAGCTGCTTGACAAAAGCTTCGTGCTTTTGCTGGGAAGGGCCTTTGTCATTCCATCAGCGGGATTCTCCGTAGACTTGATCCATGTGATCTGGAGTCTTTCTTCCTGAACCTCCTGTCGAAGCCAGTGACGATGGATATCGATGTGCTTAAGGTTCGTCTTGAGCTTTGCGCTTAGTTCAGTCAGGAGCCTGATGGTCTGCAGGTTATCGCACCATAGCTCATTGGTGCCTTCTACCTTGATGTCAAGCTCTTTAATTAGCCGGGAAAATTGCATTTGCTCCTTCGCCGCGCTTGACAGGGCCAGTGTGTCCATCAACCAAGTAAAGCAGAAAATGACACCCTTACTTGACTTGGTTGAAGGATCCGTTTACTCGACTTGGTTTACTCGAAGAAATGGCTGTGCTTTACTTGGTTGGTTGACATTACTTGACTCCGGGAGCCGATTTGCTTGAGTGATCTCTATATCTTGTCCGCCTGTGACCTTGGGACGAGGGGAAAAAAAGTGCTCCTCGAGCATGACTACGATAGCATGCCAGATCGAAGTAGGTGCTTTTGGCATTCGATAGCTGCCACGGTGTTGGAGCTGAGGCGATTCCGCTCATCCGTGATGACCTTTTGGTCTGAGAGAAAACCCGCTCACATTCAGCACTCATTGCTGGACAAGTGAACAAGTCGAAAGCCATTTGCGACAGAACTGGGTAGTCTGCCGCATGACAGATCCACCATTGCAAGGGATCTTCGACTTCCGAATCAGCCTTGTTATTCCTAGCCATAAACTCGTCGAGCTCAGAAGTTAGTCTCGCTCTTTTCCTCCTTCCCTTGCCGGACGCCGCAAGCTCAGCCAGCATCTGTCGGCGTTTGCGAGCTTCCTGGAGTGGGTCAAGGGCGACGAGATCATCGCCAGCCTTATCAGTGACGACTTCTCCTAGGGCCAGCGACGAAGCCTCCTCATGGTCCGCAGCGTCCGCTTCCATGTATGCGTCTTCGTATTCTGCGAAAACTTCTTGAACCACGCTCTTTGCCTCACTGATCCACTGCTTGTTGTGACTCCACTCAAGTTCGAAGTAAGCAAACTTATTCGCCGGATGCAATGCGACAGCGCACCGATAAGCTGGGGTGGCATCGGTAAGGCCGAAGTACTCTTCTAGCTTGATGCGAGCAGCATCGATTGCGTGGGAATAATACGTTGAAACCACGTCGGGATGGTCATCGGCAAATCTTCCGGCCTCTTGGAGCTTTTGAAGAGGACATCGAATGATTCAATTGTTTCATGAAGGGAGCCATGTGATCCTTCCAGGCCAGCTTTGTTGGCTCGGCCTCCATGCGTTTTGTCAGATCTTTGAAAGGCTTCAAGATGTCGAGAAAATGGTGCAAGTCAATCCAATCTTGTGGGGTTAGTACGTCTTGCGAAATGTCGTACCCTACGCCACCGTAGCAATAGTTGAGGAAGAACAGATCAATCGCATGACGGAGCTTGACCGCCCTCTGAATCATTGCATATGCAGAGTTCCAGCGGATTCCGCCGTCGACCAGGACTCTAGTGTAGAGCAGTTCAATGCTGCCTTCCTCGTAAGCCTGCAAAATATACCGTTTCAGCTGCTCCCGCCTTTGGTCACTTCTGTTTACCCAAACACAGAAATTGTGAAGTTTACCGACGAAGCTATGCTTTCTCCAGATTTCAAAACGCTCCACTTCAGACGCGCCGCAAAGCTGTTTCTCCAACTTGCCGACACCCTACCCAAAGAGAAGGGCTTTGACGATTAGGTTGAGCATATGGCCGACGCAGCGCAGGCGACTCTGAGGCTTGATGACAGGATAGCGCTTCGCCAGCTCTCGAATGCAAGTGTCGTTACTACTTGCGTTGTCCATCATGAAGAAACCAACGTTCTGACCGATCTCGTATGACCCCATGACCGCTGCAAGGACTTTGGCGATATTCTCGCCAGTGTGGGGGCCCTTCAAAACTGGCAAATCCAGCAAAGCCGTTTGCAGCTTGTATGCAGCGTCTAGAAAGTGAGAAACTATAGCCAAATAGTTGGTACCTTCTTCAGATGTCCAAGCATCTGTCGAGACGTGGATCTTGCTTTTGGACAGGCGGAGCTGTTCTTTCAGCCAGGCGCGCCTGCCGTTGTCACCGAACCATTTTTCGCTGACCCAACTGCTCAGCGCTGACGGGCTTTTCGGCAAAACTTTGTCGATGTCTTCCAGGCACAATGCAAATATTTCATTTGTTCGTCGGTGAGTCGCTTGGCGGAAAGTCAAATCAAGATCAATGACCCAGTCGGCAAAATGACTTCGAAACTGGAGGTCATTGAACACCATGCGTCGGCTCCCCAAGTACGACGCGGCCTTGGTGGCTCCTTGAGAGATGCTGAAGGGGTCGGACCCTGCCACTTTGTAACCGAACTCGGCAAGTTTGTGGTGGTGCCTAAGGTGATAGATGATGCTCGTCGTACTCTCGCTGGCAAAGAGCGCTGTGTCGTGACGTCCGCTTACATGGCAATATTTGCAGAGCCAGTACTTGTTGTCGCCGTCTGTCGTGAGTTGCGCACCGTGTTTGTAGATTATCGATGGTTGCGCCTTCGAGTTCATTGCGCGCTTGTGAGGCTGACGATATCGTATGGTGGCCAACGGTTTTCTGTCGTAACGAATCTTCTCCCAAGATATAGGGAAAACGCATTGCGATGCCTTTGGCAAGTCCCTTTCATGGGAGATGCTTGGCTCGTCGGGGACCGACTGGGAAGGCGTCTTGGGAGGCGTGACGCCCGAGATGATTGCAAGGATCGAAAGCTGAGTGAGAGGGCATTGCTGGCTTCCTCAGCGTTGAACAGTTTCTGCAGGATGTTGATGAATCAGGCACGAAGAAAGTAACTGTAATCACCAAGCTCAATCGGCGAGAGGAAAGGGGTTCGTCCACTTTCATGACATGGGTATCACGAAATTGCCTGAAATCAACGCTAGTCAGGTACCGGTAACTCGGAGTAAACCCGAGTAATGCAGAAAGCTTTACTTTTGCTTGGTCGGAGAGATCGTTACTCGTGATTGACTGTTATGTAATCAACCAACTTCAAGCAACCAAGTCAAGTTACTTGATTGATGGACACACTGGACAGGGCCAGCAATTCGGCCTCTGTGGACGACGTCGTCACAGTCGCTTGTTTCGTAGCCTTCCAGTCAACGGGTCCGCCTAGAAACAAGAAGACATATCCCTGTGAGGATTTTCGAGTCTCCGGGTTGTCTGCAAAGGATGAATCAGAAGCGCAGAGGAACCTGCGTTCAGCTTCTTTGACTGAGAAGCAGATGCAGCGATCTCTCGTGTGATAGAGGTATGCCAGGCATCTCCTGGCCTCTCTCCTATGCTTCGGGCCCGGGTTATGGCTGAATTGTGCCAGTTTTCCAACCGGGAACGCACCGTCGGGTCTGGTGTGAATCGCTGGGTGAAGAATTGAGCCAATTAGAGAGAGATATTGATGAACCTCGTCCCTAGTAGCCGTCTTCTCGTATGGCTTGAGCTCTTCGGTCGTTATCGGGATCTGGGGCACGCCAAGGATCTGATCATCGTCCTCAATGTGGAATTTCTTGGCCATCTTCGAGAGATACGAGGCTTGAGCGAGCCAAAGCTTCTTCTGGGCCCTATCCTGATGACTTCAATCCCTAGGAACCAGCGAAGTTCCCCCATGTGGTTGATGGTATATTCCTTCATAATGGCAGCGTGAAGTTCTTCCCATTCGGCCTTCTTTTCTTTTGGATACATCATCACGATGTCATCCACAAAGAAGAAGATGATGACTCCTTTATAAGTCATCACGCAGGCATCTTCGACGAGTTGTTGAGCGCCCAGCTTCTTGAAGAAGCCCGAGAGCTCCTCAAACCACAGCCTTGGAGCGATTCGAAGCCCGTATAGTCCCTTGAGAAGCTTCAAGCATAGCCCAGGCTCAAGGTAGCCTGGTGGCATCTGACAATAGATGGCATGCTTGAGCTTATTATACAGAAACGCTGTTTTCACATCGTACTGTTCTGTTTCAAGGTCTTCAAGACAGCAGAGGGCCATTAACACTCTGAAGGTTCTTGCTCGTAGTGTGGCCGCGTATGTGTCCTCGTTGTCTTCCGGCTGCTGGTCTCCACGGACCACAAGTCGGGCTTTAAAGCGAGTGACGTAGCCCTGCTCATCCAGTTTATATGCATATACCCATCGCAACGGGATTATGAAGTGGCCGGCTTCTTCAACCATCTTTC